GCAGAGGTGGTAAGATACAAATCAAAACAAAAACGGCAGCCCTCTGTATCCAATTTCAATTATGAGCACTTATTTGGCATGGGAGTCAGAGGCGATGAGCAGCAGGCACATAGGCCTATCTTTGTTATGGAGCTTGAACAGCTTCCCCAATCAGTGCCTCCTCTTCTTCTTTCTTCTTTTTTTTATGGCTTTTGCCTTTAATCTTCCTCCAACAACTGTGTAAACCTGGCGGATTAGAGTCTGCAGGAGAGCAAGGCAGCTGTTGCTGTCTCCGGCATTTTCTGCCAAGCAGAAGCATGTCAGAGACGAGAACCACTCGATGCCATTGCCTTGGCGGAATTCGTGGGTACATACAGTTCTGCTAGCTGAGACTTTCCCCCAGCTGGCTTCCTTTTTAGAACAAGTGCTCGCTGCCCTTGACTCACGTCACCTAAGCAGGATCAAATAGGACGCTTTGATCAAAAGGTACCAAAAAAATGAAGGAGGGAAGAGGTTTCCACAGGCCCCTTGGCCTGGGTGTGATCATAAAAAGGGAGACAGGGGCTGGATCTCCACACACACACACACACACACACACACACACACACACAGATGTAGCTGTGTGTGAAGGAGAGAATCAGCTACACACACACATGCCTTCTGAGGAGCGACTACCTGCTTTGGGATTGGGAAGCAAACATAATTATGCCATGCTCATTTTATCCTCACAATAACCCTGTGGGGTAGGCTAGGCCAGAGGCAGCAAAAAATTTTCAGCCTGAGGGCCACATTCCCTTCTGAGCAGCCTTCCAAGGGCCATATGCCAATGTTGGGCAGGGCCAAAGGCAAAAGTGGGTGGAGCAATGATTGTAAATATATCTTTGTGTTGTATGCTAGTTTTACACACATGCACACTTCTGTATTGTCTATCCAGTAAATCAAGGGGCATTAGCAGAGCTCAAGGGCACATGCCAGTCAGGCAAAACCATTCGGGGGGGTGAAGGAGGACCAGTCAGGGATGTGGTCTGGGGAGAGTAAGTCACCTGTAAATATTTTGTATTAGTCGATTAAATAATACTAATGAATTTATAGAAAGGCAGGTTGTGCACAGTGCTGATTGGCTAGAAATAGGTGACATCACTAACCCCACCCCTCTCTGGGAGCTATGTACTCTATTTCAACATTGTTGTTGTTGTTGCCTTCTTCTTCTTCTTCTTCTTCTTCTTCTTCTTCTTCTTCGGCTAAATGTACTTGGAGTACTCCAAAAATAAAAATAAACTCAGAAGTGGACAGCATGCCTCAAGCATGTTGGGATGACCAAGACAGGGCAAATCAAGGTTCAATTTAATGCCCAGTACACTTGTCAAGGGACGCGGGTGCCGCTGTGGGTTAAACCACAGAGCCTAGGACTTGCTGATCAGAAGGTTGGCGGTTCGAATCCCCGCGATGGGGTGAGCTCCCGTTGCTTGGTCCCAGCTCCTGCCAACCTAGCAGTTCGAAAGCACGTCAAAGTGCAAGTAGATAAATAGGTACCGCTCCGGCGGGAAGGTAAACGGCGTTTCCGTGCAGTGCTCTGGTTCTCCAGAAGCGGCTTAGTTATGCTGGCCACATGATACGGAAGCTGTACGCCGGTTCCCTCAGCCAATAAAGCGAGATGAGCACCGCAACCCCAGAGTCGGTGACGACTGGACCTAATGGTCAGGGGTCCCTTTACCTTTACCTTTACACTTTTCAAACATATTGCAGAGGAGAGGGTAAGATAAGCTTTAGATGCAGGAGAAAGTACCCATAGCAAGTCCTGGTCCTTATGTATTTCTATATACACCCAATTAGTGATATCTAAAATTAGGTTTACTCTGAGTAGTCCCATTGATATAACACACTTGACTCAATTGATTTTAATGTGTTTACTCTGAATATGGTTTCATTGGATACCACCCTATGATATCCTCATAACTTAGGCCCTACTTCGGTATAATATCTTTCATTATTGGATCTTAAGCCACTTATCTGTTGTTACTTTATACTTTCTAGATATGACTGAGTTTTGCTTCCTTGTTTTTTCCCCTCCTTTGACCCTTTCAAGGTCTCCACTGTTTTATCTTCACCTTATGCAAACTTCTCAGCTGGCACCAGAATAAAGAGCCACAATTGTTAAGATCGCAGAGAACAGTTCAGTTGATGAAAGGCAATGCAATGATCTAATTTTTTTTATCACAGGTAGATATTTTTCATTTAGATATCCTTTGATTAAGGGGCGGGGCAGGAACTATCTTCATTAATAGTTTTCAGTGAATAATTACTAGTGCGTATACGAGTGTGCCATATCATGAACCATATAGTTGGGTTGCCATATTTTGAAGAGCAAAAAAGAGGACACATTTGCCGACTTCTACTTTTAACTATGGATTGCCATGGGGGGGGGGGGAGAATGTGTCCTGGAAAAAGAGGACACATGGGAACCCTATTTTCTATCCCATGTTTCGTTTCTTTTCTCCCTTAAAAAAATTTACTTCAGTTCTTGGTTGGAGCTTTTGTTTGTGAAGTAAGCCAAAGGAGATATTAAAATCTGGGCCTCAATCATTAGGCCCCTTGGTTCTCAAATTGACCTATACACAGAGGCAGACCCTGTAAGGAAACAGCCATTTTTGTCTGCCCCTTAATAATCTCAGAAATATAAAACAGCAGAGAACTTTATGAAGTAATGTCTGCTTTGTGCGGTAGACTGCTAACCCAACAATAAAGAAAGGCAGTGTTTGTTTCATATCAGAAATGTACCAAGGTGTGTATGAGAGAGGGTGGGAGGAGGTAACAGGACTCAAGTAGGCTAATCTTACCCCTGCAACTTCTGAGGAGCTGTTAAACTTCCTAAGGAAGGCCATAAAAAGTGCTTATGAGAGACTCCATGGCCTCTCTGAGTTTTATGTGGGATATATTTTCATCCGGGCTCACCTTGTGGGTCGCCATTATTGCTGTAGGACAAATGTCCCATTGGTCAGAAATTTAGTATATATATTTTTAAGAAAAGGCGAAGTCAATACCAGAGGCACTCTGGAGAGTCTGCATTTGACAGCATGTTCTCACATCTCATCTGAACTCTTTAAAAAAAATAAAAGTTATGACTATGAAATCTCGTTTTTTTAAACAAATGCTTCAACTAACAGTAAAGATTTTAATTCTTGAGTGGGGCCAGCTGTTGAGGCAAAGCTTCAGTGCTGTATACTTTACCCTCTCTCCCTCTCTCCAAGTTAGCATTATTTACTTGTGCCAGGAGTTTCATGTTTCACCGTTGCACTGGCAATTAGCCAAGGGAATTATTAAAACAACCAGATGTCGTGCATTAAATAAAAGTCACCTATGACCTTCTGTGCTGAACGTAGAACTCCCTTGAATGCTGAATTTCACAACTAATTGGGCAACATATAGAGAGCTGTTAACAGAAATTGATAATCAATTAAAATCGAAGGAATTTCAAGAAATAAAAGGGAAGGTATCAGATTGGTTATAATATTTTCAGTTAAATGAAGTATTTAAAAATGATAAAAAGAAAGGATTCACCTATGAAATTTCAAATTTCCAGAGAGAAATAATAGAAAATGATAATAAATTATTATTAAAAATGTATAATATATTGTTGGAATGGGAAACTAAGGATGAAGAGGTCAAGTGTGTTATGATAAAGTGGGAAATAGATGTGGGAAATGATATTCAAATGGCAGATTGGGAAAGACTATGGAAGAATGATATAAAAGTTATGGCCTGTACCTTATTTAAAGAGATTTATATGAAAATGATGTATAGGTGGTATTTAACAATGGTAAAATTGGCAAAAATGTACAAAACAAGGGAAAATAAGTGTTGGAAATATAAAGAAACGGAAGGTGGTAGCATATGTGGTAGCAATATAAGGTTATCAAAAAATTCTGGGAAATGATATATAACTAATTGGAAAAAAATGTTAAAAATAACCTTTGTTAAAAAACCAAAAGCTTTTCTATTAGGAATTACAGGAACTGATCTACCTAAAGAGTACAAGAACTTGTTTATGTATGCAACAACGGCCGCTCAAATATTGCTAGTCCCCACTAAGGAAGACTGGCAAATTAAGTTAATAGAATATGCGGAAATGGCTAAACTAACTGGGAAACTTAGAAATCAAGATGATAACAAATATAAAAAAGGATGGGAAATGTTTCTTGCATATTTACAAAAGCACTGTAAGGAAGTGAATACATTGGCAGGATTTTAAAAACACTTGTAATGTTATGGATAATGTTTAAATTTGGAGGTAATTAGAGATAAAGACTTTATTGACATGCATAAGTGAAAATAATACAAAGGAACCAGGGGAGGGAGTGGAGGGAAGTCGGGGGATTCAAGTAATGTGTGTGTTATGTATTGAAGTTCTCACCCTGGCCACCAGGAGTATTGTGTATGTAGTTTTCACTCAGGTCCACGTCAGTTATTTTAGGCGGGAAAACCTGGGTTGTTGTTGCTACATTGTTGACAGCTGGCTGCCTATAAAAGCAGGCCGGCTGAGCTGTTTGCTGTTCAGTTCTGTCCAGCTTACAAATAAAGAGCTGCTTTGGAAGAATCGCTGTGTCATCTGCTATGTCTACCCACTATTCAATACTGTGTATACAGTTATTTTAAATGTTTCATTTTATTTCTTTTTCTTTAATGTAATGATTTTGTTTATTGTGAAAATTAATAAAAATCTATGTGTGTGTGTATTTAAAATGATGAATTTCACCAGCATCTTTTTAATATGTTGCTTTGATGCTAGAAAAACTCTGAGCCCCCAAAAGCTTCTTTCACACGCTTTCTTCAGATGTTCTGTGCACAGCTCTGAAAACAAAAGGACAAATTTTGGGTTGACTGACCTTAAGAGAACAAGCAGATTAGTTATACCCATTGGTTACCAGTAACTTTAGGTATATAACCTTCGATTTATTGATATATTTCTTATATAAATTATTAATTTGTAACAGTCAATATTTTGAGTGGGAATGCATAATAGATCAGAGAGGCAAGCTGCTGGCCCGGCTTGAATGAGTGCCCTTGTTGAAGTTGTGAGCTTCCTTGAGAAAAGAGCGAGTTGTCTTCTTTGGCTCCTTGACTAACTGTTGCATCAGAAGTTGCTGATAACAGCCTGTCTCATCTGAAGAGATGTGCATCAAACTGGATCCTGTCTGGGCCAAGGAAGATGGAAAAAATAAGGTCATCTTCATCTGGGTAAGGGCAGGAGAGATCGCTGTTATGGCATGTGAGCATAGATGCTGCATAAGAAAGGTGGTCAAAATATGTAATTGGACTGTTTGTGACATCAGGTTATATAAACCCAAACTGTAACACTTTTCAGTTTAGGCTTCCTGTAATTTTTTGCATTACCTGAAAAAAAATACCTTGTCACATATGTATTGTGTACCTAACTGAACCCTGAGTGCCTCCACTAAATGGAGTGATGCTGGCTATCACCAGAGGGTGGGGGATTGGCTTTCGATAGCAGCACCTGTGTTATGCAACAGCCTTCCCAAGGAAGACCGACTCTCCTAAGCAGGGATGGGGAACCTGCAGCCCTTCAGAGGCATTGCTGAACTCCAACTCCCATCAACCCTGAGCACTGGCCATGCTGGCTGAGGCTGGCGGGAGTTGGAGTCCAACAGCATCTGATGGTCCACAGGTTCCCCATTCCCAAGACTCTAACAGTACAACCCTAGTCATGTCTGCTCAGAAGCAAGCCTTCCCCTCAACTCAGCAGAATTTGCTTCTGGCTGAATATACAGGTATGGGATTGTGCTGTAAGGTTATTATATACTCTTGGAATGCTTCTGGGGTGAGAGCTGAGGGCCACATGCCAGTGGTGGTAACGGCCAGAGGGAAAAGTGTGCAGAGAAACAAATGTGATTTTAAAAATCTTTATACAGTATGCTTGCTTCTACACTTGCTCAGATACTCCTCTCTTCATCCTCCATCAAGACAAGCAAGAAACATGAGAGTTTGAGGGCACATTCCAGCCTGGCAGAAACACTCAGGGAATGAAGCAGCACAGCCTGGGGAGAGGGGACATGGCCTGGGAAGAGTTCTGAGGGCCAGACAGAGAGGCCTGGAGACGCCACATTTGGCCCATCAGGCATGAGGCTTCCCAGTCTTTGCCTACTTAGCATTTGAGGGCCTAATTCACCAGTAAGTTTCCTGTTCATTTCAATTGGGTTTTCCTGGCTGTGGGATTGTGCCTTTCATTTGTTTCTTGCTCTACTTTGCCTGCTCTTCAGAAGGAGTTGTCGAAGCTTAATTACCTCAGGCCATGTTTCCCACAAAGAGACTGCTTTGGCTGGGCTTCCATTGGCAAAGCTGCCATTCTGACATTTCCAGACTGAAACCGGAGGCCTCCTTAGTGCTTCAGGTGAGGTTCTATTGTCAAGCAAAGCCACACCTGTGCCAACCAGGCATTTCCTTTGGAGTAAGAGACTGTTGGAAATAGTAATAATAACTTCTCACACACCTGAGGGGAAAATAGTGCTAAATGTTGAGCCTAGCCTTCCTGCAGATAATGGAACTATAATCTGAAGCTGAGGACACACCCAGCATTGCTTTGGAGTAGCTACCAGTCTATGCATCCCAGGCAAACACAACTTTGTTGATATTCACTAAAGAACAAGAGGGATTTTCCTGTACCTACATCAGAGTCCTGGCACTAGGAGAACTGCTGCAGTCTTTACTGCACGCCACATATTGCCCCTGGAATGTGTGAGAGATCCAATGTGGCAAAGTCTGGATCAAATGCAGAGGGAGGCCAGTTCAGATGTCACGGTGTGGTTGGAAGATTAGCAAGAGCTAAAATCTACTATATATTCTATCAAAATGGGTGGAAGAAGGGGTAGCCAATGTGGTGCCCTCTAGATGTTGATGAACTACAACTCTCATCATTTCTGATCACTGGCCATGCTGCCTGGGACTGATAGGAATTGGAGTCCAATGTCATGTTTATATTCACAAGGGCATCTCATCAAGTCAACAACACAGCAGCAACAACACAGGTTAAAAACAGTCTCCAGTTGAAGCAAAAGGGTTTTTTGCCTGAGACATCCACAATCTAGTTGCATTGGTCAATTTAAATTGTTAACTAACAGCACCAATTCCATCAGACTGCAGAGCTGGGGGAGATATTCAGCAAGGCTATTCAATGGCCTCTACTGAGAGACAGCTGCTTTTGACACTCTGCTTTGACACTCAATTGTCACTTAGTTGTACTATTCCATTCAGACCACCTGGACTGTTTCCACTCCAGCTGCTTGGTTTAAGAGCTGTCACTTTCAGAACCACTGCCTGAGCTTGCTTTCCCCTCCCTCCTCATTCTCCTTTCCTCTCCTGTCATGTCTTTTCAGTTGTAAGCCTGAGGGCAGGGATTGTCTTACAATCTTTGTAAGTCATGTGGGGAGCACTTTCAGCAAAAGAGTGGGGTAAAAGCCCACTACCTCAATTCAGTGCTTAGGCTGTCTCCTAAGAGAGAGAGCAATCAAGTGCTTAGGCTCTCTCCTCTCTCATGGCTTAATACAATGTTGTTAGAGGTCATCACACCAGTATCTCAGGGTCAGCCTTACCATTAGGCAGAGTGAAGCAGCTGCCTTAGGCAGCAGGTGTCTGGGGAGTGGGGTGGGGAGATCAAGTGAGGTGTTGGAGAACAGAGCTGCATGAACTACATGTCTTGTGCTCTGCAGCCCTTAAGCTAGTCTACTGCCATCATTGTACACTGAAGTGTAGTGTACTCTCTCATCATTAGTGCTGAAGTAGGATTCAGCTACAGATCTAGTTGGCTTCTGTACAAGGAATAAGATGAGGGGATGTGGCATCTCTAGTGGCAAAACATCTTGGGCCAGCCCTACAACATATGCAAAATGGGAAATTGTGGGTTTAAGTTTCGACTATAACCAAGGATTGCAAATCATGGTTTGCCAATCGGGGATCTAGCTAGTGCTTAAACTGCAGTCTCCTAATTTGGACATAGCAGAAAACTGTGGTTTAATGAATCCTGGGCATACTGCATTAAGATGCCAGAATTGAGGGGAGGCTAGGCAGGGCTGTGGAAGCAGAAAGTTTGTTCCTCTTCCATAAATTGTTGTTATTACTGAACCAAAACTATATTACTGAACCAAACTAAAATATTGAGCTGGACATAGACGATCATGAGGATAAATCACAACTGGCCTGAAACGGAATGTGGAGAGGGGAGGAAGAGGATGGGTTACTCATCCTGTCCTTACTTAGTGACAGTCAGGCTATACTGTAGTTTTAAACTACAGGGTGGGGAGAAAACTAAATTAAGTCAGATTACTGTGAGACTGTTTCTAATAGCATCAGCTTCAGCCTAGCTGTAATCATCTCATTGCTGCATATACAGATCATCACATTCAGCAAATTCAAACAGCTATATTTTAATTAATCTGGTTCTTTTGCTGTTAAATGATATGGCAGCTGTTCTTACAGTTCATATCACATTACACAGTTGGGAATCAACAATGCGATATTTACACTTTTGCTTCTCTTTCGAGCCCAATCACTTTTCTGAGCAATAAACCTGTCCCCTCAAAATAAGAAAAAAATCATTCTAACAATAAGATGGAATTTATTTAATATATTTTTTCTATGTGCAGTGAACAGTTTTTAGATTAATATAAAAAGATGGATATGGCAGTAATGTTCTTATGCTAAAATAGTGTGCATGGTTTAGAAAACCCACCCTGCCCCTGCCCCTGCCCCCACCCCCACCCTGTATCTTAAGTCCACACAATGAGGACCACAGTCAATCATAGGGACAGCTGTTCACACTACTAAATACAATCCTGTATTTCATTTTAGTGCTATCTTACATTTTAAAACATCTCTTAAAATGAAACCAGTTTGACCCTTAATATACGCATGATTACTCAAGAGTAACTACTGAAATAAGAGTATTAGGAAATAAATTAGTCAAAGTATTGGGATATTATCACTCATCTTCTAATACAGATGGACACTGGACTTTTTTTTGATGTTAACATTTTCCACCCAATAGCAAAGGCAGTGAAAAGAACAGTTACAAGATAGTGCCTTATGATTATTAAGTGAACATAAAACTCACCATCAGTCTATACTGTTTCAGCCAAGAGTCACATCAGAGAACAATAATGAACAAAAAGAAATAATTGCAACAAAAGAAAATGTTCACTGTAGCAACAAAATCTACTTCTTTATCATACTGCTAAGAGAAAATAGGCTCTCACTTTAGAGGCCTGCCATGGTGAATTCAGCCACTGCTAATAGGGTCTCTTGATTATAAGAGGCTGGCAGAAAAATCAATTTTCTGCCATTCAGACCAATTAGCTTTCCCAGCTGGATCTGAAAAATCTGTATTAACTGCCGAAAACGGCAATAAAATAATGTGGCATGTCCTCTATAGAACTACCGCTGCAAGGGCAGAGGCTAAAATCATGAGACTTTTTTTGAAAAAGCTATTCTAAAATTGCAGTTGGCATCAGTTGCACCTTTAGATTAGTTAAGGTGGCTCTAAGAGTAGGGTTAGAAATAAATTTCAGGTAGTACTCTGTAATAAACAAAAATCTGCCCTTATTCCCTTATGGGGGACACAACAGCCCTTATAGAGTCCTTTGTAGGTTCTCCATCGGTCGGAGAAAATAACAGAAGCCAACCAGAAAATATTGAGAAGCAAAGCAGCTCGTAAGCCTGATCTTTATTGAACTGTTGCAACAGGGTGCTTCCCTCACACGCAGGAAAGGAGGATCCAGAACAAAGGTGTGTCTGCCCTTACATTTTAAATTGCCCGCCCTGGAGTCCAACCCCCCCCCCGATACATCATACCTACATTACAGAAAAGGTGGTCTACAACAGAAATCCGAGTGCGTTGTTTATCTCCTGTCTGGCAGACCTGTTAATGGTCACTTGATTGGATACCCTGGGGAGCCTGGTTAGTCTTTTGTAATGACAAATACTTAGTTCCTGAGCCCTTACTTAGTTCACAAGCTCACCCTATTCATACACAGACATACCCTTAAAACAGGATTTGTGAACAAAAAGACGATGGGGAGGCTCCCCCCTCCCTCCTTGCAGAGAAAACATTTGGTCAGTTTGGGAGTCAAAATGGTTTCAGGGCGGTCCTCCTGTGCTACTCCAGACATGTGGTCCACACATCTATGTATGCACTTGGTTGGTACATTTATGAACATTTAATATATATATATATATTACCTTAATTTTTTTATTTCAACTCAAATGCAAATCTCTATGTAATCATGTCACACCAAGGGGCTAATGAAACAGGCTTTGTGGATTCAGCATCAAACATCAAACCAGCTTTTCTCCCTCTCCCTCACTTTGCTTAACATCCAGCCTGCTGAGGTGTTCTGAAGAACTCAAAAGCTCACTCACTAAGTATTTTGTGACAGTTTAGGTGGACCTAATAAAGGTATTGCCTGTCCATGGATTTTGGAACCATTCTTTTGAAATTGCTTGTTGGCAGGCAGTGACAGTTGGGGCTCTTATTTCATCTGGCATAACAGTCAAAAGTTGCCTTGTATTAAGAAATTCCTTAATGAGAAGTGCAAGTCAACTCCAAATAGTAAAAAAGAGAAATAAATGAAAGTTCCCAGCTACAGTAACACAACTGAAATGTTTCCCTCTTACTGGAAGATGTTCAACATTGCAATAATAATTCTATACTCTGGAGTTAACGATCTTACAAGCACACATACCTTTTTAGATTTATTTTTTCCATTCAATTTATGAATCACTTCCTATCAAACCTCTTAAAGTGATTTAACAATAAAAATGTCAACAATAAAAACAATTTCAAATAGATACAAGACTGGGAGGGAACTCTCCAAATAAAAGCTTGTTGAAAAAGAATGATCCTCAATAGGCACTGAAAGAGACAATAGGGAGCGTATTCATTTGCTTCTCTTGAGCAGGAGCCTTGTAAAATCTTGGTTTCTCCCTCCCTCCCTCCTCCACCTGGGCAGAAAGAAAGGCATTGCAACAATGCACACCCTTCCTCATGGGGTGCTGGTGGAGAGACTGAGAGTTGCTAGTATTTTACAAGCATCCTGCTGTTCAAGAGAAGCCCCTTTCAAAGTAGATAGGCAAAACCAGGCCCCCAATCCAACCCACCTTTTGCGAGACTGCTTGAAAAGGGGATTCTTTTGAGCTTAGCCCTGCTTGTAGAATACTAGCATCTTCCTCCCCACTTCAAAGAGTGCTTCTTCTTAAAGTTTAAAATACGTTAAGCCAGCCTGGCTGCATTTGGGAACCCTTCTGCTTATTTTGCTGAATAGGGGTCTGGACATATGTGCCAAAGTGATGGCATCACTGAGTATTCCGTCTCTCTCTCCCCCCCCCCCCAAGATCTTAAGAAAAAGATGCTTGATCACGCTTCTCTTTCAAGCAGTACTTTCCCCACCCTCCCTCCCTGCTGCCATTATCACTTGCGTTTTTGCCTCATTGGCTCAGGCCCACCCCTTCTTTCTAATTTGTTTAGCACTTAAAATAATCCAAGTGCTTTGAAAAAAAACATAAAGTCCCCATCTGGTGATCTGCAGCAGATCCCTTGAGACACAACAGTGAAAAGGGGGGGGGGGCAGGGAGGACAGAAAGAGAGAATAGCTTTATTTGTACAGCTGCAGGTGAGCTAAGGAAGGTGTCTGAGGGCAGATGCCAGCTCAGAAAAACATCCAATTTTAGAACAAAAAGAAAGACCTGCAGAATCATACCAATGGTCCATCTAATCAGTACAGTGAATTTTTAAGAAAGGTAAATTCCATGTTAGGGAGCAGTAGGAAATGAAATGAAAATAAAACAGTCAGTGTCATAATGCCTTCATCCTAAATTACGAAGTACTCTACTTCCCTTTGTCTGTCCTGAATTGTCCCACATTCAGCTCCACCTGATGGCCTCACTGGGTTCCAATATTACTTTCTCTACACCCTGCACGATGTTTTGCACCTCTATCATGTTCCCCCTTACCTCTTAACCAAAAAGCAACCAGAATTGTACACAAGTACATTCCAAGTGTGGCTGCAACGTATTGACCTGCAGAGTGCTCTGGGCAGTTCATGGTGCAAATCCAGGTTCTTTGATGGCATGGGGAGGGAGAAGGCGCCGAATGTGTACTGAGGAATTACTTGATGGCAGAGTTCCCAGCCGAAAAGACAGACCTTTTAGATTATAGGTGGTTTTTGGAACGTTTTCAAATTTTCAGGAGCTGGGGTTGTTTTGTCTTGCTATGTTTTGTTATGTTTATTTGTGAGTTTATATGTTGTATGAATTTATTTTATTCACAATTTCCCACCACCCTGTAATTTTTTTATGAAGAGCTATTAGAATACTTTTAAATAAATAATAATTTGTGGGGATCCCGATGAGTTGTTCCAGGTACTGTGTTTTTTTAAAGAGTATTAACACTAAACTCAGTCGGACTTACTTCTTGGGAAATAGGATTAGGCCAGTGCTGTCAACAGGAGCTCAGAAAAGGCACTCACTATATACTCGGAGGCACCTTCATCTTTTCCCGTCGAGGCTTGGCTTGAGTCATCTCAGAATCTAACTAAACGGGCATAAACCATCTGGTGTGCCCGGGAACAGCTGCTAGTGCTGCATTCACAAAACAAGCGAGTTCGCTCCCCAAAAGGGCAAAGTCAGGAGGTCTCTTTAAACCAGACATTGTTGGACCACAGCTCCCGTCAGGCTCAGTGAGCGCGGCGCGACCATTAGGGATGATGGGAGTCGTAGTCCACCAAAACAGCTGACCCCACAATTCCTACTGGTTTCTAGTCACGAGGCGAAAATGTTCTGGCCGTTTTTTTTACGTCACCGGGCAAACCGCTTTAGCTTGCGTAGGGAAAGCCAGACGAGAGAAGGGCGAGGGAGGAGCCCCGGGGACAAAAGTCTTTCCTGACGGGCGGAAGGAGAGGCTGACGGGTGTGGCTAAGCTAAAAAGCAACGGCTGTGAGAGACTGGCTGCGACGAGAGCGTGACGTAAAAAGGAGGCGGGGCCCGCGCGTGCCAGTAAAGCTAGGGCAGCGGACAGCTGGCGGGTGGCGTGAACTGCTCTTTAAGGGCCCAGTGCCTGTGGTTGACAAAGACACTTCCGGCTTCTTATTGCGGTTCGAATCCTCTTGATGAGGGACTAGAGCTTTGGAAGTACATAGGAATCAATGTAAAACGGCATACAAACAGCAACTCTAAAACGAAAAGCAGATTTCTTAAGAGGTTGCATGGCTTTGCGGTGATCATACCTCTGTTCCCCTCATTCTGCGCTCAAAGTAGAGAAGTTATAAGCAGGTTTCACGTTAAATACTATACATTTAAAGCGTATTTCCCGCCACCCCAAATAATCATTTTCCTTTACATTTCTATCCCCATGCTTTTTAGGTAGTCCCTTTCCGTAAGCGTGCACCCAGTCTTCTTTTAATTGATTGTATGCCGCTGTACTGGAATCCGAGTAAATAAAGAAACAGTGCTGTGTAAAATGGTTAGAGTTTAAGACTGGGGTATGGAAGACCAGGATTCAAATCCTTACTGAGCATGTTGCTCAGATTGCCTCAGTCACTCTCTGTAGCTTTGCTCATGATAATGTGTCATTTGTGGAATCTTTTGTTGTTGACCAACATTCGGCCTTGCTCTGTTTAGTTTTGAGTAGATATGCATAGTGGGATCAGTGGTGCTGCTAATGCAAGGATCTGGGTGAAAAAGAGTTCTGGACCTGTAACAGAAAGATAGCGCTCTGTGCGTGTAATCAAGCTGTTTGTGTGGCTCTGCTATTTTCATTTGGGTCTACAAAAGAGAAACAATAGTTTTATTCCCTACTGCGAATGCTTTAACTACTCTGAGCATGACTAATGTTGGATGCAATCCAATATAACTGCAACAGAGCATTACATTTCATACATCTGCTGAAGTTTATGTTCACTTAAGATTGTGCTATAACAATTTGCACAGTAGCACAATGCAACCTAGATTTAATCCTTAAAAATTAAATGGATTTATTCCCAGGCAAATGTCTGCAATCCTAATTTGGTAAGCCCGATTGTAGCCAAGAGGCTCCACCTCTGTGTATGCATACACTGTTGTTTTTAAATAAATGTTTCTTAAATTTTGAGAATACAACCCCAAATAATCAATAGGATATACTAATCAAGCAAAGGAATATGTAAAAAGAAAAGAAAAAAAACCCAATAAGCCCGCACTGTTAGCGCCCCTGAAAACTCTTGTCTCTCTTCTCCGTTCGCCAACCAATAAGCGAGCGGAGGGCTCGAAATGGGCGTGGCGCGATGGCGGAGGTGCCGCGTGAGGGGAGTGGGCGTAGCCCGGCGCGCGGAGACCCGGGAGGCGTGGCCTCCGCAGCGGCTTCTAGTCGCCTTTCCCCTCCCCTCCCCCCCTCCGGCACTTGTGAGTGACAGGCGGGAGTTCAGGAGCTGCGAGGACGCCGAGTCGCCGTTGCCGCCGCCAAACCGTGGAAGAAGAAGCCGCTTTTTCGCCGCCCGGAGCGCTGCTTCTGCCGCCTCCTCCCCTTCTTCCTCCTCCTCTCTTACGCAGTACTATGAGGCGGCCCTGACGGGGGGCGCCGCAGCCCGCCCGCCCTGCCCCCCTTCCCCCCCTCCTCGTCCCCCCCTCGCTCCCAGCCCCCTGTCCTCGCCTCAGCCCAGCCCAACGAAGCCCGGCGCGGCGGCGGGGTCAGGGCTCCCCACCCGCCCCCCGATGACTGCGGCAAACTGCGGCGGCGCCAACGACGAGTTCGACTTCAGGCTCATCTTCGGGGAGGACGGGCAGCAGCCGGGCCCGGGGCCGCCGCCGTCGACGACGACGCCACTGCCACAGCCGCTTGGGCCTGCCGCCGCCTCAGCAGGTGCGTCTCGCCGACCAGGCTGGCTCGCCTGTTGCCCTCTGGCTCGGCCGGGGGCGGGGGGGAGGCGGCAGCTTTGCAACTCCTTCCAGCCGCTTCGGACGCGACGGGGCTTCGGGGAGGTGCGGCGGGGTAGGGGGAGAAGATTGCCACCAACCAAGTCCTACTCGGAGCAGAGCAGTGGGAATTAACGGACCTGAATTAGTCACGCCCTTTTATTTCGTTGGGACTACTCCGAGCAGGTCTTGGTTGGCTGCAGCCCTTGATTTCCCTACCCGAGTTGCGCTGGCCTTAGGGTTGGTGAGGAGTGTGCGCCTGATGGTGGCCCTGCGATTCAGCGCACGTTTAATTTGTCTGTAATTAATAAATTCTGCTGTAACAGAAGCCCCCCAAAAGATTTTTGCGGAACTTTGAAGCCTGATAACAAACTTCTCCGAGTAGACGAGTGTAAGGTTACTCAGGAGTAAGGCCCAGTGGTCACAGGGTCGGCGTGCGTAGGATCCGGGTCACAGGGCGTGGCTGCTGTGTATATATTGTGGACGCATAGAGTAAGCCCCTTTTGGTTCCACTGACTTGATTCTGCGTAAGTGTATGTTAAGTTACTTGGAAGAAAGTGACATTGACCCCAGTGACAAAATTGATGTGCGTGGAATTGGACCACGAGGTCATGAGCGAGGAACTCTTGACGGAATAAATTTATTCGAGATTAAGAGTGAATCCTATTGGAACCCATATCTACTAAAAAAATTAATAAACATGGTCAAATCTTCTTCAGGATCAGTGTGCGTATGATCAAGCTGCATGTCTATTTGGTTCAATTCAGTGACTTAAATATATGCTTGGGGCAATCCATAATAAGCCTACATGGGAATAGATCTTGTTGGACCTAGTGGGACGTGATTCAGAGTAAGCACACATAGGATTCAGCCATATGTCTGCTGTAAATGCTACGCACATTTCACTAGTGAGTAATTGTTATTTTTTTAGGTAACACTAGCAGGACAGGTGCCTGCTTGGAGGAGCGTACAAACTAAAATTGGGCTCACTTCTGAGTGTAAAAAATGAATACAATTGTATGCACTCTCAGGGGACAAAGTAGCATTGAACTCTGTAACTATGCATAGGATTTGACTCTTACGGTAGCTTCAGTCTTTCGTACATTTTCTTCAAAGCAAGTCCCATTGAACTTTATACTCTTGTTATGGAATTCTGGACATTCTCTCCCACCCCACCCCACCCCATCGGTTCTCTTCCCCACAAATGCTCAAGGACAGATGGATCAGAGAATGAAGCTTGCTTCTGAGTAAGCATGAATAAGATTGTTAGTTCTCCAGGTCCTGAATGAGGAAAGAATAATGAATGTTTTGTTTGGGCTCAAAGATCCCAGAAAGTGTTGTGAGATGTTGAACTCTTGGTAAGGGAGACTGTATATATCCTGTTTGGAAACTTCTGTGAAGCTGATAGAAAATAACTTGGGTTGAACATAGTGTATTTTGCACATATGAGGCAGCTGTATACTGAACTGGTTCATGTAGCCCACTATTGCTGCCTCTGACTGGCAGTGACTCAGGCCAGAGGTTTTCCCCAGCTTTGTCATATGAGATCCTCTTAACTGTCAGGGATTGAACTTAGGACCTCAGCACATGAAAAACACATCCTCTACTACTGAGCTATGAACTCTGTGTTCTTGGAGGTTCCTGCGGCGTTAAGGCAGCAGACGGGTAGTGAGAGGGGTGGTTGGAGGTTGTATCTGGAGTTGTCTTTGCATACGAAAAGGGGTGGGTGGTTGGGGTGCCCAGCTGTAATATTTCATTGATAAAGCAAATTTCAAATGGTCATTAAGTGAGCTGAACTGAGGATTCTGTAGCCAGCTTTTATTTGAATGGTTGGTGCTTTTACAAACTGATGTTAAATCAAATACCAAACTTAGCAAATTTAAGCCTCAAACCAAGAAGCCTACTGGGAGAGCTGGCATTCAGACTATTTATTTGTGATGTGGTCTGTTAGTTCCATAACTTTCTGGGAAGTCACTGGTTTATGATTCTGTTTTCTGGAGGTGTTTGGTTTATTTTGGGCAGTTTCTTTAAGGTAGTTTATTTATGGCAGGTGGGATAACGAAGTAATTTAGTGTATATGGTCTGTAAGAATTATGCAAGTACTATAATGAAAAAAATGTAGGAAGTTTCTATCCTCCAAGAAAAAAAATATAGAAAAATAAACCACAATAAACACAAGAGAAGTCAACTACAAAAAAATAAATAAAAAAAATACAACATTCCTCTGGGGGACACAAACCTGAACAGACTAGTCTGCTATGCCAAAGGCTATGCAGTAGTGTGAAAATGGAGGAATTGGTGGTGAATCTGTCAAGCTGTTGTCTTAGGAAGTAAACTGCTTGTGGAAGATAAATGCTGTATTTACTCGAGTTTAATGCGCCATCAAATCTAATGCACACCTCAGTTTTCAGAACCTTGAAACCAAAAACATATTTGTTGGCGAATGTAAATGTGCCATTGAGTGTAATGCACAGCTTAATTTTTGCAATGTTATTTGGCCAGAAAAAGTGAGCATTAGATTTGAGTAAATACGGTATATTCAAATCACCTTGGCCCTCAGTGGTCCTGAAAGCTGCATACCTAGAATTGAGGAATCCTGAAGTGCCTTAGTGAAATAAGTGCAACAGGGTCTCAATAGCATGTGCGTGATGATTATGAACAAGCTGCGAAAAAGGAAATAAAGAGCAAGTGTATGAAGGAACTGAAACTGGCAGTATTTTGATGAAAGCCTCTGTGAAGATTATGGACATTTTGAGGCAGGTTACTTCTAAAGAAGAGCACAGTGTAAAATATCCTTTTATCATTCAATGAATCCTTGACCAAGTTATATGTTAGTGATGGTAACAGTAATCTTGTTTGTACTGTGTTGTTGAAGAATATTTGTATAACGTGCATAGAACTTGATTATGGGCACAATCATAGAACTGTAGTGTTGGAAGGTACCCCCAAGGGTTATCTAGTCCAACCCCCTGCAATGGGGCTAAAGAATCACAGACAGCTAAAGAATCACAGACAGATGGCCATCTAACCTCCCTTCAACTTCCAGTGAAGGAGAGTTCGCCACGTTCTGAGGAAGTTGGTTTCAATACAGGCAGACTATATGGTAATCCAGTATTAAACTGTTTAGTGCCTTAAAAGTTAATTTGAGCATGGAAATGCATTGTTAGCCACTTATTTTTGTGAAATGAATAACTTACGAATCTCTTAAAACATAGCATAACCACATACCCCCAAGAAAAAAATGAAGGAAGCAAGGAATAAGGCTAACGCTTTAGGATGTTAGTGAAGATGATACGCAAATAGCACATGGCTATTTTGGGAAGTCTAGTTTTGAAAATGCACTTCATGTTTTTAAAAATATACTAGAAAAAACTGTTTAAAAAAAGATCGGCAAGTATTGTTGATTCAAATGACCTGCTTCAACGTGATTTGTTCATCAGGTTCAGTATTCTTAATCTTTAATTGACTTGTAAATTAGCTGCATTCCTCATAAGAATTCCCATCAGGTGAATAGGCATGAACGTTTTTCTAATTTGGAATAGTTACTGTTATTAGTTTAATGCTTGCTTTTTCAGAAAAGTTATTTGCAGGGTAAAAATAAACATTAAAACAAGAACCTAAAATGCTTACCCCATTAGAAAGATGAGTAGAAGAAGAGGCAGTAAACCTATCTATGGACCCCCCAAATTGAGGACCAAAAGCCTGGGTGAATAAGAATATTTTTTCCTGGCGTTTAAAAGCAGATAGTGATGCTGCCAGGCTTGCCTCCCTGAGAAGAGCATTTCTCCAAGCTTCTCCCCTTCATTTAAACCCTACGACAACCCTGTGAGGTTATGCTGAGAGGTAGTAACTGGCCCAGCAAGCTTCATGGCCAAGTGGGGATTTAAACTCAGGTGCTAGTCAGACACACTAACCACTATATCATACTGACGTTAGCAAGTGGCAAGTGCCATAACTGTCCTTTCCTTCACACTTGCAAGATTTCTTTCCTTGTGTTCTTTAAAGTCTTCAGTAAAATTGTACATACTGGCTGCCACTGGGCAGCTCCACTTATGAAGCACCATTGCAAGTAGCACAAAGGCAAATCCTCTGCATTAGCACCTCATCATTTTGTTTTGCTTAATTTTACTTTAATATATTTCAAGTTTTGTGTTTCCTTTCATTTATAAAAGAGTGCACATTTGCTGCATGTGTGGACAGGATATTGTGCGTTGAAAGGGAACTTGCAGGAATATGATGTAAAGTTGAGCCATGCCTTGTGGTGAAAGGCTGTGTATCTGCATGCAAGTGATAGAATCAGGAAGTATTTAAAGATAACTCAACTGGGACGCTATAGGTCCAGTGTAACTAAAGTAAAAGGTAAAGGTACCCCTGCCCGTACGGGCCAGTCGTGTCCGACTCTAGGGTTGTGCGCCCATCTCACTTAAGAGGCCGGGGGCCAGTGCTGTCCAGAGACACTTCCGGGTCACGTGGCCAGCGTGACGAAGCTGCTCTGGCGAGCCAGCACCAGCGCAGCACACGGAAACGCCGTTTACCTTCCCACTATAAAGTGGTACCTATTTATCTACTTGCACTTAGGGGTGCTTTCAAACTGCTAGGTGGGCAGGAGTTGGGACTGAAAGACGGGAGCTCACCCCGCCGCGGGGATTCGAACCGCCGACCATGCGATCGGCAAGCCCTAGGCGCTGAGGTTTTACCCACAGCGCCACCCGCGTCCCGCCAGTGTAACTAGATGTTCCTTAATAATTGGATATGAATAGAGGGATTTTAAAGTTGAGATGAACTGTTTCTTAAATATTCCTTTTCAGCCTGGATAGGTTCCCCAAACACTTTATGGCTAAAATCCATACAAATTACAATTTAATTAGGGACACGGTGGTGACATGCGTGTTGGGGGAGCAGTCTTTGGCCCTTAGAAATTGATGCCACAGTCCAGGTCCCAGGCTTTTCCCACCAAAGGAAAATGGTTTAAAAAACTAAAGATTGACTCAGGGACTGGGTGATCATAAATTTAAACCCACAGAAGTCTTCCCTCTGTTGATCTTCTTTCTTTATTCTTTCTTTGGTGATCACTTGTAGCTGTGTAAGATTGTCTTCCATGAACACAGTCTTAACAGTGAGTCCATAAGTGGCTGTGGAGACCAACTCTGCATCCACACGTCCTTCCACATTGGGGACATAGGTTTCCAGGCGGGAGTTGATCATGGTGAGGGTTTGCCAAATGTGCCTTCCTCTTAGCTTGTTTTTCCGTTTCGTCCTACAGTCTTCTAGACCCTGTCATCACACCAGTATCTATATACCAAGCCTTTGTTCTTGTTAAATATTGTAGAATGTTCTTACTAAATATGATTTTTGGCAGCAAAATGTGTTTAACTGGCTAAAATCAGGTAGCTATGGTAGTTCATCTGTACAGAATTCAGAGTTATAAAACTGGTATGTGCAGAAACCCATTACTGACAGTACTGCTGAAAGAGGCTGCTAATAAAAAAAGGACTGAGGCTAAAATAGCTTGAACTGTTTATGTATTGACATTTTGTAAAAGTTCAAAGTTATTTATTGGAAGTGCAAGGTTGTTTTTTTGGCTGCTCTTTGAGGATTGTGGCAGTTTTAATGAAGGGGATGAAGAGTTTGACAGGGTAGTATTGTATTTATAAGCTCACACTGCAAGCTTCTTCATATTGTAAACGACTTAACACTTTTTGTGGATGACTACTTAAAATAAGCCCCACATAATTAGTTCCAGTGTTAGTCTGTTCGCACTGATTGTTGCTGCCTTTGTTTGTATCTATCCATTTGCATTTATGAAAAAAGTGCCTTACATAAGACACACAATATTACCAAACTTTGTGCAAATAAAGATGCAAAATTTCCTTGAATTCTGAAGATAGGGAGGATAATGGTGGTAGTTTGTTTAAATGCAGAGAAGGAAAACAAATCTACAGTAATTGCTTTTAGCTTGTATTAGGAATAGGTATCCTAAATAGTATTTTGCATACTTATTAATTTTACTTTGTTCAAATTACTATAGCTATGCATGGTATATATCTTAACTGGACCTGGTGAAATATGATAGCTTAAAATTTGAGCCTCAAAACGTTTCAGTCACCACAGAATGGAGGAGAGGGGAAAGTGGTTTGGTTCACGTGTCCTGTCAAACCATAGTTAAAATAAACTGTAGCTTAATGTGAATGTGCTGCATGCTGGCATATGGCAATCAAGCTACTGGGAAACAAGCCCATGGTATCACTTGCATCATCTAGACCAAGACTTGTGACTTTGTCTCTAAACCATGAGTGAAAGGTCTGAGTTTGGATGACACCACATGCTACACAGCATGGCTTTCAGGACCAGGCATCGGACTTCCCATACCCCAACCCAAATAATAAGAGACCAATGAGATTGGCTTTGGGTCAAAACAGGCCACAACTTTATTGAATACAGATGAAAGTGGTTTGGCTAGGGCATTGGGCAATCTAAATACTTCCTGCCCGCTTGCCAGAAATGATGCATGGTCAATCCAGGTGGGGGTTCCTAAGACTTATATTCAATAGGGTGACCCCCACAGGGATCACCGTCTGGGGGAGTGCCTTCAGCCCAGGCCCTGCCAGGGCACGCGGACATGGCCATTCCCCCTGGATCCCCGGATACCCCAGCGTTTGTAGGGGCAGGCGGAAACTACAATCTCCCCTCCATCCAAAACAAAGGATTGCCCCAATGCCCAACCAGTTGTGATGATTGCTATGAGGTAGGCAAAACCACTGGGTCAGTGTCAATTAGCCTGATGGCCATAGCAGCAGGAGCAGAGGAGGAAGGAAGCACCCATTATTTTAGCAATGCTTGTTTACATTAAGCCATAGTTTATTTTAACAATGGTTTAATGTGATGTACAAACCAGGCTAGCCTATTGGATGAACTTCAGCTTTCATGGCATGCCTTCCTCTTCTCTTAGATTATTTAAGAGGAGAAGAAATGGGGCAGATGATGTTGATGTGGATATCACATTGGTTGTAGGAGTTAAAAGTAACATGCCTTTTCAAGTCCATGTTGTAATATTTTATGAAAGTATATTGCTTCTTTTAAATAAACTTTCCCAATTTACTTGAAAGTAACATGGATTTTCTTGAGAGAAAAGTTGACTGAGTTGCACTTTTGATAACCCTTTAAACACACACACGAACATATTTGTACATGTTTTGAAAATTACAATAACTTATTGCCTTCTGTTACCCTGTTTTAAAAACATGGTTGTGACTGCATATTTAAAACATTCATATCCTGCCTTTTGGCCTCATAAGCTATATGGTGAAGTATAGAGGATGTAATTCTGAGAACAAAATAAATATCATAGCTGTTAACTTATGCACAAATTAGAAACAGCAGCATCATTGACAATAGGCATATATTTTTTTAAAAAAATTCTGGAAGCAGGTGAGGAGGAGCTGGTGGTGGAATTTAGCATGATGAAGTTTCCTAAGTGAGCAAAAGAATCTTTTATCCTAGTTAATTAGGAGGGAAAGCTTTCATGTGTAACTAAAAAAACTGTGGAGATAATGGCCATAAAAATGTTTTATTTAGTGCCATTTATGTACCTGTCAGTTTACAGAGTAATGTAAGCCAAAGGACAGCTCCTTGTCTGTAAGAGCTCATAATTTAAAAAGGGAGAGGAAGATCAAGAAAGAGTAATAGGATGATTGTGCAGCAATACAGTTATATATACTTATTTTTTTGTGGAATGAGAGGTTTCACAGAAGAGTTGGTTGGGAGGGATTTAAAGGATGGATTCATGCAGTGTATGTATCCCGGGAGGTAGCACCAGCAGGAGGGAAGGCCTGCATGGGAGAATGATATTATTTTAAGTGATCAGTAGGTCTTTAGATTGAGGTTTTGCTTCAAGGTAGTAATTGGGAGGTATGATAATCATGGCAGTGATATCTTGGAATATGAAGCTTTTGGAGAGCTTTAAAATTAAGGACAAGAAGTTTGTGCTGGTTGTTGAAAAGGACAAGGTGCCAGTGAAGCAAGCTGAGGCATTGCAAGGTCTAAGTAAGGTGAATGATTTGGCTGCCTTATTCTGGTTACAGGTGGCTGAGTTATAGTAAAAAGTTAGAAAATATGGTTGCAGTAATCCAGGTGGGCAGAATGTTCTGGATTGGTCTTGCCAAAAAACAAAGGTTTTGACATGTTATAATAGGTACATTCCAGAGGAAACGTGGTATTTGAGTCTTATCTGAGAGACATGTGGCTGTATTTTGCTACCCTAAACAAGCTTGAGATGGTCATCATGACACTACCAAACTTCATGGTGGGGAAAACTGAGTGTTTCTTGAGTGAATGAGTAAATAAAATAAAATCCTACTTGAAGTGGTTTTCTGGAGAAAACCAGTGGAACTTGATTGAGAGACTGTAAGACTAAAATGTTGAGCAGGTGCCCAAGAGCTTGGTGTATTTAGAATTCTAACTGTTTTCTTGCACAACTTGCCTGTTTTGTATCACTTTATAAAATACTTAGTAATTTAACCAGCTTTTAGTTCTTTTTGTTTATAAATCTGCAGCAGTGAGTGTTATCATAAATGGAGAACAAAACACAGCCCTGAAGATGTTGGGCATTTGGTTAGCTCATCATAATTTACGTAACATATGGACTTATTTATCTCTTAATTTTTAGTGTTCCTTATTTTGTCTATAACGAATACAGTAAGCTTTCATGTCTTGCCTCAGATCATTGCAGAATAAAAGTTATGTTTATATGAGATAAGGATTGTTTGTGTTTAAAAAACTGTTTGAAAATGAAACTGACAGATACAGTTGAGGCAATTATAATTAAGTGAAGTTATGAGCTAGTTAATAGAATGGTTGAATTTTGGAACTGGTTATTGGGATTCAAGTCCCAGTTCAGCCTTGAATCTTGGAGCAAGTTATTTCTTCCAAGCTTTGGTTTTTCTATAAGATTGGAATTGTAGTGATTGACTTCCTAGTTGTGTGGGGTGCACACTAAAGTTGGTATAGACAGAAATACCGTATTGAATGCATTGGTCTGGTTTGTACATCACACTAAACCAGGCATGGCCAAACTTGGCCCTTTAGCTGTTTTTGAACTACAACTCCAATCATCCCTAGCTAACAGGACCAGTGGTTGGGATGATGGGAACTGTAGTTCAAAAACAGCTGGAGGGCCAAGTTTGGCCATGCGTGCACTAAGCCAAAGGTAAACCATAGAGAGGTGATATGCATATGCATAACTTGTAAGCCAAACTATGACTTAGCAAGGTCATGTGATCCACTTTGCTCCTTCCAAGTTCTTTTTACTGTTGCACTGTACTGAAATAAACTAAGGTTTGGCTTGAAATGTTGGCATGTTGTCCGAAAAAGGGCTTGTGGCTAAGTGTTCACCTCATTCAGTGCTATTTCTCCGGAAAAAGAGGTACCAGAACTCATCATGAATGCCTCCCTTGCTCTCTTTAATGGCAATGGCACCCACCTGAGAGGTGCCAGAACTGAATTCCAGTGAGTTCCGGCTGAAAAAAAGTCCTGATCTCACTAATCATGATCTGTTTGTAGGGGAACTTAAGATAAATTTGTTGAGAGAGTTGTTGGCATACCCTAGGGGTGGGTATCTTAGCTGAGGTGTTTTTCTTGCTTTTAAAACATGTTGACAAGCACTGTATTCATTTGTGTAGTTGTGACTTGCAGTATGTGAGGCATGACTTGCCAAATGCTAGTAAAAGGCACCTTTTAAACAATTAAAAATTGGGTAATGTAGTGAAAGCCATACATAATGGAGAATAATCACTTAAACTTTCTGTTTAAATTTTTATGTCTTTTCTGCACTATAGATGTACAGTGAATGTGTTTTTTGGGGGGGGGGACTTCAGAGAGGTTCAGTTTGTTAGTTGAGGACAGAACAGAAGTTGCTTTAAGGTTTCATCACCATGTGTCACAGCTGTAAAGCAAAGGCTGTAGGTTGAGGAATTGGGCAGGGAAAGGATCCTGTTACTAGGCAGACTTAACAGCAATGTCATATTTTCTGGCACAGACAGTGAGAGCAGTTTCATTTTTCATCTGCTCTTGGCTAGCATCTCTGTAGCTTGGAGGGTAAATTGGGCAGGACAAGCAAACCACACATATAACATGTCCAGGTTCATACATAATGCTAAACAACAATTAAGGTTATTAAGCCAAGAGCATCCCATGGATTCTTATTTTCCAACAGACCATAGTTAATAAACCATAGTCAAGATGCTGGGTTGGGTTTTCATTTAACACCAAACCATGGTTTAACATTGTGTGTGAATCAGGCCAATGTGTAGGTGGTTTCTTTGGACTCAGTATTCTCAGAAAATACTATTATGGAAGGAGAAGCATACCTCACATGGAACACATCCAACTAAGGGAGATGCTGATGTTCTTTAATAATTGTCAGCGTTTGTTGCTCCTCCAAGGTATCTTCTAAGGTTATAGTATATCTTACATTATAAAAACAGTTACTTGATCATGCAGTTCAATGTGAGTTTGTCATGTCTGGGCTCAAATGTGTGGAGGAGAGGACAATTTGCTTTTATATGGCAGTTTAATTACTGTGTTAGCTTCTGTGATAATGCCAAAACATTAGGCTTCTGGATTCTTGTCTAGAGACTGTATAGTAATATTGGCATTGTCTAAATTAATTTGATAATGTTTTCCCATTCCATTCACCCTCATTAGTACAAGAATCTAGAAAATGATGGGAGTTATAGTTTAGCAGTATCTGGAGGGCTGAAGGTTCCCCACACCTGGTTTATATGAAGTCTGCATTAACTTTTGTGCTCAGTGATTCAGTTACATATATGCACAATACAGGCAGCGAGCGATTTAGGTGTGTCCAATATGTGCTTGACTTCGCACAATGCGCAGCACACTGAACTTGGAGATGACCTGAAAACCTCTCAAAAACATCACAGAAGGGATAGAACTGGTGAGGGCAGGGATGGGACAGGGCAGCCTTACGCAGGCCCCACCAACATATGTGCTTCCAGAATGTAACCCCCATGTGAATTGGTTGCCTGTATTACATATTGTCTAGGTCAGGCTTTGTTGCTTTAATAGCAGTCTGTGCTGTGAAGTTGAATTAGCCTAACTTTACATGCTGGTGTGCCATCACCAACAAAAGGTCATTTGGCATGTGTATATACAAACAATGGAAAGCTCAACTTGGCACTTCTCTGACACTGGATTACTGCAGAGATTATTGTCCTAAAAGGCCATGTCCCTTAGTTGTGCAATTCCTATATGGACAGCACCTCTTTGTATACCAGAGTTGGAGAAGCTTTAGGCCTCAAGATATGGTTGGACTCGAACTCCCATAATTGCTGACAATTGATCATGGTGGCTGGTGTTGATGGGTGTTGGGAGTCCCACAACATACAGGAAGCCACAGGTTCCTCGTCCCTGGTGTGGGCCATAGTATGTGAGTGGCAATTTTACATGTGTGTGTGTTCCAACGTGTGTATACACAGTGGGGAAGGCAGGAAGATTCTGACGAAGTATATCTGACAGAAGTACCCCACATATAAGGGCATTTGCCCATGGTCTCTATTCAAAGTTTCATATTCATTCTCATACAGAATAGCATTCTGTTTTAAGAATTCTGCAATGTATTAAGTGGCCTTAAATATACTGTGGATTTGCTGCTGCTGTGTAGATTATGTTCTCTAATGAGAAAACATCAGTTTGTTTAAAAATGCATGAGGTTTGGTGCTCATTTTGTTGTAGCCACATTTTAAACATGCATTTGTTGGCCTTTGTGCTGGAAAGGGTAGCTGTACAAACCAGTTAGACCTTTTTTTGGTCAGGATATACTAGAAGGAGGAATATTTCAAATCTTGGTCTCAAAGAAAGCTACAGGCACATTTAGCATTTACACTGTACAAGTGAGAAATGTGTCAAACAATGTGGAATGAGCAGTTATATTGTTTGTTTAGCAGCAGCAATGACATTCTGCTGGTATTGTAATTCATGAGATCAACACTATCGTTTGAATCATTTGTTCACAAATGTCTGTTTCACTGAACTGTAAAGTTATAGGCTCTGTTTCAAAGTGATGCAAAAGCATATTTTAGTAGTACAAGGCCTTCTTCAACAACAGATTCCTATATTCCTGCTGTTTCTGGTTGGGGCTGCAAGGAAGGGATTGAAAGCATCACTTTCCTAGTTTAAACTAATGCTGGCAGTAATTAATGAATCAAATTATGTATAGACTTCAACAAAAAATATGAAGATAATATTCCCAGCTGATGATATACTGTATTTCTTGCCGTATTTTTCGCTCCATAAGACACACCTATTTTTTAGAGGGGGATTGCAAGAAAAAAAATATTCTTTAAAGGGAGCGCTGAGCAGAGCCTGTATGCATCCCAGGCTCTGCTCAGCATTCCCTTTCACAAGCCGCGTGGAGTGCGTGTGCGGCGCTTGCAGGCTTTTCCCCGAGGAGGGAGAAGCCTCCAAGAGCCGCACACACGCTCCGCGCGGCTCGTGAAAGGGAGCGCGGCTCTTGCTGGCTTTGGCGGGAGGTAGGGGAAGGGACAGAGGGATGGCCTCTGTCACTTCCCCCACCTCCCGCCAAAGCCAGCAAGAGCCGCGCTCCCTTTAAAGAGCGTGGAGAGCGTGCTTTTCCCGCCTGCCTCCCGCCTGCATTTGCTCCATAAGATGCACACACATTTCCCCTTATTTTTTAGGAGGGAAAAAGTGCGTCTTATGAAGCGAAAAATATGGCACTTCTAAGCAAAGCTGCTTTTTTTTTTTTTAAGATGCTGCCCAGCTTTAGTATGACCTTCAATAACTGAAGTATTTCTGTTGCCATTTGTGTGATCTGCACTATGTGCTGAGATCCTTTAGAAGTAAAATGTGAAGTACAGTTAGGCTGCTAGGTTTTTTTAACCATTCTTTGAAAGAACACACACAGAAAATGAATGTGCATGAATCTGGTACATGTGGTTTGGAAAGGATAGGCTTCTTGTTTTTTGTTTTTAAATAGTGAGTATTGTCTGCCTTCAAGGATAGGGCAGCTTGTCTAAATAAAATAAGCATACTGAAGGAAGAAGCTCTTTTTCTGTAGAATTCAAATTTTACAGGAAGCTAACAAACTTGGTACTGATCTGATGTTACCTTTTTATTAATGAATCAAACTTTTTTAAAAAAATTGAATGAATTTTTGTAATGATTTGGTTATATTATATTAATTTTATCTCCTGTGCTTTTCTTTTATATTGCTCTCTTAGTATTTTGAAATGTTAACTGTTTTGGACACTTTGTTGAAGAAGGGTAATGGAATTGCTAGAAATGTCAGTGTAATGAAAAATTCCTAAAACAAAGTATTTAAATAGTTTACCAAGTTACAATAACTGCACTTCAATGTCTCTTTCAGATCTTGAACCTGATGACTGTGCTTCTGTGTGCATCTTCAGTGTAGATCATTCATCATCTGTAAATCATCCTATTTGTATCCCTTGTCATGGATTTCAGTCACATCATTCTCCTTTGTCTTCGCCTACTAGACTGCAGGGTCATAAAAGCTATGAAGGAATGTGTGAAGTACCACAATCCAAGTACAGTGCACTAGGTGGTCCTAAGACATTTGAGTGTCCTAGCATTCAAATTACATCTATTTCTCCTAACTGTCATCAAGGAATAGAAGCCAGTGAAAATGAATTGCACACAAATGGCCCTCAAAATGAATATATGGAAAGGCCTTCAAGGGACCATTTGTATCTTCCTCTTGAGCCATCTTACAGGGATTCGTCCCTTAGCCCAAGTCCTGCCAGCAGCATTTCCTCCCGAAGCTGGTTCTCGGATGCCTCGTCTTGTGAGTCGATTTCTCATATTTATGATGATGTGGATTCAGAACTGAATGAAGCTGCTGCTCGATTTACCCTTGGATCACCTTTGGCATCTCCTGGAGGTTCTCCAAGGGGCTGTCCAGTGGATGAACCCTGGCAACAATCTTATGGATTTGGGCATGCCTTGTCACCTAGACAATCTCCTTGTCATTCTCCTAGGACTAGTATCACAGATGAAAATTGGCTTAGCCCTAGGCCAACCTCAAGACCATCATCGCGACCTACATCACCGTGTGGGAAACGGCGACATTCTAGTGCTGAGATCTGTTATGTTGGTTCACTTTCTCCTCACCATTCTCCAACTCCCTCTCCAGGACATTCTCCTAGGGGAAGTATAACTGAAGACACATGGCTAAATTCTTCTCTTCATGGTCTGACTCCTGGCCTTTCACCTTTTCAGTGTTGTGCAGAGACTGACATCCCTCTTAAAACACGAAAGACCTCTGAGGATCAAACTGCCATTATATCAGGAAAAATAGAGCTTTGTTCTGAAGAACAGGGTAGTTTATCACCATCACTTGAAACAGCAATAGATGATAGCTCTGGAGCCCAGCATATGTTAAAAAAAGACTTGTCTGGTGACCAATTTCTTTCTGTTCCTTCACACTTCACCTGGAACAAACCAAAGCCTGGCCATACTCCTATCTTTCGGTAAGTAATTGTGGGAAATGGACTACTTGTGCTGTTCTCTTTATATGTACATATGACTAGAAGTTGATACACTGTAATACAAGATAGTAAGTCTCTTTAGGCAGTTGTATTCCTAAGGTATTTTGTTGTAAACAAATCACCTAGTGCCTGAACATTATATTGCCTCACAAATTACAACTAAATAACTTGTAAATCATTGAATAGGTGTAGAGATAATTTGGCCTAGACACAGGCCTCATTCAAGCATAGTGCTAAGCTATTTAAAGTTTCACTTCCAGTTTTAACTCTTCAAACATGGATAAACTGTGGTCAATCTTAACTATGGTTTAGGGAAACAAATCAAGCCATGGTTAATTTATTTCCCATGGCTTATTTCCCCAGGCTATGGTGAAAATTAGTTAAGATAAATCAGTTTTGGATTTGGATATAACAATAAATTTCAAACACTTAAAAATGAAAGTCAAAGTTCCTGATCTCTTTGTAGCCTTGCCAGAGAATTAGAGACTAATGAAGAGGGCGGGAAGAGACACAAGCCCATAGTTTAGTGTTGTATAAAAGGTAAAAAGGTAAAGGACCCCTGGACGGTTAAGTCCAGTCAGAGGTGACTATGTGGTTGCGGCACTCATCTCACTTTCAGGCTGAGGAAGCCGGCGTTTGCCCACAGACAGCTTTCTGGGTCATGTGGCTAGCATGACTAAACTGCTTCTGGTGCAACGGAACACTGTGTATCCAAAGCAAACCACAGTGACCCAGTTCACATGACATGGTGAGCCAAACTATGGCTTAGCATGACTATGCAAACATGGACTTCCAGAGAGGAGCTTGCAAATTGACTGCTGGTTGGAGCTGATGGTTGTTGGAGTCCAACAGTATCTGGAGGACCACAGGTTGCCCAATCCTGCTCTGTACCCTTCCAAGCTGTAAACAAGAAAGTACATATGCTGCTGTTATGGTACTATACTCTGTTCTTTGCTAGATGTTCTACAGATGTTTCTACAGATGTAGAAACAGATAGGAATTTCGCCTCTTATCTCTCCCCCTCCCCTTTTTCTCCACCAGAATGTAGCATTTTCAGAATCTTACGATCAAAGTAGGGCACATCCACACCATACATTTAAAGCACATTTAACACATATTTCAAGCACATGGCTTTCCCCCAATAACCCCAGGAACTGTAGTTTATTAAGGGTGTTGGGAATTGTTGTCATGTGAGGGGTAAACTATAGTTTCCTCAGGATTCTTTTTTTGGGGAAGCCCCCCCCCCCAATAGTTAACACAGCACCCTTTAGGTCTTTCCGATATTCAGCTGGGCAGCTACACGAATATATCCAATTAGGGACTTGAAATGACAAGCCCCCTTGTTGTTTTGAACAGTGTTTAGCAGGGCCAGTTCCAGAGATTTCAGTATTTGCTGTCCAGACATTTTAGTAATTCAGCAAAGTCCAAAACTGCAACACTTTTTCATAAGTCCAGCATGTATGCTGGAATGACCCTGGTTCCCAGTATCCTCTCCATCATATTATTGAATTAGATATCTTCATTTGAAACAGTCTCATACGCATCATATACCATTTTTGCACAATTTTTAATGTTTGCTCCCTCCTACTAGATGATATGGATTTAAATGGGAATGTTAGTCACATAGAATTCCAGCAACTGCCTTCAATCAAAATATTATTCTCTCTGACTCTCACATCCATTACAGGCCCTCTGCAGTGCCCATATCAATGTTTAAAAGTAGTCATTTGCATTACCACATTTTTCCTTGGTTGGTTGCTTTTTTCAGATAATTTCATCTGGTCCATTGAAATTGATGGACAAGGCTAACTTGGGTACATTAATTTTAGTCGGTTTATTCCAAGTAGAATTTAGTTGGATACAGCCCGCAGAGTTTATGTTGGGTATGTTGAGCCCACTCTTCTCCTTTAGATCTCCCTGATAGAAAAATGAGAGTGCTTTAAATAATTCCTACCCATTTCCCTTCTTTTATCAGTGCAATGGAAAAAATTGGGTATTATTACTTAACATTTGTTTACTAGCCAGATGTCTGAAATCAGAAGGCTTTTTTAGATTTACTCTGATTTTGAATTAGCAATTCAACAATACTTTAATCCTTTTAGGGTTATCAGTCATGGGTTATCAGCCATAGCTATTGGTGACTGCCTAAACAGAAACAAAGCATATCTTAACTATGTATTGCTCAGTAACATTAGAAACTAAGCTATATAAACAAAGCCTTCAAATATATTTGTTGACCTGGGAATAAGTGTCCCCATAAATTCAGCAGGTACCTTTGAAGTTATTAGGTGTTAGAAGAATAAACAGTTTAATGTTTACGCACCATCTAATGGATCTTTAAAAATGCAGTTAGGTTTAAGACGTTAACACAGGTGCGTGTGTTTGCCCTGTGGTGTTCCGATTTTCAGTCTTTTAGCAGTGGCAAACATTCTGACACCAGTTTAAATAAACTTTGGTGCCATGAAGCATTGGCGTTGGATCCTGAAACCATGATTGTTTTGCATTTTCCTAGAAACTGGAGCCAGAAAGACAAACTTACTGGCTGTTGGAGCATCCAAACTTCCCTAAATAAAGCTCCATGTTCAGTTACCAATGTAATAGTGGAAGATAACCTACACATACAGTGGTACCTCGGGTTAAGAACTTAATTCGTTCTGGAGGTCCGTTCTTAACCTGAAACGGTTCTTAACCTGAGGTACTACTTTAGCTAATGGGGCCTCCTGCTGCCGCCGCGCCGCTGCTGTACGATTTCTGTTCTCATCCTTAAGCAAAGTTCTTAACCCGAGGTACTATTTCTGGGTTAGTGGAGTCTGTAACCTGAAGCATCTGTAACCTGAAGTGTCTGTAACCCGAGGTACCACTGTACTTGATTCTTCAAAATTGTGTAGTGCAAGGTCAGAGGCAAAAGAGAGAGAAAAAAACCTTGAAATGAACAGTGTAGGCTAAGGCAACATTTGCTATATAAAGGTAAAGGATCCCTGACAGTTAAGTCCAGTCGCGGACAACTCTGGGGTTGCGGCGCTCATCTTGCTTTACTGGCTGAGGGAGCCGACGTTTGTCCGCAGACAGTTTTTCCGGTTATGTGGCCAGCATGACTAAGCCGCTTCTGGCGAAACCAGAGCAGTGCACGGAAACGCCGTTTACCTTCCCACTGGAGCGGTACCTATTTATCTACTTGCACTTTGACGTGCTTTTGAACTGCTAGGTTGGCAGAAGTTGGGACCGAGCAACGGGAGCTCACCCCGTCACAGGGATTCAAACTGCCGATCTTCCGATCGACAAGCCCTAGGCTCAGTGGTTTAGACCACAGTGCCACCACACATCCCAACATTTGCTATACTTTGTGTAAATAGGTTTGGGGCAATTGATGCTATTTGCCTAAGAGCAGCAAATAGCCTGACATGCAGTTTGACAAAAGAACTTAGGTTTAACAATATTGCCCCTTGGAACAGGAAGCCTGTTTCTCAAGGTTAGAGCTGTAAAACAGAAAGAGTTTTGTGGCTGATCACTCTGCTCTTTGCCCACTTGCATGTTAAAGCAGTACACACTTTCTGCATTAGCTTTGCAATGCTTCTCTTGCTTGGTATTCCTTAGCCAGTTCTGCCATAGATGCTGGGCACTGGTAACTGCTGTGCTATCAGACAAACAAATATTTAAGTAATAACCATAAAGAATTCAACTAAGACTGTCATAGTCAAGTTGAACTACAGTGTATGTCATTAGTGTTTTAAGTGGGCAAATGAGATTCTATGTTCAGATGCTGGATTTACTAAGTGGTTTCCATTTTTTATATGTTATACTTGGACTAGTTTTAGTTGCAAATAATTTTTCTGTCCTCCTGTGAAATTGGATAGGTGTCTTGGACCAGTCAGCTGGGTAACTTTGAGGTGGTAGTGTATATTTGTTTCGTTTTTCATAAATGAGATCAATTTAGTGTAGCATTCTTAATAGTACATTGACCACTCACTGAAGGCTTCTCTTGATGGTGGGATATGAGAAATACTAATAAGCAAAAAAGGGTTTTGGGTAATGTTCTCCCTAATGAACATTTTTAAAATCTGCATCTTTTCTCTGATAGTTTGTTTACTCAAAAATACATTGCTAGCAGATACGCTTTTTACCTTGGTCCCCTCTACTTATTTAAAGTTTAGCTCTTATTTTGAGTAATGCTGACATTTTTTCTGGTATTTTTGTAGGAATTCTCAGCGTTTCATTCTCTTTCCTCTAATGTTAGAGGAGAAAATAATGATGAATAAAGTGTATGCATTTAATTATAATACAGCTGCTATTATTGTCTGCTATTGACAGAGCAGTTGCCAACAAGTGGTGATCATTCTAATAAGAACTCTCATGATTTCTGTCAATTTTGATAATACTACATTTGTATTATTTGTTCATATATGCCCTTGCAGCTTGGGTGAACAAATTCACCTAAGTTTACAAGAAATGCATGCTTTCCTCCTTGGTTTTTCATCTTCTGAAACATGGAAAAAGGTGGATGGTAAGATGACTTAGCTAATTAAGGGTTCTGCTTTTAACCTAGAAAAGGCTGCATGGATTTCATTAAGTTAGGAGGACAGCACTTAATTATGGAAGGTGATCTTAAGTAATCCAGACATCTATCAAATAAATCTGTCTATTGGGAAAGAGGCAGTCATGGCCATATTCAGTAGGCTAGGGTTTGCAGGTGTCTGCTTATGCTCCATAGGAAAGCTTAGGCAATCGCTGTATTACAAGCAGCAGTCTTTCCATGACTTCAGAAATGTGAGTTTTACAGCCTGGCTAATGAATATTTTGGAATAATGCAAAAGTTTACCGTGGGGAGTGAGGCTCAAACACCATAGTTATTGGCTTTGTAGTATTATACTTCATTGAAGAGCGAATTTCAGATTAAGATTAATAAGAATTATGGTTCTGAATGCAGGTTTAACTGCTCATGATGGTCACATTGTATTTAAAACAGTTTAAAGTACATAACTTTTAAAATTTGATCCTGCTATGTTTGTTTGACCCTGCTTAGACTTCTGTTTTGTTTTGTTAGCCAATCTTTTATTTATAATGCTACAATAAAGATAAGTAAGAATCCCTCTATGGCTGCTAATAACATTTAAAAATTGTTTAAACATCTTGAAAGACCAGTAACAATAGAAAGCCCACATATGCATTCCTTAGACTGAATGATCAGGGTTTTTTTAAATAGAACTTTTAATGTATTTAAATAAGAACCTAAACTTCAATAACGCATAAGAACAAAAAAGGAAAAAAAGGAAAACAACAAAACTGAGTGAAAACGAAAATTAAACTTGTACACAAATAGTACAAACTTGGGTTGCTTCATTCACATTCCCTGGAAAAACCTATTATTGGTGTTGGGGTAGTAACATTTTTTAAAATACTTGTTTTATTTTTAAATATCAGGATATTTTCTTTGAATGATCACATAGTTGGGCTCAAACTGTTCCACTCTTCTGATCAACTCAAGAAGTGAAATCTGTCCCAAGTAGGCCTCTCTCATAATTCTTAGTGGGTGAAGTGGTTAATATGAGAGGAAGTGCTGGCTATGATATGCTGGACTAAAATATATATTTTGGATGGGATGGTTGTTCTCTTTTACCAAGCACACAGCTTTGGGCTCACCATACTTGGAATGGTGAGGGAGGAAGGGGACACCCACCTAGCCAGCCAGATCAACTGAATTAACCCTGGTAATCAGTGCAGTGAAAGATGTCACAGCCAGATGGCTCTCACATCTGACCAAAGGATACAGGGCTTCTGTTAAGGGTTGGTTTTTTGAGTTAAATTTTGCAGAGGAGATTGGGTGAGGACTTCTGCATGCAGTGAAGGTTTATGAAAATGCAACAAATGTCACTTTTGCACATGGTAGTCTCTCCTCATTCATACTGTGTCCTTTTCATGGTGGCAATTGCCTTATAACTGACCACATTACCCTTGTCCAGTGGTGGACAAGGTCCACCATTGCATGAAATATTTTACTGTATTCAATAGATTTTTATTCTGTTTGATTTTTGTATGCTCGCTTTTATTACTGTATTTGTAGTGCTTGCTGCCCTTGGCGCTGTTTAGGAGTTGAAAGTGCAGGGTATAAATGTATTAAATAATGAAATCTGTTCACTTCTTGTTTTTAGCACATCTTCGTTGCCTCCCCTAGACTGGCCTTTGCCTACTCAATATGGACAGTGTGAATTGAAAATAGAAGTGCAACCAAAAACTCATCATAGAGCACATTATGAAACAGAAGGCAGTAGAGGAGCAGTAAAAGCATCAACTGGTGGCCATCCTGTAGTGAAGGTAAAATATGCTAATATAATGTTTTATCCGTGAACTACTGTTAACTTTGAATGTTAATGAAGATTGTAATAGAGGTGTGTGTTGAATCATAAATTTTGAAGCATTTTTAATCTAATCCATTCCCTTGCCCCATCCTCCAGATGCCCCACAAGATAGGCCACCCGTTGCTCATCGTTAGCAAAGTCATCATGCTGCAGTTCCAAAGCGTACTCTATTTCCGTTCAGAACGCATTGTAGTCCTGGGGTTCCCCCCCAAACTTGTGTACCAGCCCCGGTACCTTCCTTGCGATGGGGGTGGGTCTGACCTGAGCATCCTGAGCTCGTCTTTCGTCCAGCCGCGCCATCAGGAGAGCTACATGCTGTTCCAAATCTCGGTTTCTCTCTACTAGACCTTGCACTGCAGCTGCTTGCTCCGTCTCTCTGGCTCCTCCGGTCTGGCTCATGGTGCTGCCTCCCTGGAGCTATGCACAAGCAACGTCGGTGACTGACGGATTGATGTAATGGGTTTAGGGGTAGCTCGTGCGTAAGTTGCCGCCACTCCTGGCTAGGTTACCTGGTTAACCCTTTCTGACTGAACAGCCTCCAGCATCGTGACTGTCTCAGTCGCTGGCAGAATCCGTCAGTGGGCGTTTCTTCAACTTCTTCCAGCACAAAAGTTCCTTGACGCCAAGTCTCCTCCTACTCTCCCTGCGCGGAAGTCTTCTGCGCAGGGAGGGTGTGGGCAGTGGAATACCCGTACTCTCTCCGCTGGTCTCCGGCGAGGAGTCTTGGAGCCTCCTCCCCGATTCCCCCATCTGCCCCCCTTCTCTACTGGTGTTACGCTGATTTCCTTCCCCAGCAGACGGGCTCCCTCTCTCCCTACTGGGACCCTCTCCACCATCCCTTTGGAGCCTTTCCTCCGCTTCCAGCTCCGATGGCAGTTCCCTGACACAATCCTTTGTACAAGTATTGGAAAAGCTTTAAATTTTGTTCATCCCTGATTATCTGTGGCAAATGACTGTTACTTTCAAGGGATGAGGTGCATTTTCTCTGTTCTGGTAATAGCTTCTGCGCCAATAATGGAGAGAAGTGTGTTGAAGAGCAACATTACTGAGGTTTCATGTATAGTTCTCATATTCAGGGGTTGTTGTTGGGGTTTTTTGCCTTAAAGATCCTGTCTCAAGATAGAAAAGAAAACCAGATTGCCAAGAAATTAGTTTTCAGAAAATTACAAGTTATGTTTGATAATAAGTGAAACCATACATTATGTTTATGCTCTGTTAGTTGGGACTTTAGCTTGCTTACTTTGTGGATTGTGTTTTTAGTCTAGAAATGCGCACAATTAGAAAAAGCTAGTTTTAATAGATGTGATAATAGTTGTTTGTCCTAAAGAATGAGATGGAAAATGTAGTAGAAGGTGGTACTTTTTGTTAGAAACTGTCTGTAGGGCAGGGGCATGCAGGATATCAAGTTCCACAGAATATGCCATTGAGGAGAGTGTTGTTCCACTTAGTTCCTTCTTGTGGGCTTCCCATGGGCATCTGGTTGACCACTGAGAACAGAATGGTGGATAGGTGAGTCTTTGGCCTGATCCAGCAGAATTCCTATTGAAACTAATTAGGCATCCTGTCCTATGAGCAGTTTCCTAGCAATAGGATCCACACTCCAGTCCAGAAAGCAAGCGTGACTTGACTGTGTTCGGGAATTTTGGTAGGAGCAAAGACTAACACCTGCTCAACATGTCCTTTTTATATACCGTACAGATTACTCGCAATTTACACACATTCAACTTTTCAACATTCAACTTTATGTGCTTAGCATGAATGAATGAGGCATAAAGGGAGTGGGTGTCTGGGGAAAATAACTTTGGCAATCCTACCTGCCATTGTACCCATTGTGTTTTGATTATATGCAATTTTGGCTTTATGTGCTACATAACTCCAGCGTAAGCTGAGAGTTGTCTGTATAACACAAGTGGGCTTTGAGATAAACGTAATACCATATATATGAAGAAACACTGGGATTTTTAAAATTATCAATTCAGGTTGGGAGATGGGAAGGAAGAAATTTCCTAAATTGTATAATTTATGTAACAATTAAATGAGTGGAGCCCAAATAGAAGCTTGTTTTACTTCCCTGGATAGAAATATTGAAAATGAAACAGAACCCACAGATCAAGTTCAAATTTTAACAGTATTAGAATACAGCTCTTACTTTTTTAAAAAAAGCAGCTGTTTATCTAAGTAAAACTACTTCTTTTTAATCAAGAGGGCAAACACTCCCCAGGTGAAGAGTCTAGTTGTATTATATATTATTATTCTTCCTCTGCTTGTTTCAACTATCTCTTCTTTTTTAGATTTGCCATATGTATGTAAGACTTTAGCACTAATTAGTAGGTATTGAACTGCTTTGAAAGTAAGTTAGGATGTATGCGGCATTTCACCCCCATTTGTGTTATTCATGAAGTTTATATACATATATGTGCTCATGCACATAGATTCAGTAACTGATACTGAAATGTATGTGATCTATAGGAGCTAATGTAAAGGGATGGCAGCTCCCCATGCAGGAGATACACTACTATTCCTTATCACAACTAAAACTCAGTTGCTGATCTGTACAGTCATTGTTCAGTCTCATCTTGTGAAGAGGGAAGAAGTTGAGTGGTTTTCAGTCTGTACAGTTTTAGTTAACTGTGCTGTCGTGCTTTCTTGCTCACCAGTTGGTGCTGGGCACACCAGTCCTTCCATTCTCCCCTTGCCTTTGTGTGAACTTAAGTTATCCAGAGAACTTTTATAACTGGACAGCCTATAGATATAGTTACCTTAAAGTAAATAAAAATGCTGCTGTTCTAAGAGATTTACCCATAGCACTATTCTACTGTTTGTCCACTTTCAAGTGTGCATTAATGTGTCCAATTTGAGTGATCATCTCTTCTATTTCAGTAGTGCAGTTGACTTTCTGAGTTGCTTCTACAGTTTTTGATTGAGAGAGATGCAGTCTTCAAAAAACAGCCTCTGTAAACAAAGTCTTGAAGCAGCTTGCCAAAAGTGTAGTTTATGTGGAGCTGGGATTATTGAACTAACTTTGGATAAGCTGATAGTTTACAAGGATTTTTCTTGTTTTATAATGGTTATTAGAACCAGTTAAGTGTTGCAATGTGAGATTGCTAGAAACCTAAGCACCATGCATAGCCTTTTATAGAATAACATCTTAGCAGTAAGTATTAAAATTGGTTGTTTACAACTTTTATTTTGAAATAAGTTGGCTTGTGTGAAAGGAACATTACTAGGACCACTTCTATAATTAAGCAAAATAAAGTGTGCTGAGCTTGGAGTTCATATGAGAGCCTTTCCACAAAGCTTACATTATTTGATGGGGGCAGTATTGGGGTATGAATTATAAGGTACTGGAAAGTAATAAGAAATACCAGTCAGGATTCTCACTGGGTGGCCTTGGACAAGTTCCTGTTTCAGCTATTAAATCTCATGGACTGGTGGTGAGGATAAATGAAGATAACCTAGAGTTTCTTGGAAGATTGGTGGGATACAAATGCATTGAAAATGAGATGAAATTTAGTTTAGCCTTGAATTGAATTTAGAACATTTCTGACCATAATTACTAAAGGAACTTTCTCCACTCATTCATCACAACTTGACTGTCATGTTAGTCTGTTGTGCCTCTGTTTCTGGTGGCTGTTCTTTCTTGTATTTTCTTTTTTAAATAGAGGTCTCCAAGGGCTCCATCATTTATTATCAGTTTTTAGGTCCAAACTAGTTATAAAAGTGAGAGATCTGTGAACATATCAGTTGCATTTCAAAATCCTCTATTTCACTCTATTACTACTGCATTGGTAGTAGGTTTGAATCAGGGATGTGCAGTGGAGAAAGGGAAGATTAACCCTAACCATGTGTCATCTTTCCATTTTTAAATCGCCTACCAGTTGCTGCTTGCCCCATGAAGAGAACATTAAAATGTCTTGCAGTTCCTCCATTAAGCACAAACTGATCTTGTGCCACTCTGTTTTATTTTCCCTCTGTGCATGAAGTTGGGATTTTCCTGAAGCTGGTACAACTATATGTGTTTAGAAGTTAGCACTTAATTATGAAATCTCTGGCCTGGTAGCTGGAGAGTTTGCAAGAGAATTGATAAGGTGATGTTGATGAAAATGTTGTTTAACGTTGGAGCATAATGTTTAATATTAGCTTGCCTTTTCCAGCCCTTCCATTGTATGTTCTCAAGATGCTTACCCCCAGCACCTTTGAGGCTGTTCTGTATGTTGGCGGTTAAATACAGAATAAACTGCCAATCTGCTAAAGGAGGTGGGGAGTCAAAACTAGAAGATACAAAAAACGAACTTTGACTAAAATGACTTTAAAGTTTGCCTGTTCAGTTTTCTTTGCTATATGCATGCTCATTTTATATTTTTGAATTTTTTTACAAGTACCTGGTCTGCACCAGTTCTGTGCTTGTAGCCCCCCAATCTGGATTGTGTGGGTTATTTTCTGCAAGGACCTATATAAGATGGTAACTTCAGATCTGGAAATTTAAAGGTCTAACCAAAATAATTCTAATGCTGTTTAATATGGTAACATTATGTCATTCCAAAATGTCAGTTACCAATTCAAACAATATGGTCAAAAGCTTAACCTTGTTTTTAAATTATATTTTTATTCCTTTTCTTAAGTTTAAACAACAACGCATGCACACATATCACAACATACACAACAGAAACAAAGTTTAACTTTGTAATAAAAATCTGCATGCGTCTTTGGTTGAAAGCATTGTGTTCTAGATATTTTCAAATATTAAAAATGCATACATACTGATTTTCATAAATTCATCTCGCTTTACATAAAAGCAGAGTTATCCACCTGTAACACACTAGTACAATTAGTTTTTTCAGGGGGAAACTATTGTAGCTTATCCTTTGGTGACCTTCTCTCTTCAGCCTTTCAGCTTTAGTTTAACTTAGCATCCACTGACCTTTGCTATGGAAACGATACAGAAACACACAAACAACTTGGCAGAGTTTCCTCCATAAAGCAATGGGTTGTGTGTTACAGTATACAGTTACTAGCGGAGGGTTTTTAGAGGTCAGTAGTGACAGTGTGCTGTAACTTTTTCATTATTTACAACATTCTGTTTGATCCCTTGGGTGAAGAGTATATGATTATGTTTACAAAATGAAAGTGTATGATTGTGTTGCACATGAGTGTGTTTAGATTTAACTGGAGCAGATGCTGGTAGTAAATATAAATTTATTTTAAATATACTGTGCTCCCTTTTGTAATATTACACTTCTAGCTCATCTCCTCTCCCTTCAACCACCAGTTTAATTTACTATCTTTGTGTAAAGGACATATGGTTGCATATTCAACAGGCTGGCATTGGTGTCAGTAATCTAATTAAACTTAATATTTATGGGATGATTTATCACTGCCTAACTTGTATGAGAATTTTGGATTTTACAGAAGGACAACAATGCAGCTGTCATTCCAAGTAGACATACACATTTTCTTTCTGGAAGACTTGTAAAGGGCAAAATCATGCAAAACTCTTCTGCATGGGTGGATTCGTAGTTAAGGAAGACGGCATTGAACAGAACTATTGTGGGGACATAGGTTGCTGCCTTACACCAGACCAGTTTATTTGTCTGTCCTAGGGCTGTCTCCTCTGACTGGCAATGGCTCTTTAGGGTCTCAGGAAAAGGTCTTGTTCTTTACTTGTTACCTGGTTCTTTTAACTCGAAATAACTGGGACCTTCTCTGTATAAAGTATGTGCGCTACCACTGAATTATGGTCAAATGTCTCTCAGAAACCTTAATGCCAGGAAAAAGAATCTTGAGACAATATTGATGATAGTTATTCTGGTTTTTTAACTCCTCAGCTTCCTCTCCAAGGAGATGTACAATAAAATAGTCTCTACACAATACTGTAAAGCACAATACAGTTGGAACATCCACTCTGGCACAACCTATTTTATTTATTTATTTATTTATTTATTTAATATATCTATATTTGTACTGGGTGATACCTGGTTTTCAACATCATGATATATCACCAGCTAAATATGATATCTCTATATATCACAGTACATATCTGTGGTGGTGGAGGGCCTTGCTGGGCCTCCCCATGGCGGCAGAGGGTCCTGCCATACCTCGCTGCAGTGGCAGAGGGTGTGTCGTGTTTCCGCGACAGCAGCAGAGGGCCTTGACAAGGCTCCCTGCGGTGGTGGAGGGCCTTAAAATTTAAGAAAGTAGTAGATTTAATAAAAATATTAAATAAACTTCCATATGATACATTTAATATATTTTCAACCAACTTAAGAATAGTTTAAGTAATTTGCTAGCCAAGTTGCATCTGCTTCCCCACTCAGAGGTCTAAGTGGAATCTCTGCATACCTAAGCCCCACTGAGTTCAACTAAACTAACTTCTACCTTCCTGGGAGCAAGCCTCATTGAATTCAGTAGGGCTTGCTTGTGAGCAGACACAAATTTGCTTGCACTGCTTACTGAAAAACACCCTCCCCATCATTCTCACATAGTACCCAACCTCCCATTTCAGCATAAGGCAGCCAGCTAAATCTCCCCTCCATTCGCCCCCCCCCACAGAAGAGCCCCCCACCCCAAAGCCCTCATCTCACCAAGCTCTTCCTTTATATCCAAGGGAGGGAGGGCAAGCAAGCAAAATATAGTCTCCTTTAAATAAAAAAACCCTTCCTTTTTGACATGGAGGAAAGTTATTTGGGGGGAACCAACAACGTAAACACCACCAGAAAATTTAAAAACACGCTTCCTTCTCTTTTTTCACTGGTGGGGTTGTGAGAGAAGAAAGAAGTGCTTTCCAGTTCTTTGTTTACTTTGTTTGCTGCTGCATCTTGACTGTCTAGCTGGGTGGGGGGGTTTCCTCCTGGATTGTTAGCAGGTTCTACATAACTAGCTGAGTTCTAAGTGGAAAGACATGGGTGGCGCTGTGGGTTAAACCACAGAGCCTAGGGCTTGCCGATCAGAAGGTCGGCGGTTTGAATCCCTGTGACGGGGTGAGCTCCCGTAGCATTTTGAAAGCATGTCAAAGTGCAAGTAGATAAATGGGTACCACTCCGGTGGGAAGGTAAACGGTGTTTCCGTGCGCTGCTCTGGTTTCGCCAGAAGCGGCTTAGTCACGCTGGCCACATGACCCGGAAGCTGTCTGCGGACAAACGTCGGCTCCCTTGGCCAGTAAAGCGAGATGAGCGCCGCAACCCCAGAGTTGTCCGCGACTGGACCTAATGGTTAGGGATCCCTTTACCCTTTAAGTGGAAAGATACTGGTGAAGCTGAAAGTGTTTGCTGGTTTGTGTGAGGGCTTTTCTTATCGGTTAGGAGGGAGAGAGCAAACAAAGCTGGATATACCATTCCAGCAAATAAACTGCAAAGTAAAGTATTGTTCAGATGAGCTACCCCCTGGGAAGCTGTTAGTGTCCACCTTTCGTTCACCGGTATATTGCCTTGGTGAAACACTTAGCACAATGTTATCAATGATTTATCACACATCCCTAATCTATATATCTGTATTTTGGGGGTTTTCAGAGCTAGCCCTGCAGATGGCAACAACTGTGTAAACGAAATAGATTTTTAGTATTTTCTTGAAATAAAACTTTTTTCAAGCAAAGTATTGAAAGTGTACATGGAAAGTGTTACGTTGCCATATTGTGAATGTGGGCATAAGTATTTTTCACAAGAAAGACCCTAAGCAAAGAACAGGCAGGAATCTGGTACTTTACTTTTAGTTTTGCCTAAAAAAAGGTAGAATCAGTTCAGACAACATATGCCTGAAAGAGCATGTGTTCAAGTGAAAGCAGTCTTGGACTTAAATGATGGAGTAGTTTTCCTTTCATTTGCTGAGGTAGTGCTCATTAAGTACAGTAGTCAATGCTCTTTCTATGAAGTTCCTGAAGTTCACTAGAAATATTTTGGGCATCTGTTGTGCATCAACACAACCTGGAATTCAGTAAGTTCAAAGTGTCTGTGGGAGAGAATATTATTCAAGTGTTCAAAGATACACAGTAGTGTATAGCTGCTTATTTTGGCTGTTTTGAAACACTAATATGGAAGCAAACACTGCAGGATACAAAAGTAGTATATAAGGCAGAAACATTACAAGACCAAAACGGAATTTGTAGTTCTGTGTTCTTCCTGGAGGTGCTTCTTTTTACCATCTTCATTTTGCTTCAGCACCATCATGTCAAGAGCTCATCTCCACCCAGATGGTTTATGGTAACCTTACTAGCTTACCCTCTGGCCTTCAGGTACAAGTGCTAAATTCCAGGTTAGTCAATAACAATTTTTTCCTCATCCATTTGTGATTAATTGTGGATGAGGAGGCTGACTTGGTGTGCAGTACTGAGGCTTGGTGAGCTGGGAGGAGTTAGTCTATCTGGGCTGTTCCTTTTTGGGTACTCAGTGCAAGCATAAGTATAGGCTTGTGAGATCTCTATAGGAATTCCATAAGTCATCCTGTTCAGTCATGTGCCAGGTTTGTACTGGGGTCTAGGGATTGATTAGGGATTCTGCTGGTGTATCAGCCACCCTGCTTCCCATTTGTTTCCCTGCCTGAGCTGATGTAGATGGTCCCTAAGTTGATGTTGAGGAAGATTGATCTGGGAAAATTTGCCGAGACCATTCTATCCAGCTTGACTGGCACGCATATGAAAGCCTTGGCCAGTCTGTGGTTATGCAGATGACACAATGCTGCATATTATTATTGTTTCAATTGTTTCTGTGTTTCTTGCTGGTTTTAACTTGGTTTTTTTGGCTGGGCTTATTGCCTTGTTGTAGTGTTTTTATTCTGAATTGTGTTTACACAAACCACCCAGGGAACCTGGTTGGAAGTACAATATATAAATGTATTTATACATTTATACAGTACAATATATAAATGTATTCAATAAATACAAGGCAACATTATTGCAGGGCAACATTTGCATGGGGAGAATTGGTGGACAGTTTAGGTTCTTAACCACTGTGGTCTAATTGACCCCAGTGCCATGATTAGTAAAACACTTCTCTTTTTTTAAGCATAGGATGATCAAGACATGTAGAACCATTCTTATTTTGTTGTTCCAGAACAAGTCTATAACTTCCAGCCAGTGTAAATGTTTAAAAATAAAATATTGGAGAATAGTTATACTGAGTTTCCCAAGCACATTGCATTATGTGGCAGTTAATTTAAGATTAGTACAGTTGATACAGCACATTGCTGCTTCCTTAAAATATCCTAGTTTATAACATTGTGTCCCCAACAGCTGTTGGAGTTTGTAGAAAACCCAGCAGTAGTAAGGCCATGCTGGTTCATAAATGTCAAAATGCTGTATTTACCTTATTGGGGCCAATTAACATGGGCAACTTTCCTGCCAAGTAGTATCTCTCTCTGCCTGTCCCGCCCATCACTTTGGTGTAGAATCTAGGTGAAATTTAAGCTGGTGAAGAGCACCCCCTCTTGTTTAACCCTCATTTGGCACCTGGATATAGCTTTCTGAATGCTTAATAGGTGAGCCAGACTAGCAGCCTTGTCAGGTGATGTCTCATCTCTTATTCCTGGGATACAGTGATTATGTTCCCCACAACACAGTGGGGAGTTATTGTAGGGAGTGATTGTGAATTTTGATTGTATTTGATACATTTCTTGATGAGCCAGGAAGTCAAGTCAAGTTGGGTTTAAGTAAGCTGCTGTCATTTCTGTTCAGCAGTAAAGTGATATTTAAAGTACTGTAATTCCTTCACTGAGGTCCAGCTCTGAGGGCCTTCTGGTGGTTCCCTCACTGTGAGAAGTGAGGTTACATGGAACCAGGCAGAGGGCCTTTAAGGTAGCGGCGCCCACTCTGTGGAACGCCCTCCTATTAGATGTCAAGGAAATAAAAAAGTATCTGACTTTTAGAAGACATCTGAAGGCAGCCCTGTTTAGGGATGTTTTTAATGTTTGATGTTTTATCGCATTTTTAATTTTCTGTTGAAAGCTGCCCAGGGTAGCTGGGAAAACCCAGCCAGATGGGTGGGGTATACATAATAAATTATTATTATTATTATTCATGAGTTACAAAGATTGCAATGAATGTATGGGAACTATTTTAAGTGGTGGTAGTAGAATTCATATTTAAAGTTTTTTAAGTAGGTACAGCTACAAAAATGTATACCTTGAGACAAATTCTAAACCAGTGGACTCCATAATCATGCCTTTTAAATTATTTGGACTCATGTAAGTAAATGTATTTATGTATGACTTACAGTCCTAATGCATTAACGTCTGTTTTTTAGTATTTGGGCAAAGCCAATTTCTTTTACAAAACCGGGATTCAGAAGTTATCTTTTTTTCTTTTTTATTAGCTCCTGGGTTATAGTGAAAAGCCAGTAAACCTACAGATGTTCATTGGGACAGCGGATGATCGTTATCTACGGCCACATGCCTTCTATCAAGTGCATAGAATCACGGGTAAAACAGTTGCTACTGCTAGTCAAGAGATAATTATTGCAAGCACAAAGGTCTTGGAAATTCCACTTCTTCCTGAAAACAATATGTCAGCCAGGTACGTCAAAAGATACGTTCAAGCAGATCAACATATTGCATTCCAGGTTTCCCAGCCATATTTAGGGAGGTGATATTACAAACTTCTTAGGAAATGTGTGCTATCTTCTAATGATGGCTTCTCAACAGTCGCTTCATTTTAAAGAAAGTATTCTCCAGATTGATACAAGATTTATTATGGATGCGTTTTCCTAACCTGTAAATGACACACTGAAATGTTTTCTGCTATATAGTGTTTCTCTTAAATGAAAGATTACCAGTTTCTTGCAGTAGTTTAAAGTTGTTGCGGCTGCTACTGTATTTTACATGAAATGAATGAGAAATCTTTTTACAGTAACGTGAAGCAGGATTTTTTGGGTGTAGCTGTCCCTAAGACAGGTGTTTTCAAGTTACATTTTGGATTGTTTTTTAAACTATATCTGGATTTTTATGGGTGTAAATCATCTTGACACATGTAGAAGGTGGATCATAAATACATTGGCTAGATAATAACCGATTCACTTACTTTTTTGTATTTGCATATTAGAATTTTTAAGTAATTTTTATTAGCCTGTAAGCATATTCAGGATAGCTGTTTGTTCTCTCTTTCACTCCCCATGCCTCTACAATTTCTGTATGATTCATATTGATTCCAGAAATTATTATTTTTTAAAAAAACATATACACAGCTCAATTGTAAAAAACCTCAGAGCGATTTACAAAAATTGAAAGTTTTTTTCAAACAAAACAAATGTTTCTAGTCCATGTAATAGCAAAATTCTAAGATCTGACCAAATAGGAATGTTAAAATAGATTGGCTCAGATGTAATGTTTTGATCTCCAAATCCATGTTTTGGCAGGTTAGGCATGTGCATTCCCTCCCCTCATACACTCAGATTTCCTCCTTCCCTTCCTCCTTTGCACAAGTCATAGTTTGGGTGCAATAGTAGACTATGGTTTGCTCAAACTAGGAAGAGAGTATGTGGGATAAAGAAGGAGTCCATGAGCCTTCACCATGTGGTTTGGAGGGATAGGAATGTTGTATTCGAACTGACTTGGTGAATTTGAGCTTAATCTAACCCTCAAGATTTATTAGTTCAGATGGAAGAAATGTGATACATGAAGGTAACAGTTGCTGAATGAGGCTTGTAACAAGTGCACCCTAGCCACCAGCTGTAGTCTGGCATGTGCAATTTTCATGAGCATTACTCATGAGAATTTCATTGGCATATGTTAACTATAGGAATAGTCACCCAAGGTTCTTCCAACTCCTACATTTTCAGAGTGGACCTTAGTGTTGGATAGTTTGTCTACTTCTACCATATACCTGTGGTGTAATACTTTGCCTGTTTAGTGTTTTGCAAATTTAAAAAAGTATCCAGTTTCTTCCACATTTTATTATATGCATAGTTTGCCATTTCAAAATGATCATTTCATGGAAAAATAAGAGATTGTTTTGTTTCTTTGTGTGGCACAGCTGCGGTTGCTTCTAAGGGTGACTCCTGCCATTTTAAATAGCATTCTTTGTTTCTGCATTTGTTAATGGTACTGGGGTAGAGTATTGAGACTGTATTCCAACATAAGCTAGTAAAGAACAATGTGCATGGATGTTGGTTTCATGTCTGACAAGCATTCAAACAGCAAGAAGGAAAATATGAATAACTATAAAATATGCATACTTGAATTATATAAAAAGAAACACCTGACATGTACATTTTCATTCAACTCTCTGTCTCCCATAGTATTGACTGTGCAGGTATTTTGAAACTCCGCAATTCTGACATAGAACTTCGTAAAGGGGAGACAGATATTGGAAGGAAGAATACAAGAGTGCGGCTTGTGTTTCGAGTTCACATCCCACAGCCTAATGGAAAAGTCTTGTCCCTTCAAGCTGCTTCAATACCTGTTGAATGCTGTAAGTTTTCTCTTCTTTGTGTTGTGTTCCTCATTGAGTACGCTTAATAAAATAAAAACTGATTTCATGCTGGATTCATCCCCTTTTGATGCTAATTTGTACTCATTTTTAAGTTATTATTTTGTTGTGTTAGTTTTTGCCTTTGTTGGATTAATTGGCTAGATCAGGCTTCCTCAACCTTGGCCCTCCAGATGTTTTTGGCCTATAACTCCCATGATCCCTAGCTAGCCAGACCAGTGGTCAGGGATGCTGGGAACTGTCATCTCAAAACATCTGGAGGGCCGAGGTTGAGGAAGCCTGGGCTAGATCCATATTGATAGTTATAGAAATACATAATATTAGAATTCTGAATTTAGCATGGCAATATATATTATTGCCTTATTATTAGCTGTGTGGGGCTTCTAGCTGGAAGGAAATACTGGTATAAAATTAGATGCAATTTACATGCATAACATTACCTGAATGGATAAAGACTGCCAAATTACTGTCAAATAGATCCAGGGTTTTGGTTTTGTGTTGGGCTCCTTTAAAAGTTAATATTGGTAGGAGAACTAAATGGGATTTGCAGTTTTGTGGGAAACAATTTTATTATAAAAAGGGCATGCATCAAATACTCTAGGAAAGCAAACTGCACAATTTCAGAAGTTTGGGTGTAGGGGCTAGGGAGTTATGATAAATGAGTGTAGCGGGAGATGGGGAAACTTCAGGTTTGTGTTCTGCTGTATTGGCACCAAAAATAAGAAAGCTGATTAACAGGAGTGGATTGTGGGGAGATGGTACAGAGACAGAGGGATTCAAATGTCTAGCATTTCCAAGGAAACACCCCTAACAGAACTAGGAAAGACTACATAATAGACAAGAACAAGGTGATATGTTACTTTAACATCCATTCCCAAAAGTTGATTTGAGAGCCCTGGTAAAATCCCTCTGATTGGAAGCTAAAGAGTTCTTCTTCTCCCTTAAATGGCAAGCTTAGGGAGAAGTGTTTCCATTTTTGGAGATCTACTGCACAGTTTTTTTAACAGTCACATTCCCCTCAATCTGTTTAGAGGTCCCCACTTGTGTTTGCAGCATTTCTGACAATTCCCCTTCAGCTAATAAAAGCTCTGAATATGTCCCACTTCAGTTTTTGACTTGGAATTTGTCCAAATCTGATGCATACCCTCACAAAATAACTTGCATTTTGATATAAACGCTTTTGAACCACAATTTCTTTTGAAAAACATTATTTGAGTCATGTAGCATTGTTTTCAACATGGGATTTTCCACCCATTTTAATAGCTTAAATTGTGCCTCATAGCAGATTTATATAAAATTTGTTCTAATTTAGCATTTTCCTTTCATAGAAGGGGCATAGTTGACTTGGAAACCAGCTTAGTGATAATGATATATGGATAAGAAAAACTTGTTTTCCTCTCCTTTAGGAAAATGAACACTGCATGATTACCAGCACCTATCTACGATAATAATTATGTTTAAATGATGCACACTGTTTTAAATGGTAAATACAGGCTTTGGCCACCTTACCCTCTTAGCTATAATTCTAGCATGCTTATTTATATTTGTACATCTTTTTCACAAAGCTCAGAGATCGGCTCAAGAACTTCCTCAGATAGAGAAGTACAACATCAACAGTTGCTCAGTAAATGGAGGCCATGAAATGGTTGTTACTGGATCGAATTTCCTTCCAGAATCAAAAATAATATTTCTTGAAAAGGGGCAAGGTGAGTATATAGCACAACATTAGTGAATTATATATGTGTGTGTGTGCGCGCACGTGCGTGCATGTGTGTAATTGTAGTATGCAATTTAATACAGAATGTTTTAAATATATAAATAACAGAGCTACTAGCAATATATAATATAACTGCAAGTACTTGGCAATCATTTTTAATGATTTTAATGCAATTTCCCAACATTTTTTCACAATTTGTTTAATAACACAAGTTTAAGATTATTCCACAAAATTCTACAAAAATGTAAAAGTCAATATTATGTAGTTATTTACCAAAAAACCCTAAATTATATTAATTTAACCAAAATATCTTTTGAATTCTCAAATCATATTACAACTTTTCATCAGCCCTCATTTTGGGAATTGAAAAATTCAACACACCCTACAACATTTCTCATCAGAAGTGACATTAGAAACTCGTGTAGAGCAACAGCCACTGTTTCTGCACATTCTAAGCTTTAGCTGCTTAGAATTATTGCAGAGTTTTCCCTTACCAAGGTGCTGCTTCTTACTTTCCCAGTGATTTTTAACCTGGTTTGCTATTCTTTCTGCAGGTGAAGGAGCCTTAAGTCTCCCCACCTCCAAGTGTAGCCTCTCTTTGCACTCTTTTTTTATGCAAGCTATTCTGCAATTGCAGCAGCCACTAGTTATCAATTAATTATGAATGTGCCAAAACAACAATTTCCTTCTCTCCCCTATTTCAGATTCCTCTTTGAAACCTACCTTTTCTATACAGTATTCATCTTTCTGGACTCTTTGCTAGCAGTTAAATCAAGGCAATTCTCTGTCAGTACTATGCATAACTCAAATGTTGGGGATCTCGTGCATTGAGATACCTTTGGATTTTTAAAGGAAAACTAGCATGAAGGATTTTTACAGTCTGTGTTTTGTCTATCATTAATTATTAGATTGCTTTTTTCAGTAATTTGATACTTCAACTAAAATCTTTCTCTTGATAGATGGAAGGCCCCAGTGGGAGGTGGAAGGAAAAATAATTAGAGAAAGGAGTCAAGAGGTGAGCTTTCTTTTAAATGTGGGGAATTATTTTTAAATGTACTGTAGCCTTGTAAGCAGCTTGGCAGACACTTGAGCACAATGTGGGTAGCCATAAATTTTCTCATTTTAGCAGAAAGGTTAAATGTTTAAGTATAACTGATCTACTTCATGGGTGTTTACATATCAGTAGGGGTGCAAAAAATGTTTGCAGAATGTAGGAGCTAGCTAGTTTTTCTAGGAGTTGGCTTTGAGCATGGCAGTTAGACCTATATTGGCCAGTAAGAGGAAGTTTTATGTTCTTTCTGCAAGGACTTCACTGAAAGGTGGCAGACCCTACCTGGAATTCAGAATTTCTGATGCAGAGCCTTTCCTCCATTGAGTGCTGTGACTATTATGGTTGCTCAGGAAGGGCTTATCTCAGTGGTAGTCATGCTTTGTGTGCAAAAGAGTGCAGCTTTCAGTCTATGGCACCTCCAGGTGGGGGATGAGAAAAATTCCATTATGAAACCCTAGAGAGATACTGCCTGTCAGCTCTGTATTGTCTACATTGATCATGTAGGCCAAAGAGCTGTATCAATAATGAGGGAAAAAGGCACCCACATAATCTTATTGCTGCTTAATATGTTTGAGAACTGAGTTCTGGGTTTGAAAGAGCTCCTGAAGCTATATCCTGGGCAGGCCAGATTAATATTTAAAAGGTTTCTTTCTAGAGTACTATCTGGAAACAAGGAGAAAAAAAGATATTAAAACAGAGGAGGTGGGAAAGACTAAAAATAGGCGTCGGAGTAGTGGAAAGGAGTTGAGCCCAGGGGCTTGGGATGTAAAAGGAGCCAAAATGGTGTGAAGAAAAAAGGGGATAATAGATTTCCAACATACTACAGCAAATATAGCAGAAGTCCTTTATCTACCTTTTAGCCACAGAGAACCCAGCCATGTCTAAGAAGTTGAATTTATGTGCCACTGACATGTCCAGTAGTATAGATGTTTGGTTAGCAAATGAAAATTCTGGAATATACTTTACATAATTAAAACATTGATATGATGATTTGTCCTGCATCAAGGAACTGCTTTATAAGAAATTTAAAATCTTATCGAAAAATCATATCGAAAAATCATATCGAAAAATCAGAACTCCTATTAGAATAAACAAGTTCCGTTTCAAATACTGAAATATCAAATAAGATGGATAACAATGTGTAATAGAAAAAGAAGTATGAAATTAGGCTAAAGGTGTGTGAAAGAAAGTAATAGAAGTGGAAAGAAATTGTAATTGAGTAGATTGGAAGTCAAACACAAAGGTGGGGTGAGGGGTGGTGGATGGTGATGGGGAAAGGAATTATTTGTGGGATTGAGTGTAAGTATGTTTGAACACTTTTAAGGATTGTATGAAATGTATGTTTGTATGCTTGTATATGTGTAAAAAAAAAAAGAAATTTAAAATCACAGTTAGATTTTCTGTGACTTTTAAGGATACAAAAGAAAGGGAATGGAGAGATGGGGAGGTGGCCTATTGAACTTTCCCAGCGATTGCCATTCTGTAAAAAAGATGCCACCACTTAAAAGTCTCTGCTTGGTAGCCTAACAAATAGTACAGTACTTTAGGGGAGAAAGCATATGCTTTGCCAGCTGATCTTGGAGAGGACGAGGCTTATTTAGGGGAAGATGTTTGCTCTTGCTTTTAATATGCAAATTTCATTCGTTTTTCATTCAGGCTACAATTGTTCTTGAAGTTCCTCCATACCACAACAAAACAGTTACAGCTACTGTCCAGGTGCAGTTCTATGTTTGCAATGGCAAGAGGAAAAAAAGTCAGTCTCAGCGTTTTACTTACACTCCAGGTACATACATACCTTCTTTCTAGTATAAATCAAGGGTGAAATTCAAAATGTTCTTTGTTTCAAATTTCAATAGCACTTAACCTGGATTTGGGGTACCTGTTTTTTAAAAATTATTTTTGCAATTATATTTGGCTATGGCTATTAAAGTGCCTAAATTGGATCTTGATGTTTTGTACAACACTGTAATTCTTGGCAGCTGATAAAAGGTTGAGAAGTGCATCCATCGGTATTTTGAAAGCATTAATTGTAGCTCTTAACCCAAGATCAGGGGAGAAGCTGTTTACCTTTTGAGCTTGAAGGTTAGAAATAGGAAAAGCCCTTCAAAATGCAGAATAAATGTGAATGTCAATGCTGGGTGGAAAATACAGTATTTTCACTTTTAATACACATCTCTCCCACTCTTGACAATCTGTCTCAAACCAACCATATACAACTTACTCAGATGTATATAGTATTACTGTCTTGAGTTAAACATATCAAGATGTCTAAAACAATAGTAATGGTACACACATTTTGTAAAATTATGCTATCTCACTACACACAGAGATTATTAATTTTGAAAGCAAAATTTATTCATATTATCATGACCGTTTAAATAAACCGTTAAAATAAACAAGCTATGCCATAAAATGACAGTCAGACTGATTCAAAAATAATGCTTCCTACACTGAATGTTGACTTTGCATACTGAAATGGGTCTCAGCTTTTTAAATTTTGCATAAAGTGCTTGTAAAAAGTTCTTCATTTTTCACAATTTCCATTGCTTATAATGTGAAAATGTTTAGGTAATATAAACCTATATGATCAATAGTTGTGTATATTTCATTCACTACTTTCAGCAAAGATTGACTCTCAAAGCAGCTTACAATTAAAATCTATACAAAGACAGCAGAGTTAGATATATGTGGGTGATTATAGCCAAGGAGAGGAGGGCACAATATTTTCTGGTTCTTGCAGTTGGTAGCAGTTCAGGTTCCAGGCTTTTCTTTCTGACTTCTAACAGCACAATTAATTCTATTATAGTTAAGTGTGGCATAGATTCCATCTTGAATATGGGACCTTGTGCATGCAATCTCTAACATGTACCTTAATAAAGATATATATTGCTTACCGTGGCTGGGAATGACATCTGCATGAGACTCACATGGCTTCTTTTGGTCAGGATCGATTATACGGTGGTACCTCAGTTTACAAACTTAACCCGTTCCTGAAGTCTGTTTTTAAACCAAATCCGTTCTTAAACCGAGGCACGCTTTCCCTAATGTGGCCTCCCGCCGCCGGGGGCCCTTCCACCGTTCGGCTTCTGTTCATAGACCGAGGTAAAGTTCGCAAACCGGAACACTACTTCCGGTTTTGCGGAATTCATAAACCGAATAGTTCGTAAACATGACTGTTTGTAAACCAAGGTACCACTATATGGCCATATGCATGGCCTTGTACTGACTTGGGATAAGGTTGCATCTTCTGTGACCAAGTTCTGATGTCCGTCATTTTATCTGAATTTAGTAAATAGTTGGTTTTCTTATTTCACAGTTGTACTAAAGCAAGAGAACAGAGATGAAATGGATTTGTCTTCAGTTCCATCATTGTCCTTGACTCGTTGTACAGGTGTTAAAGGACTCTCTTCTCTCCAAACTCAGCTGCCTTCACCAGATCCAGGGCTCTCGCATGATAGTTTACTTTCTACTTCACCTAGGAGCCTTGTATGCCCAGTTCAGCAGACGTACACATCCATGGCATCCTCACCAGTATCTCAGTTGCCACACATCCAGAATAGAAGCATTAGTCCAGGTGAAGAGCATCATGTTTTGTCTCCAGCTGTAGTCCACCAATCTTTTCAGGTAACATCAGCACCTTCTGCGAGGCCTTCCTACCAGCCTATGCAATCTAATGTTATGTTTAATGGACAGACTGGTCTTCCCATGAACTCTGCTTCCTCCAGCCAAGGATATGATGCAATTTCCTTTCAACAAGATGCAGCTGTACCTCCATTGATAAACCTTAGCTGCCAATCTCTACCAACAATGCCCTATCTTTCTTCAAGTCCAGTTTCAGTGTCAACTTCAGCTGCAACAGGAGGGCATCCTTCAGTCCACCCAACTCAATCAAGACAATCGTCACCTCATTTGCAGTCAATGGGATACCATTGTTCAAATCCTCTGCAAAGTTCTGTCTCTTCCACAATGACTCAGTCCCTGGGACACCCTTCCACACAGTTGCAACAAGTTACTTACCATTCTTCAAATCCAGGTAACACTTCATCGCCATCCCCAAAACCTTCTCATTCATTGGGCCATTCACCACGATCTGGGCCATCTTCTCCACAATTGCAGCCTATGCCTTACCAGACTCCTAGCTCAGGACCCGCTTCATCTCCTCCTCCAACTGCTGTTGGTCACTCTGGACAACAGTCCCCACAGGCACACAGCCCAGGCTTGGGTGGAATTCCTGCAGCTTCATCTTTGATGCATCATAACATATGTGACTCATCTCCATTTTCACCAGAGGAATCAGCTGTTAACATTAAACCTGAACCTGAAGATCGAGAGTTGAATTTTCAGACGATAGGGTTGCAAGACATCACTTTGGATGATGGTAAGTGATGTTATAAGTGTAAGGTTGAATGAGGTTTTGCTTTAAAAAAAAGCAGTATATTGAAAAAGAAAAGGGGAAAAAATAGTATAATAAAGGATTACATTTGGAGAGCCTGATACATACACATGACCTGGTTGTTGGCTTTCCTGTTTGTTGTAATATTGGTTGCAGGTATGCAACTGGGGAATGAGTGCTTGAGCATTTCATATGTGTGTTGAAGTCTGCTTTCTTGTGAGTTGTATGTATATCAGTGCTTTTCTATGCACAGAGAGCCTCTAGGTTAGGTGGACAGTCATCTCTTCTTAAGTCATTTAATGTTTTAGTGTTTGTTAGTAGGTATAATCCTATGTTATAGGAAGTTTAATAATGCCTCTCTAAACATGACTTTGTGTCATACTTTGGATGCAAATCAGATAGTTGAAGAAAGCATTGCTTGCTCCATGTGACAGCCCTTTAGATATTTGGAGATGACTATTGTATCTCCTCTCAATCTTTACCAGGCTAAACATACTCAATTCCCTCAACCAGGCCTCATGAGGCTTGGTTTCCAGACCCTTGAACATCTTGGTCACCCTCCTCTGCATACAGTCCAGCTTGTCAATATCCTTCTTAAATAGTTCATAGAAATAATTGATAAAAGAGACTCCTAAATATTTGCAAAGCACAATTAATTTTTGACAACTGACTGAGTGTCCAAAGTGCATAACTTGCATCCGCTGGTCAAGGATGCTCAAGTCTCCTGGAAAATTTACATACATTTCTCTTATTTTTAAAAAACAATTATATAAAAGAATCCGAATAGTGGAATGAGTAGCACAGTTACTTAGATTTTGAAAAGATTTCAAGATACTTGAGAATTTTTCCATGAAATGTTCCTGTTTTAGTGTAACAATAGGCAATCTTTGTTAACTGGTCTGAGGTTATGTTAACCTTGATTTATGTTCAGTATCAGATTATGATGACCTTTTGCTAATCTTCTTTCACTTCCTTATCCGTTGTATCTCCCATTACATAAAGCTGTGGATTAGAAAAGCAAGGAATAAGGCTGTGTATTTAGGAGTTTGCTTTGGAACTAGCCTAGGAGCACATAAGGAGGGCTCATTACTTCACTTTCCCTATGAGCAGTATTTTTGGTATACCACTTGAAAGGGATGTTGCGTGATTAGTAAAACCTACATGTCCTGAAGAATTCATCCAAAATGTGTTGGGCTTTGCAGTATTTTATATCATTTGATAAAGTTAGATTTTAAGCACCATTTTGAATGTCTCAGTTTTCTTTGTTGCCATTTTGTTTTTGTGCCTTTTGCTTTTGGTGTTGTGTCCCCACCCTCTTCGGTATTTCAGAATAGCTGAGATGACATGAATACAAGCCCACCTTCATTAAGAGGGTAACATGAATTGCCCCTTTTCAATTACAGTAAGCCTGCTACTTACGCACATTTAACTTGTGCACGTTCAGCTTTATGTGCTTGGCAAAAAAGAGTTTTTTGGAAAAAAGGTGGCTGGTGTCCAGGGAAAAAGACTTTAGCAATCCCACCTGCCATTGAACCCATATTTGTTACTATACTGTATGTGATTTTGGCTTTAGGTGCAATCCCTTGAACATAACTGCCACATAAATTGTGGGCTTAAAGTGTTTTGGATGCTGTCCTGCTGGTGGTGGTTAGGTGACTAGAAGACATTTTGAGGTAGCTCAAGTGTGACTCCAGTTGCTCATCTTGTAACTTGAGATTCTTGGTTTTAAAGGCTCTGGGGTTCAGGAGCGGCACAGTTCCCTGGAACTCTAAAAATCAGGCATTTCTGTGTAAATTAGGTTTAGGGTCTTGAACTTATAAGAAGATAGTAAGTTTCCCCAAAATTTACTTAAATTTCAAGTGAAAAACTTTATATTACACAATACAGTAATAACCTTTCCAAATTAAAATTGTTCTTCAGAAGCTCTGTTCCAACCTATGGGCATAGAAAAATAATTTGAGTATCAGATGGAGATGTCATAAGTTCCTAACGAAAGCATTTAATTCCATAATATCATGTAATTAGTAATGATACAATGGAGCTCCTTTTCAAATGTACATAAATGAAAAATTTGGAGGACTCATATGGTGGCCACCTAGTATAACTGATCATTCTGAGGAATTACAATAAATAGCTTAATGGAGTGATCCGCTTCTGCTTCTTGCGTTGCCTGGGCACAGTTTTAGTACTTCTCAAATTTAAGGTTTATTTGCCGTGTCATTTGTTACATTCTTACTAGTTTGGAGTTTTTATCACATTAGAACCCAAATGTGGTGGTGCAGTCTTGTCTGTTCCTAATTCAGAAGCAACATAACCTAAGGATCTGCTTTCTACAGTTCATACCTTTCTTCCCTGAAACATTTGTTTTCTATTCCACTTACTTAAAAATACCACAATTTATCTTGTTTGTTTGCTTTTAAATATTAGATCATAGAATTATACTTCTTGAAATCCAAAAATTAGTCATTTCTAAACTAGGCTTACTGGCACATTCATGACTCAGTTGTATTGTGATTCACTTGCATCTGAGCAGAGGTTCTACGGTTTGCAGATAGGTTAATGCAGCTTGCCAATAGACTCTTACTTTAAAGATCAAAAGGCAAAGCAGATCGTTCCAGCAACTTTATCAAGTGTCACTTGTCACCTGTTCTGCTTACAACTATACAGCCTCAAAATAATTTCCAAATGGTCAGCAGGTAATCAAGTAGTCCAGAATGCCAAGTTCTCAAGCTACATGTAAACAGGATTCCTTTTTTGCTCTCCCCCACTCTGGAGTATCTTGTATAAAATACATACTGCCTAGAAGTTTATAAAATTGAGAGTAATTCTATAAACCCAACAGCTCATAAAATATTAAGAAACACATAATTCCTTCTTCCTGGTACTTCTACTACTGGCACAATTTTATCAGATGAAATGCCACCATATGCTTTTTCAGGGACTACTGGCCCCTTCCTTGCATACAGCAACTCTTCTAACAGTGCTTTTAGGAATAAATCCAATAGATATTAAAGGCACTTATTCCTTGGTAAATATATGGAGGATTCCAGTCAAAAACCATAGTTTTTTCTTAATATTGCTATCGGTTTTGGCATCACTGTTCTAAGCATTTGTTAAAAATAAACGTCACTTAAGCCAAATATTTGAAGGCTCAAATGAAGAGAAACACCAGTAACTTGCATAGAACTTTAACACCTCCTGTGTTGTTTATCCAGTATTTAGTCTAGGTTGTCTCCTATTAGGCCGTACAGAAATCAATGAACATTACTAACTTAAGTCCACTGATTTTGACTTAGTTGGATACAAACCACATTCATCTGAAAAGTCAAAGCCAAATGTAGATCTCTTAGGGAAACTTTTTATGGTCTTAGAGAGGAATAAAGTGTTAAATAACTAAAGATGTGAAACTGTGCAGAAATATATTCCAGTTAGCTCCCCAAATTAAATAAATGTGGCAAACGTGTGTGCTGCAGACTTTGAAACCTTTAGCTGCTGGCTGTATGATATCCCTAGCTGGTTTAGCTGCTGAGATGTTTTGGATGCATTTTAAGATCATAATTTTAAACTGTCTAGACCAAGAGACCAGATGGAGTATTGGTGGGAAGGAGGTATAAGAAGAAGGTAGTCCTATAATAGTGGTACATAACTGTTACTGTGTGATAGAGGATGCAGGGTGGAATGTAGGAAGCTGCCTTATGCAATGTCAGACCATTGGTCCATCTAGCTCAGTACTATCTACACTGAATGGCAGCAGCTCTCTACAGGGTCAGTCAGGGGACATTTCTAGTTCTATCTGGAGATGCCAGGGATTGAATCTAGGACTTTCTGCATTCAAAGTAGTTAGTTCTCTACCACTGAGCTATGGTCCTTACTTACCCTTGAGAACAGGGAATGAATATTTGCAGATAACCTTTGTTTTTAATCTAATTACAATTTGAAACAGATTGTGTTCACTTTTTTGTTTCATAAACATAACCTTGGTTCTCACCGCAATCAATTTCAGTATGCTTTTGTCAACAGAAAAATTAACTGAACACTTAGCAGTAAATGTCTGGCTATCACAGAGTTAAGAACGATACTATGTATAATTCTAGAAGGCAGAAGCAGTCTAATTCCAAGTAATGTTTATTCCTCTGTGTCCTCATGTTTAATAGAAACATGCAGATGCAGCCATTGACTTGAACAGCAGTGTGTTCAATAGCTTGCAGTGCATATAAGGACAGTGTTGTCATTTGTAATATGATAGGATTGACAGTGGATTTTACTGTATTTTATTTCTGTACTAAGGCATTATTTTGAATCAGCATCAAAATCGCATATTTAAAAGAATAAAAGTGCAATACATGTAGTCCCCTGTCCTCTTACCAGTAGACTGACTTGTTAACTAATCAGCTTCTAACTTTAGAAATGTGGCAGTATGTTCCAAGCCTCCTAGAATAATAGAATCATAGAACTGTAGTTGGAAGGCATCCCAAGGGTCATCTAGTCCAACCCCATGCAATGCAGGAATCCTGGCTACATCCCTACGTGTGCTCAAACCACCAACTTTCTCGCCAAATGCACTGACCCATTGAGCCACCCGAGGACCTTTGGCATAGTAAATTATTATTTTCAGTTATGATGTAAAGATTTTGCCAGCATACATTCAAACCGTTCAAAATTTACCGTATTTGTTGCACCATAACACTCACTTTTTTCCTCCTAGAAAGTAAGGGGAAATGTCTGTGCGTGTTATGGAGGGAATGCCTACAGGTGGCATGCCTATGGATTTTCCTCCTCTAAAAACTACGTGCGTGTTATGGTCGGGTGCGTGTTATAGAGCGAAAAATACGGTAATTATTTATTGTAAGCTCTGCATGTGACATTCCTCAGTACTTTCAATTTTATTAAAGTTTGTAGGCTGTTAAACATTGTGCTTCTTTAATTCTTTGCCCATACTGACTTTGTGTGTAGTCCCAAAACAACTTCCTGGCCAGGCTGCAGAGTGTGTGGCTAAGAAAAGTGACCAACTCAGCCCCGAAATACTGGCCAACTGGGGCAGGAGTAAGGGTAATGATAGAGGGAGAAAAAGAGACTTCGTCATCTTCTTCTTCACCAATCTCAGTCCTGCCTGTGAATTTTTACAGGCACTTATATTACTACTATTATAATTTATTAAATGTATTTACCACCCTTTAGCCGAGGATCACAGAGCAGTTTATAGGATAAAAACACAAAATGCATAATATGACAAACAATACCACCTCCATACATAAAACATTGATTTCTCCCTTTAGTAATGAGCATTAACTCTGCATTTCCACATTTTAAAATTAAGCTGTTGCTGCTATGAAATCGCAAGTTTCTCAAAGAAACTGGGAAGAAGAAAATAATTCCTCTGTCTGTTTCTGGACATGTTGGGACTTTGAGCACAGGACTAGGATAATGCTGCAAAATTTATTTATTTTCAAGGTGATTTAACTAACTCAGAAGCAGTATGGAAAATAATTACCTCATGGGCCCACTACGCTATAGAAAAGGAACTGCAAGGAGAATCAATCTGTATTAAATCATGTTCTTGACAAATTCAAACATTACTTTTTAAAAACAAACTTGAGGTTGTTAGCCCTTGGGGCTCTTTGAAGGCATCTTAGCAGAACTGCTAGGTATTGCCAAAATTGCTTGGAAGCAATGACAAGTAGACAGGGAAGAGCTTTTAGGGTAGGGAATGTGATAGCACGTGCTGCAGCTGAGAACAAATCCATTGAAGCTCAAGCATAGCTTAGACTACTGGAGCATTGTCTGTATCTATTTTAAGAGTTCTGTTTTCCAGAGTGCCTCACTGTGTGCTCTTCTGCATCTGATGGCTGATGCCCACTGACACATCTGGCAGTGTAGCTGGAGAGGGGGGTTGCCGCCAATTGAGAGTATTGCTGAGTTGCATATTTGTTTTGCACAATCATTAGCTGTAAAAGAGAAAGCTAGCAAGTGCAAGACACGTTGTCTGAAGCAGGGCCCCCCATATGTTTTTGCACTCCCATCAGTCTCAGTGTCAGGAACTGGCTAGACACTAAGGAGTGGTGGCTGGATACTGATGAGTGGGCACCGGGAGAAGGGACCAGTGGAATGGCGGAGCCTGTAACAGCCGGGACAGGCAGGAGAGCAGCAGGATTGATGAGTGAAGAACCAGATGCAGGAGGAGGGAAACATAGGTCAGGCTGGTGTAGTCAAGGACTTCCACACCTCCTCCTCCTGCCCCCACCTCTCCTGCTCCTCTGTCTCCCAGGACCAGAAGTGGGATTGAAGTATGACTTTTGTATAAGATGACTCCATTCCTCTTATTTAGAAATTAAGGCATACCACATGACATAAGTTTCTGAATTCATGCATTGTTTACACCTACACATCCATTGCCAAAAATTAAACAAAAATTAAAGAAGACAGCTTGCTTCCAGTTGCATGCAGCTTCTGCAGCCTACCGGAAGCCACAGAAGGTGCGTCAGACATTCAGGTTCTAAAGAACATTCGCAAACTGGAACACTCACTTCTGGGTTTGTGGCGTTTGGGAGCCAAAATGTTTGACTCACAAGGCGTTCGCAAACCAAGGTACAACCGTATTCCAACCAAAAGACAAAAAAAGACTGCTTTGATGCAGGGCACATCAGAGTGCATCAGAACATTTTTGTAATGCATGACTCAGTCCTGAAAATGTGACGTAATGATCTCTACTCGTGTGCAAAGTACATCACACTGCTCTGTGAATCTTTGAAAAATGGGATAGGAAATGTCTGAAATTCTAACTTTCAAAAAAGCATGATCTCTCCAGTCCCTTTGTATTGTTTAAAAGCTTAGTTTCATCCTGCATACGTTCTTTTCAATGGTATAGAGATTTTTAAACCTGTGCAGCTTTAACTGTGTTTAATATGAAATTATATAAATATCATCCAGAATGGAGTTTGGTAAATGTATCACTCAGAAAACAATATTTACGAAAACTGAACAAATACATTAATCCTTTCTCTTTCCTTTCAGTGAATGAAATCATAGGAAGAGATATGTCACAGATCTCGGTGTCCCATGGAGCAGGGATGGCTATCCATTCTTCGCATGCATCTTCTGCATCTCTGGAGACAGGACTATCAGATGGAGCTCAGTAGCTACTAAGCTTGTGACTTAGTGATCCAGAAAACTTCGCACTTTTCCTTTGAGTAATGCTTCATCCCCCTCCTTAGATTTACTGTGCTTCCGACTTTGTGGCCTTGATGATCTGGAACAGTGGATCCTTTGCATAGCTGTTCTGGGAGGGTGGGGAAACGGTTACACTTCTAGCTTCCTAGGATGCTGTAAAAATTACTTTGTAAAAATGGACACAAAGAAGCAACCCAAGATACTTTAACCATGAAAAAATACCAATGAGCTATGCTTGTTTTGTGCATTTAATAGAATACTTTTATATTAAGTGCTTAATTGTATGGAGAAATATAGTTTTGCTCTCAATATGCACAGTACTGAATGTGGGAATTCTTTTTTAAAAATACACATCTTCATATGCTGCTTTTCCTTAGAGATATTAGGACTGTAATATAAATTTGTATACCTTTTGGGGGGGTCTTTTTGAAGAGCCTTTAAGCTTATATTGTTTGAAAGAGAACTTTTTTTTATAATGAAATCTTCCAGAGGCACAAAAGTACCTGTCATCTTAAGCCAATGCCTTGGAAGTCTTGCGTATAAAAAAATAGCATTTTCTTTGGACTTTTAGGAAGCAAAGCCAAATGTAGGTCTGTTGTTCTTTATACATTGAAAATCCTTGGTAGGCTGCAAAGAGACCATTCCATCATGGAAATATTGGGATTAAAATGACATTCCAAAATCTAACTTTTATAACTTTATACCCCTTGCTAGCACAGGCCCCCCTATAAGTGAAACAGGTTTTTCTAGTTCAGAAAAGTTTATAAAATGCTAATTTTTAAGGAGAGAACCAAGATTTTTGGATGCTAAAAAGCCATGCTCTATAAGGAAACCTTTTGGTTGGAATAGTTTTAAGTACGGGTTATCCACACTGTCTTGAAATCCCTCAGGTAGGGTTTTTCACTTAGTCCATGGTGTGTCTCCCCACCCCCACCCCACCCCTAGACAAATCCAATTTATATCTCTTGTTACTCAGACTTGTTTCTTAAAATATTTTCTTTATAACATTTTGATACTTATGTTCATGGGGATTCCTCCTTCAAGAAATCTGATTAGTCCCAGTATGTAGTAAAGGAAATGTAACAGGTTTTGATAAATAGTGAAAAACTGTTTAGCCGCTCATGCTCTTAACAGTTGTGCTTAACACTGCTGACAGAGGCAGCTTTTTCTAGTAGTTAACAGACATCAGGGCACACCCACCATGAGTTTCTCTCCTGCAAGCGCTATTGAAATTAGTGGGGACTGCCCTTCTGCAACTCCTGTTGTACTTCCAGCAACCCACACCATCAAGGAATCATGTTTACACTACATTTTGAAATTTCAGACCACCCTGAATAAAAAAAATCATGATTGGAGCTGAAACATCAGAGTGACACAACTTTGTGTTAGTATTTCATACAAGATGGGCAATTACGAATTCATAATCCAAACATGCAAGATCCAGAATCCCTGTTAGATAGTATATTTATGTTGCTTTTTGTATGAATATTGAGTTCTTTTAAAAAATTGAAAATCCAGCTTATTCAGCTTTGACTAGCCAAATAAGAAAGAGGGACTCCAGATTACTAAGAAAGCAATCAAGTAAATATTAATCTGGCCTGGCCTGTTGTAAAAACATTGTAAGTCTTAACTGCATCCCCAGGATATATGTGCAGAAAGAACATAAGAGCCCATCCAAATCAGGCCATCCTTTTCTGGAAATCTGTTCTAACTCTGGCCCAATGTGTTTTAATCAATTTCCCACATCTCCTGTGAAGAGAGCTTTGTCTTCTTTAAGCCTCCTTTTAGCTATCAAGAGGGCACTTAGATATTAGCCCCAACTGGCAATGTTCTGCTGACTGATTTGTCACTTGGTCTGCCAGTGGCCCACCATTCAGTGTAAAATAAAATACAGTACATTCAGATGTTTTTGCTTATCTTCAGTGGAAACATAATGCCTGTCTTCTACAAAATTCCTAAAGTTTAGAATATATATATTTAACCTTGACAGTCAAAGCAAATACAATTTTGGGGGTTAGAATTTACAATTCAAGAGGGAAGGAAGTGGCCTTCATATGAACAGCTATCTTGAATGCTTTAATCAGGTAGATGTCAAATTGGAGTAGCTCTTAAATTCATCCCTTTCCCCCAGTAAATTTGCTTTTAATTAACTTTTTGAGATATGTAATATTATTAGACTACTGTTACTAGCTTGTCATATATAAATATTTGAAATCAAAAGGAGCGATACTGTCATTTGGAAAAGGTAGTCTCTCTGTAGTGTTGCTTTCAAGTGAGTCTGTCTTCTGTTCACATAAGTTAAATAGCTTTAGAATAAGCTTAAGTACAGCTAGTTACATGTGTAGCACTTCACTCCTTTTTAAATTGCCTTAGCCTTTTCATGTCTAGTTGGTGACAATTCCTGTATTACAGTTTTCACTCCGTAAGTAGTAATGGGTCTCTAGTAACCAGTGGTTGCAGGGAGATTTCAAGTTTTCAGAGCTTTCAATACACCGTGGGGTTTTATGCTCCTTGGTGGTGTGCGGTGTAGCCTCTTCCCTCTCTAAGTCCTCCTGAATAGTTTTGAATTTATATTTTCCCTAAAATGTGGGAACCCAAACAATCCCGTGTTGCTATGCACTAAGTGAGCAATCCACCAAAAGCTGTACCATTACAGCCTCTCTCCATTTCAGCAGGGCTTGCACAGGGGAGCCCCTTGCAAGCAAGCTACTGAAACAAATTGAGATTTTTGCAGCTGTGGAATTGGCGGATGGTTCACAAAATCTTCTGATGCCTTTAAATACCTTGATGCCTGTAGATGTAGAACTGCTTTCCTATTTAAAACAAAAACATAGACTTTGGGTACTAAAAATGGTTGTATTTGCCTTGTAAACACTTCAGTGCAAGGGTCTTAATTTTATTTTAATGTTTTGCTTGTGTGATGCTATAGATTTAAAGACTGTTAATCTTGTGTAATGTAGTGGATATAAAAGCACATGATTTCTATTGGACTATGCAACTTACAATTTTCAGCAGCCGCCGCCTGTGACTGGCACTTTGGCATCTACCTTGCTAGCCTCTCCTGCCTCCAAATCTACACAATTGCTTTCTATGCTGATGTCCAATTTTTTAAAAAAATATTATGGAAAGCATTCAATAACAACTCTCAGCAGAAAGAGTGGAGGCTTTTGTTAATCAAATGAGGAGGCAGCACATGGCCCATTTGATATGGGCTACTAAAAGCAGTTTTGGCTTTACCAAAGTTTGACCACAATCTGGCACTCATTGTAATAAACTCTTCATCAGAGAAATGGAACTGCCATCCTTTGTAAACCAAAGATTAAAGAAGAAGAAAAAAAAGACAAATTTTGTTTGTATGCAAACAAAACTTTGAAAACTCTATTTTTGATACACAGAATGAATGTCATTCCTTGAGAGGTTTGGAGACTATTCAAATTGAAGTTTTATATTTAACCATGTGGGACAATAATGATTTTAAGACTAAAGGTTACATTCTAGATGTTTACAGAGCCTTGTATTGTAATTTCATGTACATTTTGTGTATTAAACCTTTTGTAAGTTATGATTGCAGTGCTACATGCAGAAATACAAAGGGAAAAACTTGCGTTTTAGGCTCTTGAATCATAGTGTTGAAATAAAGAAGAAAATGCACAAAAATGTGTGTCTCCAATGAGGTGTGTGTACTATTTTGGGAGATTTGGCATGTTTTGCATGAGATGAGACTTTTCTCATGACCTTCTTGGTCCTTGGAGGATTTTATATTTTCTCCAGATTCCATAGAGATGCCCAAATCCATTCCACAGTCTCTTGACTGTAGTGCGCTTTCCACAGTACCTGTTCCACACAGTTCCTGTTTCACAAACTGCTGCGGTAACATTTAGATAACCCAGGAGCCAAATAGGCTTGCGTGTGATTTAGAGTTCTTTCCAAGCAGTGTTCTGTCTGAATTGCAGGAGGAGCACACCCCCCTGATGCATTTTATGAGAGGCAATAGTTCAATAGTAGAGCATGTTATTCTGCTTGTAGCATAAGGTTCCCAGTTCTGTCTCTGGCATCTTAATTGAAAAATAGTCTTTGCCTTAGATTTCAGAGAGCCACAGCTCATCAGAGCTGCAGATTTGTTGCAAGATGGGCAGTATGTTTCTAATAACCCAAGCTACACTACCTGGTGACAGAAGGCTTGCCTGTACTGCTAAGGTGCTAGCTGTAAATACAGGATCAGTAGCTTTGAGGTTGGTAGTAGTTGCATCTGTCTATGTGAGGAAAGAGCAAGGATCCAAACCACATGACCTAGCAAGAGCCCTGACCAATTTAGGATTAGCCTCCTCGACGGCGCCTCTACCTATATGGATGCTCCTGCAATATAAATAGAGGGGGTAGATGGAAGTGCCAATGATTTCATATTAAGCCATGGTGGCCTAGGCTTTCTAAAGATAGCTTGGGGAGGCTTGAACCCTGCTCCACATTCTTACCATGTAATTAAGAGCTGTAATGCTGGAGCTGCAGATCGATTGACAGGAGGATAATTTGCTTGTGGGTTCAGGCTTTCCTCCCTCTGTAATCTGCTAGTTCTTGTGTGAACTGACGAGGCCAAGAGGTGCCGTAAAATGACTTACCCTCTGTGGAATGAAACTGTGACTCAAGCCCCCTCTCATACCTCTGCTGTGTCACATGGGGCAATTAGTCCATAACTCATTCTAGGCATCATCGCCTTATGATGAAGAGTTGTGACAGAAGCAGTTTGCCCTTCAAGAGCTAATTGGGTAGATGCACTTACTTGCCTGCCTGCACTAGAAGAATTCTTTTGCGGGAACCCAGGAGCTAAGGGGTTTGTGTGTTGGTTCTGGGTCTGCAGAACTGGGTCTTTTGCTTGCATGTTTGGTTTAAGAGGTGTGAATTGTTACTTTTTTTCTCATTAAAATATAATCAATTTTCTCCCTCAAATCTACTCCACAGAATCTGGAGAGACAGATGGTATCGAGAACTTAGGCTCTGCACCTTGATCCTAAAAGGACCATATAAATTACTAAACAACACTCATCCAAGCTCACACCTTTTCTGAATAACCTATTTTATTCTCTCTCTGTTCCTATTGTGAAAATGTGTTCATGTTCCAGTTTTATCACCAGCATGTTGTCATATGTTTTTGCGTTTCCCTGCTGGTGGTGTTGTGTTTGGATCTCAGTTTGGAGGCACAGTTTCCACTGCTTAGAATTTTACTATTTTCTCAGTTGCATCTCACTTTTCCTCAAAGCGCAGCAGCTCCTGAAACTTAGAATTTGCATCACTTCCTTCACTCTCTTCCTCTTGGTGGCTCTTGATGGTGGTGATGACGTCTAAAATCTCTTTCCTCTGCTTTTTTTATTGCACTATTATAAAAACCATAAAGGCTTGCATGCAGCTCACAATACAGATTACCTTTCAAGCTTACTGCAGTTAGCATAATGGAATAGCTGTCTGGTTTTCTTTTTGGTTTGTTTGTGCACAACATGGAACTATGAATTACTGCTGCCTTTCTCCAAATCCTTTCATACACCAGTGTGTGCACTATGAGAATTTGCAGTATTATTACTACACTAGGCAAGGTCTCATTTCAGTTGCCTCACAGTGCTCGTCTGCTGTTTACACACAGGTTTTTAAAAAACACACTAGCCTTAGGCTTTCTGCTCTTCCACACTGCATTTTTCAGTGCTTCATAATTTTCAGCCCTTTTAAGATAGGACCATCCTAGGCTCTTCACTCATCACTGGTTGAATGCTATGTGTTAATAGCTGTGCAGGTATACGTCTCAACTGTTAGGGATTTGCATTCAGCCAGTGTACAGTATGTGTACACAATAGCTGAGCTTGTGTGTGTATGGTTAGTCCCATGTAACATTCAGTGACAGTGTGCTCAGAAGTGCGGCATCAGCGTGTTGATGGGTGAGGTAAGATTTAAAAATGGGGGCCATTCCCTTGATGATGCCAGCACACCAGAACTTAATTTGAGCAGGAGATGAACTTTTAATAAGGAAAATAAATAAGAAAACAGGATGGAGCATACCTGCACTATTCAACTGAACTGGCCTTTTGCTGCTTTGAATTCAGTCTCAGCCGCCTGCGCTACTTAACAGCAAGGCTGTTCCTAAGCCCCTGCTGTTGCTGATGGCTTGAACATCCTGCAAGCAGTTGTTTTGGCGTTCCTCTGAGTTGGTGGAGCCAGTTTCGCTTTTCCAGTTTTGTGCTGTGTTCCACTTGGCATCTTTTCAAGCTCAAGTGAGCTGTGCTAATATTAATTAGCTGATGGAATCACAGTGGAAATCAGGATGCGGCATGTCAATACTGGGCTTCTCACCACCTGCTTTCCTGGACAGGGACATCCGCTGTGCACATACCGTGCAGGGAACACCATCGTTCCCATCCAGCCCCGTCACTGCTATTAAATCAGAAAGATACTGTGACCTATTTAGCAGGCAAAGAGTAGTATACAGCATGGCAGTAGCCAATGTGCTGCCTTCCAGATGATGTTGGACTTCCATCATCCCCAGCCAGAATGGGCAATGATTAGGGATGATGGGAGTTGTAGTTCAATAACATCTGGAGGACATCTGGCTACTCCAGTATCATAAGTAATAAGAAAAGCAGAGTACGGCTTTCTTGGGAGGGGGCATATATACACATATTGTGATGGCCTGGGAATCGGATTCAGAGGCTGAACCTGAGGAATCCCAGCCTGCACAGGATTTCCCGCCTCCAGAACCAGCTGAGCTGGGGCTGGGGCATCAGCCTGAAGGGTCCTCACCCGTGCTGGATCCTCAGGTGCAGGCACCAGCTGAGTCTGTTCTGGCTCCTGAGGGGATGGAGGACCCATTGCCTGCAGGTGCTCCACTCTCAGTCCTGTCAGGGGAAGAGGAGGTTGCCTCTGGGTCCGGTAACCCTCCAGCCTCTCCTGAGCTGCAGAGGCTCAGGGTAGAGAGGCGGAGGGAACTAAGTTCCCGCAGGAGGAGCGCTCGCCTCCAGACCAGGAGAGGTGAGTCACCTGAGGATCGGGGCCGCCCTGTGCCTCGGGGGAGATAAAAGCCAGCCAGCCCCAGTCCCAAGTTGAGGGAGCAACATCGTTGGTTGTCAGTTCCAGCCTGATCCCTGACCTGCTTCCCTGCCGGAGCTCCTGACCTCATCCGACGCCCTGCCCTGCACCCAGCTTTAAACTTCTACGGACTGCCTTCATACTGCACCATCGACCTCAGACTGGACTCGGACCTCGCCTCTCGGTTAGCCCCCAGGACCAGCACATATATATATATATACATACACATACATACGATTGCTTATCATCTGACCCGTCTACTGCAGTTATTAAGTTTGCAGATGACACCACCATAATGGGTTTAATAACAGGTGGAGACGAATCAGCATATAGAGGGGAGGTCCAAAAAATATCTACATGGTGCCTAGGGAACAACTTGCACCTTAATATCAGCAAGACAAAGGAGATGGTTTTGGACTTTCAGAGGAAGAGAGGAGAACTAGCCGTGCTCTACACTGGGGAGGGCTGTGTGGAGAGAGTCTCTTCCTTTAAATACCTAGAAGTTTATCTCAGTAAAGACCTTACTTGGAAAATCAGTACAACCCAGGTGGTTAAGAAAGCCCAACAGAGGCTCCATCTCCTTAAGAGTATTGCGAAAGAACGACGTCAATCCACATTTGATGATCTCCTACTGGGCCACAATAGAAAGTGTCCTTTCATACTGCATCACGGTGTGGTACGCTGGTTTGACACCAACTGATAGGAAGTGCCTACAGAGGGTGGTGAATACAGCACAAGATATTATGGGCTGTCCCGTGAATCCACTGGATGACATCGCGGAAGAACGTTGCCTCAGGAGAGTGAGGAAAATTCTGAAGGATGCTTCACACCCTGGCCGGCACTTTCTTGATCTCCTGCCCTTGGGCAGAAGATATAGAAGCATGATTAGTCGCACCAACAGGGTAAAAAACAGCTTTTATCTGTGGGCTGTTAGGCTGCTGAATGAAAAGATAACAGGGCAACTGACTTTTGGGTTTGGTGGGTGTGCGTCAGTAAACGAGGGGAATTAATACTAAGAGAGGTGAGTGGGGGGTCGCTCGTGTAATCTCACTGTATACAAGTTGTACAAGTGACAATAAAGTATTTAATATGAGGGGAAGTTTGGCTGAAGACTTTCGTTGCCTTCCTTCTCCTACTAGCCACATTTTTCTGCTCAGCCTCACTGTTACAGAGGGGGAGTTATATTGAGTGTTTAGAAGTTTAAAATGTAGAAGAAGAAGCTGTTGCACCAGTCAGACCAGTCTCTGTAAGATTATCTGTAAGATAATGCTCCTAGCTGGCCATTTACATGTGCAAAGAGATTGCCCTGCTGCTACAGAGACAAATGGGTGGCTCTTTTCCCACCTCACATGGCTGAATGCAATGCCATCCCAGGAGGGAGAGCAATAGAACAAGGGAGGCTGTATGTGAGAGTATTGGGGGGGGGGGATTCTGGAAGCTGGGGACACAGAAGCTGGTGTGTTGGACCCCAATATGTGACTTGGGGCTTCCCTAGAAACCTAATGGAGAAGCAAAAATCTTCTGGAGTGTTAGTGCTCTGAGTTCCTCTGTCCTATGTTCAGGTTGTACATGTGCAAATGAAACCACATATTATAAAGACAGTACAGTCTCTTTTGACCTTCATTCCAAGGAAACAACCCTGGAAAAGAGATACGGAGCCTCTCACTGCTCAGAGATTGGGTTGTGTGCAACAATAAATATACTTACAGATTAGTAGCTAGCGGCCCTCCTGATGCTGCTGAACTTCAGCTCCCATTGCCCTCTAACCACTAGTCATGCAGACTCATTGAATGTTGCGCATGAATAACTACAAAAGTGTGCATACCAATTTTTGTGTACAACAGGTACAGAGGTTGTATACTTGCTGAATGCAACATGTGAATAATACCCTCTATGATGCTGCTTTAAATGTATAGTGCAGATGGGCGTTTATATCTGCAGCAGGGGTGATTGGTTTTTTTATGTTTCATGAGAAAACAGAAAAGGGGGGGATTGCATAAAGAGAAAGCGCTGCCTTACCCAACAGATTAACCAGAGTGAAAGATCCCTGCTTTGCAGGAATTCTGTGTACTGCAAAACACCCCCCCCCAAAAAAACATCCCTCCCCCCATATTACATGATTTGGAATCAAATGTGGGACAGTCCCCCCCCCCCAGGGCAATGCAGAGGTATCAGGCAGGCCCTGCCTCCTTCTACCCACCTTCCTCCCAGGTGCTGGCCTCGCCTTCAGCTTCATAGAAGAGCTATTAAAAGCTGGCCAAAGCTGTTTTCGTTTGCCACAGTCTCCCTTGACACCTCTCAGACCTGCCTCTTCCCCTGCCCTCCTGCCAGCAGCATCCATTAAATTACTATTTCAAGGATGTAACAAGAGGCTTCATTTATATATTTCCAAGCATTCAGCAAGCTGCTTTCTGTATCGTACATTAGGACAAATGGTACCCATAATAATATAAAATGCTTGGGCACTTGCAAAAAGGCAAGAAATATCCCCCCTCCCAAGTACATTGTGTCCATTGACCCAATAGACTCACAGTAATTAGAGTGATGAGGCAGGGCCAGATTTTAAGGGGGATTTATTTACTGGGTGAAATTCTGCAAATCTGCTGAGAGATCAAGCATATTTGCATGTGGAGTTAAATCAGATATCCTGTAAGAACTTGATTCTGTTCCTTTTGATGGTGGTCACAACTGAAACAGCCCCGCAGTGTAATTATAGCTTGCTCTTTACACTGGCTAGAATAAAGTCTGGATTCTTGCATTGCAAGAAAAAATGATCCAACAAAGCAGACTTAGTAGACACCTAATCACGTCTGACTCATTTGAAGTCACTTAGATGGCCAGGTGTGGCTGAATAAATGCAGTGAGAACATTTGAGGGCACTCCATTCAGTTCTGTGTCCAGCGTGACCAAAGCTGCCATAGCCCAGAATCCTCTGCAATCCACTAAGGATTCCTCAGCAGAGAAGACAATGTGGAATGAGTTCCCTGGATAAAGAAAGCTTGAGAATCTCTGCATGGTTTAAGGTGCAACAGTTGGCTGACAGTTAAGAGTTGCAAGAGTGAGTAATGTGCTATTTTCATGGAAAGTGTTTAAGTCCAAGTTGATTGCCCCCTACCATCTTCTGCAAAACATCAAAAGAAAAGAAAAACCCCTCTCTATTTTAAGACAACTAGCTTTTAAAATAGGAACCGGTTTCATAATGCCACATGGCTTTCTTAAAAAAGGATGCATAAACCCGACCTTTTGCATATAACATGAGGTCACAGGCAAATTAATGTTTCCAAAGATAAACCTGAGAAAAGTGTGTCTGTGATAGGATGGCCATGTGTCCTCCATTGCAGAAGAGAGTCCTCTAATTTAATTTCATCTGTTCTTGAAGGACTGTCTAGTCCCAGTTCAGGTTCAAGAGGGTGGAAGCAGAGTTGAAGTTGCCCATTAACAGTGAGCTCCTTAACAGCAGACTGAGCAGGCACAGAGCTCAGCTGGCCACGGAGCCTTACCTCTTACAACAGTGAGCACTATTTCAACTGGAATTAATGTACATTGCTTCTAAATTTCCATGTATGTAAACACATTTGCCTATGAACATTTTACCCATCCTTTTTAGAGGCAATGTAAGAAGTGGCCATCTTGTGTGGAAACACACATTTTCCAAATGCACTAGAAAGAAATTTAAGCTCCAATTTAATGCAACAGCATTTCTCAGAAAGATAGTGCGTTCCTGCACCTATGACTAAAATGAGGACCAGGCAGAGTGAACAACTGAGCATATATTTTTGGAAGGTCATTTCTGTTATCATTCGTGCAAGTAATTCTTACTATAAGGCCATAGCTTCTGCTTCAGATTTTGGTCCTTGCTCTGTCAAATTCAGTGTAAAGGGGACACCTACTGGTAGGATGGGTTTGTGGCACATTTCTTAGGGCTGCCTACTGGGGAACCTGCAGCCTTGCTGATATTGCTGGACCACAATTCCCATCACCCCAGCCCACATAGTCAATGCTCAGGGATGATGGGAGTTGTAGTGCAGCAACATCTGCTGTGGTTACTGTGGAACAGTGCTAACAGGAAACCAGCTTTTTCAGTTTTCCAGAGAAGCAGCTGTGTTTGCTAAAACAGACCGAGAGCTTCACAGTACTTGAAAGCGGCTTTCCCCAGCATGGTGCCCTCCAGATGTTTTGAACTACGGATCCCATCAACGCTGGTTATTGGACATGAGGCTGGCCCTGATGGGAGCTGGCATCTAGCAACCACTGGAAGGCCACAAGTTCTCCATTCCTGCCACAGACAGAACTTTCCCATCACCTTACCCAGAATGCTTTTGAGCCGAGCAGATTTGCACTGAAAGGTCAATCAAAGGTTGAGGAATCCAGTGAGGTAGACACATGCATTGTAGGGGGTTCAACAAGATGACTCTTTGGACCCCTTCCAACCCTACAGTTCTATGATTCTAACTGCCCAAAGACAAGTTGAGACAAGCATGCACAGACCCAGGAGAGTGAAGCTGAAAACACCTGCTAAACATTTAATTGCTTCATATCTGTATCAAATATAAAATAGAGAGCGGAAGGCAAGTTCATAACGGAAGGGTTATTAGAAATAAGAACCACCCAATTCACACTAACTTATTTGTGTCTTTTAAAAGCAATATGCAAATTGTTGTTGACTGTATGGTGAAGGAAACTTGTAGAACCTTTTCAGTGTGACATCTCTGCAGCTTTCCAATCCAGGGTTAACATCAATCTAGAGAAAGTTCAAGAAAGCCAGGGTTGTTGTTTTTTCCTGCAAGCATCTTTTTATTTGTTTATTATATAAAGAAGCATACACCATCATCTGACATGGGAGGGAGAGGCTGATTCTCTCCTTTAAGTACTACTCCAAGTCGTATGCTCTTAGCAAAAAGAAAGTAAGACTAGACTGCATACTCAGGTACCTAAGAGCCTCTTGCAAAAATGGGCTCCTTCTGGTTTCTTCTGCTGTTATTGCACATTTTGAGAAAAGTCCTGGATCAAGGCACGGTAAAAACAAAATCATTTAGTGCTTCTACAGTAGATGTTTCAGCACACACTACGCAACATAAAACTATATTCTTTGAACACATATATACATACTCACATAAAAAAAGAGTCATGCACTAATTAGGGTGAGATTTCAACTTCTCTGGTTGCTTCATAATATACAAATAAAGAATAATGTTGTAAACAAATGGCATGCACATAAACTAAAGCAAAATATGCTTTATACAATATCTGAGAGCTATGATGCTTAAATAAAACAAAATATAATTTACTAGTCCTCAATGTTTATGTGCCATTCTTGTCCTAGTGAAATTCTTTGAAGTTCTGGATCTTTCTTCGTTTGGTTTACAGGTTGGCAGCTTGAATGTTAGGAGACAGATATGGCTTTATTTCATTTACTTATTTGTGTCATACCCAACAAAATGATACATTTCACTTTTATTTTTTAAAAAAAGAAACTAAAAAGCTTTTTCTGCAATTTCATTTGGATGCAGCTTTCCAAGTTATTCTCTAGTGGAGTAAAAGGAACAATAAAACATTCAAACAAAGAAGTTGTTTTTTGCCCAGCCACATTTCAGGAAAACAGGCTTCCACTAGCCAACTTTCAAGGCAAGGGCAACCCCCACCCCTCCCTGCCGCCAACAACAGCAACAGCAACAACAACAAAACTTTTGGCAAGTTTGGATTCAAAATGAAATGAAAATTTGAAGAATTCTACAGGCTTCAGTTTCCTCTCCAAACTGATACACAGAAATAAAGTTAAATTAAAAATACATCTGTTGTGGTTACAACTGGTGAAGTGCTACAGATTTATCTCCAAATTAAGTGGGGGGTGGGGGATTTTCATGGCAACGCTGCTGAAATCAAACATCTTAGCACTATTTTTTTTGGGGGGGGAGGGAGGTGTATTTCTGTCCCACTCAGTTGAAGACACTTGCGAGGATTGTTTCCCAGGCACATCAGGAGGAGAAGGCAGTTTTGAGTGAGGGAAGACGGTGTTTTTAAAGAAAGGGGTGAATTTTGAGCAGGGATTGTCCTCACTCTTGCCCACCCCACAGAAGGTCCAGCCTCAGTTAGATCAGGCAGAGTTCCACACAGTGTCTTCCCAAGTGGCATCCACTTCTCTCGGCCACGGCTTTCTTTGCTGAGTCCAGGCTGGGGAAAGTGACCAGGGCTTCTCCGCTGGGCTGACCACTGAAGTTGTAAAGCAGGAGGATGGAGTCTCCATGGAGCTGCAAGGATGGAGCAGAAGGGTCAGAGCAGGAAGGCTTGGACCCTAAGAGGTTGAGGAGGGGAGGAGGAGAGAGAAGGACCACCCCTGGAGAGCCAAGTTCCAACACAGCACCTTGCAACCCCAACCCTCACCGAAAGCAGTTGTCACAGCTCCTGGGGATTATAGAAGAAGTGTTTGGATTTGATATCCCACTTTATCACTACCCGAAGGAGTCTCAAAGCAGCTAACATTCTCCTTTCCCTTCCTCCCCCACAACAAACACTCTGTGAGGTGAGTGGGGCTGAGAGACTTCAAAGAAGTGTGACAAGCCCAAGGTCACCCAGCAGCTGCATGTGGAGGAGTGGAGACGCAAACCCGGTTCACCAGATTACGAGTCTACTGCTCTTAACCACTACACCACACTGACATCTTGGCAATTGTGACTGGACTCCATTGGGGAAGAAGAGGAGAGCAGTCAATGGGAAACGAGTGGCTGTACCGATGCTATTCTCAAGAACAGAACAGAGAAACCTAGGAAGCTGCCTTATACAGAGTCAGACCATTTTGTATCGTCTACAATGCCTGGAAGCCATTCCCTGGGATTTCAGGCCAAGGTCTTTCACAGCTCCACCTAGAAATGTTGGGAGTGGAACCTGGGACCTTCTGTATGCAGAGCAAATGCTCTGCTGCTGAGTTACAGCCCTTCCCCAATATGATTTATGCTAAGTCAGACTGCCTTGTCCAGGGATTGTGAGCCTGTGGCTCTCCAGCTGCTGCTGGGCTACAGCTCCATCATCCCTGACCATAAACCATGCTGGTTGCAGCTGAAAAACAGCTAGAGACCAACCTGATGTTATGCTCATGAAGGGCAGTAAATCCTTTTTCATATGGGATAATACAGTGCTCACTGGTAGTAGGCCTCTGCTTTTCAGGGCAGTGGCTCATCTAGTCCAACACCCTGTCCTCACAGATGTCCATGGGACAACTGCAAGCTGGACATGAGCTCAACAGCACTCTGGCACACTTGTGATTCCCAGTAACTGGTATTCAGAGGCACGATGCCTCTGACAGTGGAGGCAGAACAGTGCCTTATCCTGCATGAATGTGGCTAATCCTCTTTTAAAGCCATCCAAGTTGGTGGCCATCACTGCATCCAGTGGCAATGAATTTCATAGTTTCACTATGTGCAGTCTGGATTAAATACTTCTGTTTGTCTGCCCTGAATTTTCCATGAGTTCTAATGTTATGTGGGAGAAAAACCTTCCTCCACCCACTTTCTCCATGTATCCTCTTACCCTTTTTCTCTATACTCAAAAGGTCCAAATGCTCACAGAGGAGTTGTTCCATCCCACTGATAATTCTGGTTGCCCTTTTCTGAACCTTTTCCAACTCTACAATATCCTTGAGGCGAGAAGACCCACCTGAAATGCACAGTGGCCAGAACCTAGGACTTCAATCTGAGATTAAATGCCTATTCTCTTTATCATGAGTGGCTTTCTCCAGAAGATTTCCTGACCTTCCTTATGTGAAACTAATCAGTAAAAGATTAAAATGTGCATGGGCAGACACACATGAATGTGCCAGGTGTCAAGAGATAATACCTCAAGAGAAATAACTATTATGCACACAAAAACAGAGGGGGAACCTGGGGTGCTAGGAAGGAACCATCCCACCAGCTCTCCTGGAGAAAGGCTTTCCTTTGAACCCACTGTCAGTGCTGATAACTCCAGCAAGAGTTCTCATGTACAAAGTACCACACAGTCCTTAGCCATGAAACACAGGCCCTTCCTAGTCCAGAGAAGGCAGAACCTGAAGCTGGGGAGGGAGGGAAAGGGAGAGGAAGAAAGCCCCATCTCTAATGAGTAGTTGCTCCTGCCCATTAGTTTCAGTCTTTTCAGTGCCCAAGACTGAGCTTGGATTGAAATACCCGGGTGGTATTCAACAGCAGTCATACTCAGAGTAGACTCATTGAAACTAATGAGCATGTCTAACTACAATAGGTTACAGCAATACTCTAATTTGCTCTGCGTTAGGGCTTAATTGAATACAACCACAGTGTCCTAAAGCAAAGGGCTAGGACATGGTTGTAGAGATTTTCAAAGTATGTTCCAGGGAACCCTGGTGTGTGCACGTGTGTGTGTATGTACATATATTGAAGCTTACTAAAAGCTACTTAATGGGAAGGTTGGTTATGGTAAACACATTTCCCTGAAAAGCATCCTGGCCACATTACTGAGCTTCCTCTTGCCATATGCAGATGTAGGAGAGTTCTAGATGACGTGCTTCAAAATAGGCCTACCTACTTGTGGGCTATCTGTGCATTCTAAAACATGCCTCAGGGCTCTGCAACAGGGGTGGGGGACTTCAGGTGGTGCTGGACAACAACTCCCATTATCCCCAGCTAGCATGAATCACAGCCAGGGATTATAAGAGCTAGAATCCAGCTACATCAGGAGAGCCACATGCTCCCCCTGAGCACATATCCTAAAATGTGCACAGTTACTTGGCAAAATTAGTCAGTGTGGAAAGGCACCACCGAAGGTAGACCACCATTAAATTGGAGAGGAGAAAAAGAAAAAAGATGGATATAGTCCTACAATGATGGTGCTCAGGTATGTTAATTAACACTAGCCTGACGTTCTGGCCTGGACATCACATCTTTCTTTAGCACATGTACACACACTCAACAAGGTCAACTTAAAACAAGCAAACAAATGCCTACATTGAGATTTGACACACAGGCTCATACCTACGAGTTTGAACAATACAGTAGCAAAATATGGGTTTGTCCACACAAGTGGTTACTTGATGTTACTGGAGAATGAAATCTGATACATGTGTGTTATCCAGTCCCAGAACCCTCACATTTAGCAGAGGCCACAACCCACACTGGTTGCCATATTATGTCTGCGGGATCTGAACAGGAGGTGTAATGCACATGGTTGGCTGGAGGATGTGCTCCTCAGCAATAAGGTGATAAAATGACATCTGCAGCATTAAAAATCCCCAGGTGTTTCAGGCAACACAGTCTTTCTGGAGGAGAGTGATGCCAAATGAAACTCAAACTATATGTAAAGCATATACCAGTTAATGTTAATCCTTATCAACAGATTTCCTGTGTGCTTCTTTGGACTAGTTCCCACTGGGGTAGGTCAAATTGTGTTGGGGCTTTAGTGCTCACATGCTGCTTTGGAGATTCTCATGACAAAATATTCCCCCATACAGGGGTGAAAGATCTATCTCCTTGCACAGGCAGGCAGCATATTGGGGGGAAATGAAGAAAATACCCAGGGTTGGTTTTTTTGCAGTTACATGCATCGTTCATATGAGTTCCCTTAGCTCAGTATGTGTGTGTTCATGTGTAAATTGGAGGCAGACTTAAACCAGTATGTGTTTTCTCAAAATGAGCTCCCAGAACAAAGGGCTGGCATCTTCCTTCCAAAGTTGTCAATAATGCAACCTAGTAATACTGCCTCCCAGGCACCCAGCACTTCCCCTGAGGATTGGCCTCACACCTGCCAGCTGTAGTACTGGCTGCATCATCAAAGGAACTTGGTGCTTCCTTATTCCCTTGGAATGATGCAGTCTCAGCATTTTAGAAGAGGGAAGAGAGATCAACGCTGTGTGCTTCGGACAAGCGTGTGGGGAACTTGTTGCCCTCCATATGTTGCAGGACTTTAACTCCCATCAGCACCAGCCCACACAGCCAGTGGTCTTGGATGATGGGAGCCGGAGTCTAGTGACAACCAGAGGGTCACAGGTGCCCCCTTCTCCTGCTCTACATATAACCACAAAGCATGGTAAATTGGAAGAACTGGTCATGACCATTGAAACTTGCCCTTCAGTGCCCCAAGTGACTACATTTTGCCTTCATTGCCTTACATCCAACAGCAGAAAGATCCTGTTACATGCATATATGCCAGAAAACATTCAATATGATCATGTTAGCTTAAAACAAGAGAACCCTTACGGAGTGGAGAGAGAATGCCAAGCAGAATAATTGCCAGCATTCCCTTTCTCCTCCAGAGGTCTCCAGCATCGCTGCCACCATTAGGTTAGTTGATTCATGCCAGGCGCCGAAGCAAGGGAATGTTAGTGAGCAGAGTCCCCACCACAAGCTAGGAAGGGAGGATGCAAGGAGGAAAAAAACCAATTTCCCACCACTCCCAGCCGATCACTTTGCCCTTTTTCCAATCACCACCAAAAGGCTCCACCTTCTGCCAATCTGAGCTTACCTTCACTGGAGGTTACAAACACTTACAAACAAACCCAGTCTTTCGGTGCTTGTAACACACTCCTTGCTTGGTCGTTGATCTGAATAAGGCCATTGTAGTCGTCAGGTGCATACTACAGTACAAGTGTGATACATAAGGTCAGCAAGAGAAGGGGCAGGTCATCTTGTTACCAGCAAGCCACACAGACCAGCACTTGCAAATGTCATTAGGAAAGGGGTGGGGAGGAGTCATGGCTACAATTGTCAGGGGAAGATACAAGTCAGGCACTGGGTCCATCTAGCTCAGTGTCATCCACTCTTTTCCAGCTCCAGTATTTTGTACAGAGAAGGGTTTTAACCTTCACCTGCTACCTGATCCTTTCAACTGGAGAAACAAGGGATTGAACCTGGGACTTTCTGCATGCAAAGCAAGTGCTATTCTACCCAATAAGCTATGTTGGCTGCCTTTCTCCAGGATGTCAGAAGCAAGGGTCTGCCCCAGCACAATGTTTTGAATGGGGATGCCAAAGAGCAGCGTACATTCTCAGGCCCTTTGTTTCATTGGAAAGCCCCTTGTCCCCATGCCCTGGAGGCATCCACCTGAGGTGCCAGAATCTATGTAAGCAAAAGCATGGCGCAACCTACAGGACACCATCAGAAGTCTAGCTAATGCTTGGGCACCTTTAGATCACATTCCAGGTGGCACTTATGTTTTTAAAGTCACCCATAAGCCTCTTTACAAAAGCTGCAACTGTCAGAGATCCAATCTATAAAGCTGGGTTAAGCAACAGCAAGGCATACTGTGTTACAAGCCCAGAGTGTCCTGGGAAAACTATAAAATGTATTCTTCGATTGTGACAAATAAGAAACAAACAAACAAAACACACCTTTAATTAAGTCAGGTTAAAAACATTTAAAAAAATAGTCCATGGATCTACAGAGCAGAGCTAGTTCCTGAGTTGGGCAACTTGACCAGTCAGACCAAGCCCTGGAATTAACGCCAGATGTTTTAGCAAACTATGAACCCTCATTAATGGCCCAGTGTTAAAATGCAACCCCATGTCATCTGTCAAACATTGCCAAGCACCAACTGTTAAATATTATAAGGGTGATGAAAGCAAACAACAAAATAAAATTTAATTGGATGACAAAAGGTTGATTTCAAAATACAACCTGCGAATGGTTCGCAGATATTGGACATCAAATCTCAGAGCGGTTTTGGAAGCAAACTGGGAAACACCGCTCTAGAATTGTAAGAACTAGACGCTCCCCCCCCAAAAAAGTTCATTTTTCCAAGGCTTCAAGTTTCACACCCAAAGAAAGAACAACATACAGAAGAGGTTCTCCACTCCTCCTCCTCCTCGCCCTCAATCATATAGACAAACCATAAACTAGGAGATGATTCTGAAATGCATCAAGAACAAGTTGTGCAAGATGTTAGGTTTCTAAAGAAACCCAGAGCAGAGAAGATGTCTTTGTGCAAGCATCTATTTGAAAGAAAAGGAAGTCCACCACAATGAGGTCTCCTGTCCTGTTAAGTGGGGACCAGAGCTAGAGAGACAGAGAATGCATATGCCTCTGGCAATTTGCCATCACTTTGTGTCACTGCCCCCCTCAATCTTTCCGCTTCTCATTGATATCTGGTCATCATGTCCTATTGGAAAAGCTGCAGGGTCAGACACAATAACACCTGGGAAGGTGAGGCAGTACTAAAGCTCAGTATAGGTTGGAAAAATATGCACATATATGTGGAAGTGGATAGCTCTCTTTAAGCACTTGTTTATTCATGAGAAGACATGAGGAAGACACCTTCACCAGGTGTCATTTTGAAACAAGATGGTGGACCAAAATGCAATTCAGCCATGATTTCATGTATTTTTTTTGGCATGGGTTCAGCTCTTCTCATTATACCATTGCCAAACTTGACATGAGGGTTCCCAGGGTGGGGTGGCAGTCTTTTTAGCATTTGGATGCCAGCCACCATTTTGAATCACGATGGCAGACCAAAATGTGACCTTGGTGTGACTTCACCCCAATTTTTGGTGTGATGGGTCCAAATTTACAACCTGCACTATCCATTTAAAAATCACATTTTTTTGGGTTTCTAAAGATACATGGGCAATGCCAGTCACTCTTCACTAGTGAATAAATAGAACAGACTCTATGTTATTTTGCTGCAAGGATTTATTATAACCCTTCCACCAGCCTTACAGAAGCAAGCTTCAATACTACTGCAGTGGGAAGTCAGAATTTATGTTTCAGCTATGTGCACCATGCTACAAACTGCCTTATGCTGCACAGTAAGAACTGTGACACTGTAATGGGCCCAGACAGCACCCTTGAGAAATGCAGAACAGTGTAATCTAGAGTCATTTAGCTTCTATGCAAGATGTCACACTTTCAAACTGTCAGGGCAACACCCTTTAAATAACCTCCCCTGCATCCCAACCCGATTCAATCAATCATTCTCACACTGATCCACACTGGCCAATGGCAGCAATGCCTCCAAATACAGCACTAAGTTCTAAGCATGACAAACAGCGAGAAGATAATTCAATTAGGTGTAGCAGCGCAGGCCGAGTTCAGAAATAGATTACAGAATGAGATAAGGAGGAATTCATTTTTCGAGAGACCCTTGAATAGGGTAGGGCTGCTTAAGGAGATTTGGGGGAAGATTATAATTTGTAAGAACACCTGTTTGGCAAGAATGAGGACCTAAAGAAGGATGATGAAAGCACACAAGTATTCTCACATAAGAATGGTTGTTTGGAGGAAACAAAACAGAAAATAACGCACACTGAAAATAATAAATTATTCCCATTTTTTATCATTTTTACAGCTGCAACTTTGAATTGATCAAAAGCATCTGGATAGAATAAAACAGGGGTGGGAAATCTCAGGCCTGGGGGGAAATTCTCCCAGGTCAGAATGTTTCCTTGATCTCTGACAATGCCTCTTGCATACCTGGAGGATAGAGGGCTGTGCTGAGTGTATGGAGAAACTAGCCAACCATAACAAAGGTTAAAAATAAACCACATTCTTGCTCTATCCACTTTTGCCTCTGGCATGCAGTCACCAGAAGGTTGCCCAGAAGGGAATATGGCCCTTGGTTTGAAAATGGTTCCCCATCCCTAGACTTAAAAATAAAAGAGAGCTGTTCCCAATAAGTTCAACATAAGGTTGTTGTTAGTCCCCCCACATTTAATGCAAATGTTTTGAAAACTGAATGGCAAATTTTGTCTTATAAGGCGTTCATCTTTCCTCTCTGCAAGATTTGTCCACTTGCAAGCCTTGTCTGTATCATCTTTTCCCCTTTAGAAGAATGGCTTCTCATGTATGCAAATTGGATGGTAATATAAAGATGGAATTAGCCCTAAATGGTTGATGGGACACCATTTCATTTACATGTATGACTGGCAAAGGAAACAACTGCTGGCAATTATAAAAGAAGTGGGACCTAAAAGAAGATCCTTTCCTTAAGTGTATCCTTTCCAGCTAGAAGGAGTACTCCTGATTCCAAACTGGCCATTTTCTCCAGAACAAGGCATTTCACTCCCAATCCTCTTTTCCAACAGATACCCAACATTCTGTGGTTACCAAGATACTAAGCTCTTGTGCTATTTTTGTTGGTTGGTGGTTTGTTTGTCTTTGCACCCTTAGGAGTCCCTTCTTCATTTAAAACAAATTTTGTAACTTAAATTCTGCAAATGTTGGGATTGTCCCAGCATGAAGATTCTTCCTTCTCAGTGGCCCTGCTTTGACTTCCTTCCCGTTAGCCTTCACCAAACCTGAACAGGAGCGATCCGCACTGCAACGTTTTGCCGCAGGAGCCGCTTGATTAAATGCGGAAACTGCATGATGCAAGAAGTTCCGGCTGCAGCTCTCAGCTGAGAGGCTACCTGGTGACACAGAGGGTGAAGCAAAGGTAGAAACCCAAGACTAACCTGATATCCCTGGAAGAAACTGAGGATTTCCTTCATTCCTGCATTATAGGGCAATCCCTGCATCCGGACAAGGGCACCAGGCTGAGGCAGCATTGGAGTGTGCGTGGCTGAGGCAGCGGCTGCAACTGCTGCTTGGGGTGCTGTGATGTACCCTACTGTGGTCGGGGACACCGGTGGGCTGGAAAGATAGGAAAATGGTAGGTCCAAGGGCTGTTTCACACATGCAGGTGCAAAAAGTTCACCCTACCTGGAAAAGTTACCAGCCCAAACAGGATAGTACCTGGGGTAGTAAGCTGTGTAGTTCATATAAAGTTGAGCAGCCTGACTTGGGTAGTAGGTAACAGTTGGACTAGCGGCGGCGGCAGCGGCAGCAGCGGCAACAGCAGCCGAAGCCTGCTGGGACCTGGTTTGAGGCAAGAGCGCTTGCGACTGATATAATGCCGCTTCTGTTGGGATCACGGCGGCAGCTGTCTGGAAGGCATAGGCTGGAGGAGAAAGACCTGTGGACAAAGATCACAAAACAAAACCCCAAAGCAAGTTAGCAAAGACAGAATCCATTGGACAGGTGGATCCTGTCCCAGGAGCTGCTGGCGGGAAAACTTCCAAGTGGAGTTCCAGCCTTTTGAGTAGGTATAAAATTGAGGGGTAGGTTGCTAGTTACTACCATCATTGCTACTAGTGGCTGCCATTACTTGCTAGTTACTACTGCCATGGCATTAGGGGCTAGAATGGTGACAAGGAACCTGGGAGACCCTGGTTCAAATCTCCACACACAGGTGATCTTGGGCCAGTCACTCCCTCTCAGCCTAACCATACTGCACAGAGTTGTTGTCAGGATAATGTGGGGAGGGGGAGAACTGTGTCTGCCACATGAATGTAATAAAGTTTTGGGCAACTATGGGAAATTAATTGGTGTGCTGGTAAACTTTATGTCGGCGTACATTTCCTTTTATATTTTAAGCGAACTGTTACTTGTTGAACAGTTAGGGATATTGTGATATTATACATTTAATTACACATTATGTTTATCATGGTGTTGTATTTTGACTTTTTTTTTTGTAAACCACTTTGAGTACAGATCTGTGGAAAATGATATATACAAACAAACCACATGAATGAAGTGCAAATGTGGAGTACAAGTTCACACTTCGAAAGGTGAAACTGGTGAGCAAAAGCTTTATGTGATGGGCAGTGCATGGTCATATGTTCAGAATCCTCATCAATGAGTTTCGCGGGTTTTTTGTCCTTTCTCGGGAGTAGCAAGGCAAGTTTCTGGTTCTCATTGTTTTAAGTCAGTGGTGGGGATCCTCAGTCCCACAGGCTTATTTTGGCCATTTCCCCCAAGCCATGTCCTTGATGTCATACGTGACATGTGCCTCCCTCCCAAAAGCTGATTTTACTATTGATCAGCAGCACCTGAAAATCCCCATGCCTTTGACACGCATGGTTTGTTTCAAGCCACCCAGGAAAAGGAAAAGGAACAGGTGACAGATGACTCCGCCCACCAGTTAAAATTGCCCATTGGGCTTTGGGAAGGTCAAGATCTAACCCACTGACTAGGCCCAGCATCTTGATTTAAGTATAAACATGAGTGAACCATTTCTTCTAATATGTGTTAAAAGCCAGCAAATGTATTGCTGAGTTACTTTACTGAAAGTAGTTCACGGATGTGTGCGTTCATTGCAGTATGTTACAAGAACATTTATGCATTTGTAGGCCTTATTGTATGTTGTGCTTATTATAAATGGACCCGCACTGCATATTCTACTTTATTGGAAAGCTTGATGTGTCCTCTTGGGGCTTTATTTTCTGGCTGTTGTTTTTCCTCCTGTCTCTAAAAAGCAACTTAGATTGGTAGGCTTGGCAGTATAAGCTCAACAGTCACTGTGGCATCAAAACAGCAATAGTTGCTTTTAGCCCTGGAAACAACTGGTCCTTATTTTTTCACAATCCTTCTCTCAACTACATTTTAAGCCACGAGCTGTCTAGCAAAATGTGGAAGTCACCTACCCACACTTTCAAGTTCTGGCTCTTAAGCCACCCTTTTATTGTCCTCCAACAAAACAAAACCCAAATGCTAAGCTGCAGATATCATTGCTTTGGTGTGCAATGAATCCAGCCACACTGTTTATAAAGTGTTTTAAGACCATGAAAATGCATCGTTTCATCACTCAGTTTTGGTCCATCAGAACCCTTGTCCCAATAGATGCTCTGTCTTCAACAACAAGCTGTGTCCCTGAAGACCAGCACCTCCCTACTGCAAAGAGGCAGGAGGAGATTAATCTCATTGGCAGCTGCAGAGCAAATTGCTTCAATTAAAAAAAGAAAAGCACAAAAAATGTAATTGCCAAGCAAGCTCTACTAAAGGTGAAATTTATTGCAGAGTTTTCTTTTCCGGTAATGAGGTTAACACAGTCCCCCAACAAAAGCAAAGTACATAATAATTTGGGGAGCATCTCTAGCTACCAATACCCCCAAAATATTTTAAAATACAGGGCTGCAAGCCTAAGAAACCATTGCAACCCATCATCTAACACTATACAATGAAACTAAGCATACTTAAAAGTATGTTCCACTGGCTGCAATCCTATGTAGACTTTCCTGGGGGTAAGTTCAAGAAGGACACTGACAAACTGGAACGTGTCCAAAGGAGGGCAACCAAAATGGTCAAAGGCCTGGAAACGATGCCTTATGAGGAACGGCTAAGGGAGCTGGGCATGTTGGGTTAAGGGGTGATATGATAGCCATGTTCAAATATATAAAAGGATGTCACATAGAGGAGGGAGAAAGGTTGTTTTCTGCTGCTCCAGAGAAGCGGACACGGAGCAATGGATCCAAACTACAAGAAAGAAGATTCCACCTAAACATTAGGAAGAACTTCCTGACAGTAAGAGCTGTTCGACAGTGGAATTTGCTTCCAAGGAGTGTGGTGGAGTCTCCTCCTTTGGAGGTCTTTAAGCAGAGGCTTGACAACCATATGTCAGGAGTGCTCTGATGGTGCTTCCTGCTTGGCAGGGGGTTGGACTCGATGGCCCTTGTGGTCTCTTCCAACTCTATGATTCGATGATTCTATGATTCTATGTCCGACTGAACTTACCAGGACTTAACTTTCTAATAAACGTACATTGCACTGTTAGCTGGTTAGAACAGTTCAGGTCAGTTTTAACTGGCAAGCGTTAATCTTTATTACATTTCTGTCTTTCCTTTCTTCCATTATTGAACTTCCTACAGACCTTATTTGGTGTTAAGATTGGCTTGAGATGGGGGCTCTCTTCTTAATTCCACCACCTTCATCTGAAGTGTGGGGAATCGTGGTAGCCCCAAATTGTGGAACTCACTCTCCACAAAGATGTACCTACACACTATCATGACTCAGCTTCCACTGTATTCCACTGGATGGCCATCTATCAGGGAGTCTTCAGCTGTCATTCCTGCATTGCTGGGGGGTGGACTAGATGACCCTTGGGACCCCCAACTCTACAATGCTATGGCTGCATGATTCTATGCTGAAGCTGTACCTTGTTGCTACAGCTTTTGACATGTTTATTTTTTGGGGTGGGGGCACTTCTTTTGTTTTGTTTAACCTATGTTGTGCTGCTTTTGTTTAGAATTGTTATGCATTTTATGATTTATTTTAAAAAATGGCTTTGCAGTACTTGTTTTTAATTGTATGATTATATTGTTGTGACCCATCTTAGGACCTTATGATGAAAGGCAGGTAACAAATCTTATAAACAAACATACAAAACAAATGAAACTCAGGATAGGGGTTCATGAGGATTAAAAGAGGATAGGACAAATTCATGGAGGATAAGCAAATTTGCTCTATCATGTGCCCTCAAGACCATGCCCTGGGTATGCTTATATTAGGGCTATGAAAGTTTATTATAGATATCCTTCCCTTCTAGCAATGAGTGACAGTTTCCTCCCCCCTAAAAATAATAAGATACCCTTGACTTCCTAAAAAAAGGCACCTACACTGAGAGGTTGCTGATACACATACTTAATTCATTAAGATAAATAAATCAAAAGTATAGTTAAAAGGCAGGTGATCAATCAGCTAAAATTATTGAAGCGGTTGACAGCCCTAACAGCTTCAGAATCACATCTGATTTGGGGCCCAGCTTCCAGTCCCAGCCTATCCACGGAGGGGTGATTACAGACCGCAACTCAACCCAAGACAGAGAGGGCAAGACCCCCACCGCAGCGCCATCAGCACCTACCAGAGCGTCCCCCGTTAGCAGCACAGAAGAGAGCAGAAGAACTTGGGAGACTTACATGGTAACTTACATGGTGGCGGAGACAAGCCACTACGATTTAAAGTGCCACCCATTAAAACAAAATTCATCTCCTCTCCTGAACACTGGAACACTTCCACGTAACGGTCCTTCATCATCTTCTTGTGGCACTTCTGGGCCACCAGGAAAGCCCGGTCAGAAGATTTCATCTGGATAAAAGCATCACCAGAGGGACGGCCCTGGAAGACAGAAAAAACCAGGCAAGGGGATGGAAGAGAAGTCAAACAGGGCATTCTCCCCACTTTTGTAGTCATTGGTCCCATCAGTAATTTTAGCATATTATCCTTTTTAAGCAGAGCTTTATTTTTAATTCTTAAAGGAATTATTCCGTTGATCGCTGCACAATTTACATGTCTAAAATATTGAAAGCATCAATATTTAAAGAGATGTTAAAAGGCAATACACATGATTGGTTCTCTGGGATCATGTGATCCCCCCCCCCGGGAGGATTCTGTTCTGGGCAGTTCGTATCCCAGCTTGATTGATTGGGCCTTCTCTGGAGATTACATAAATGAAGAAGTTGGGAGCTCTTGGGTTGTTTCTCTGATGGCCAAATTCAGTATCTCCACCCATTTCTAACTGAAACCCTAGAAAAACCATCTTGAATTCCCATACCTGCTGGTTCAGGACCATGTGGACTCCATGTGGCTTAATGTCTGCAGTAGCGTCTCCCATGAACTCCAGGATGTCATCGATCCCAGCCGTGTAAGGCAGGCCTCTAAGCCGCACACAGTCTCGCACGCTGCCAGCAGCGATGGTGTACGGAGGTGGCATCACGGGGATGATAGGTGTGGGGAGGGTGGGGATGAGAGGCGTCGACATGTACCTGTTGAGGACCTGTTGGCAAAGAATCAGGGGCGGAAACAAAACAGAAGCAAGCAGGGCTGAGTAAAAGGGATGTTTGCCAAGATGGAAGGCATAGTCAGAAGGCAGCCGTAGATGAAACTGAATGTTGAATGATACCAACCCTCTATAACGCATGTGACAGATTGGCGTGCAAAATTCTTGGAATACGCTGCCATGGGCAGAATTGCTCATTCAAGGAGTAAGCAACAACAAAGATTTATTTATGAAAAACTGGATAAGTTTTATTCAGTACGGTAGATCTAGAGGATGCGTGTCTAATATGTGTTACGGTTTTTCCCTCTTGCTGCAGATTGGATTTTGTTGTCTGTTTGGGGGATTTATTTATTCACTGGAAAATAAGTGATTGGTTTTTGCTTATGCATAGATTGCTGATTTTATTTTTTTGTTATGCGTAAAGTTACAATAAATCTTTTTTTTTTTTAAACCTAACCCTGATGGCTGTGTTCCACCCTCCACTGCCACAAGCAGTGTGCTTCTGAATGCAGTTTCTGGAAACCACAGGAGGGGAGAGCGCTGTGGCATTCAAGTCCTACTTGCAAGACCAGAAAGCTGGATTCGAAAGACCTTTGGCCTTATCCAGAAGATCTCCTCCTATTTTCTCACTCATATGAAATTGCTGTTTCCCACCCTGAACCCTTGGCAGGTGATGCGCTACAAACCAAAGTTAAAATAAAACCAAGAACTCAGAAGGGCAAAAGCATCACACAGAGCAGCTCCAGACTGCAAACTAACCCAAAGAACAAGACTAGAAGTTCACATCTTAGGAAACACAGTAGCCACGTTTGAACAAGAATAGCCGAGTAGGTTTTTGCATAAACAAACACAAAGCTCTTTTGATCCACCATCTCCTTCAATGAGGCAAGCAAATTGAACTAGGAAGTAATTGTTTTCTAGTTTTTCCAAACAGGCAAGATACAAACCACCAACTTCAGAACAAAAAATGATAGCCAACCAGCTTCCAACTGTGGCTTAATGTCCTGTCTTGTTTCAAATGTGGTAATTATAGTTTTCCAGTTCCGTTGAAATGGGAAACTATGGTTAATTAGAGACTTCCTGGTTTGACTGTTCGGGCTACAAAGGGAGGATCAAAGGGGATGCATGCACAGGTAAAAGGCTAATTAAAACTGAATATGATAATCCAAACTGGGCCAGCAGTTGTTCAGCTGTGGTCCAGAGTGTGACTTAAGCAGGACTCAATATGTCATAAACTGAGGAATGGATACTGAACTTAAAAATCCAGCTGCAACTGTTCTGATAAGGCACAGTGAAACAGAAATGTTGCTAGGAAGGTGCGCTTTCACTTGCAACAAGCTCTGTTTCACAGAGATTTGTTGATCAAAATATGCCACTTATCATTTATGCAATTTGTTTGTCATGACCCAATACAAAAGGTCTCTGGAAGACTTAAACATGCAATTAAAAACCACTATCAAGTTTAGCAACAAAACAGCAATATTACACAGAAATAGCAATAAAAACCATATTCTCTCAAATGCACAGGAGAAGAGGGACATCTTTGCCTGGCACCAAAAGTCCATGTTAGTGCCAGGCAGGCCACACTGGGGAGAGCATTGCATTTTGATGACTATAATCCAGTTAAGGCAACAAAAATTGCAACACCCACCCACCCACCCACACCAATCGATACTTTAACTTTTTTTTTAATCCTCCCCTTACAATTTTTAAAAGAATTTGGAAATCCAATTTATATATGTAGAATGCAGTTCAGAAAAAATGTATCACCTCTGCCCATTTGCTGTGCTTACTGGGGCTGATGGGAGTTGTAGTTCACCAACATCTGGAGGGGCCAAAGTTTCCCCACAGCTGAGCTAGAGGACACCATGCTACACTTTGCACTTGGCAGCACAAGACACCTGTTTGCAGCCAGGGGAGGGGGGATCTAGCCAGCATTATGAAACCTCAGCTGTGAGCACTGATGGGAGCAAGTAAGTGATATAGGAGTAAAACTAAGCAGGTAGATCTTCTCCTGCTTGGGGAATCACCCCAAGGAAATTAAGAAAGAGTCCTGCAATGGGTTGCTGCAGACCACCGTATCTCAGTTTGACAAGCCAAGATATGGACAAGCCTTGGGTTACTTATCCAGCCCCTTCACTCTTCCCAGTGCAGCAAGAAAAACAAGCCAGGAACTCTTCAGTTAACTATAATTTCTCATTTCACCCAAACCACGAAACAACAGTTAATTACTCCAGAACAAGCCAGGATATTAAACCACGGTTTGAAGATGGGTTTCTGGCTTGTTCCAAAGCTTGTTCATTTCCTAGCTTGGACAAAATAGGAAACTGTAGAAAACTGAAGACTTCTTGGTTTGCTTGTTCCCTTAATCACAGGGTTGTTTGTATCTTGGTTTATTAAAGCAAAAATATGATAGTCCAAAAGCAGCTAGTGCATCATTTCCATGACCCAGGAGAGAGAGAGAGAGAGAAAGAAAGAAAGAAAGAAAGGGAGAGAGAAACTTAAATGAGTCTGATGAGCAACAAGCTGTACTAAGTGGGAAGAAATGCGCCACTCTCTCAACTGCTCATTATTGGTACAATCCCAGCCCACATTACATCAGCACCTTTACATCATATACACAGAAGGGAAGGGGGTCAGGGCACGTTGCACCTACAAAGTGAGCAAGGACTCTGAACAAAAGGGTGTGCACACTGTCCAGCTGCCAAAAACAACAAGCACTGCAGACTAGCAGCCTCTGATATCCTTGCTTGCTTTGAACAAGCTCCCCAAAAAATAGAAGTATGAGCCACAGATTAATTTGGGACATCCTTGGAAAAACCAGTGCGAGCCTCTCCTTGCCACACTGCTTAGCTTGCGATGCTCTTCCCTCTAATCATGCAGGAAGTGATATTGGTTACCTGCCTCAGACGCATTATGACACCTGAACCCTGGTTTTTCTTTGGTATGTTATTATGTTTCATTACATTTAAGTGGTACAGACATAATTTGAAAATAAATGAAAAGTAACCAACTGCTAAAGTTGGTTAAATGCTACAGATAGCTGTTATAACTTGAGCCCTGCTCAACCCTTTTGTTTTAATGACAAGGAAAGCCTCCATGAAATGACATTACATGTTCCAAAAAGCGTGTGTGCGCGCGCGCGCACACACACACACACACACACACACACACAAAGAGAGTGCAAACACAACAACTACCACCAGCTCCCACTTGCAGAAAGATTGCTTATTATCATTTGCCAGATCTGGGCCAAGGGAAATCTCTGCTTCTCACTGGTCCCCTTGCCTCCCAGTTCCCATGAGCTACTTTCTGAAGCTTCTCCCTCTTGGGTTCCTCCCAACAGACAGAAACCAGACAGAAATAATTGGAGACAAGCTGCCTGTTGAGGCCCATTGTTCAAAAGCTGATTAAAAGAGGACAAGGGGGAGGCAGAGCAGCAAATAAAGTGGCTGCTGTCTGGTAATGCACTTGTTCGGTCATAGCTATTCAGCCACACACAAAAATCTGTGAGGTCAGCCTTGCCCTAACCTGTTGCTCTCCTGATGTTCTGGACCAGAACTCCCATCAGTAACTGTGCTGACTGGGGGGGGGGGGGGCAGTGATGGAAGTTAACACTGGAGGGCAACAGGTTACAGAAGGCTTGGTGAGGCTTTAGTGGCTTCTGCTGCAACAGGCTAACAATAGTGCAATCCTAAACATGTCCACTCAGAAGTCAGTCCTACTGAGTTCAATGGGACTCACTCCCAGGAAAATGTGGTTAGGATTACAGCCTAGCACAGCTCCTGCTCTGGGTTTGAGCTTAGATTGCCTTCTTTTCCTGTTCAAGAACTCCTAGCTTGTTAAAAATAGGATTCCATGTCAGCAGCGTCTGCATATGCATTTTCTGTTTATCAGTCACTGCTTTTAATAAGAACAGATTCAATGGAATAACTGCACAGACATGGAACCTGCATGTGCCAGACCAATGAGATGGACATGTTCTAGGTCAATACTGATCGAGATGGCCCTTTATCAGGGCAGCTTCTTAAGTTTACACGTGACTCAGTATAACACAGCTTTGTCTGCTCCTAAAAGAGGTTCAATAAATAATGCCTTACATGGATGCACCAACCTGACCCCAAGATGATGAGTTTCGGTATAGCAATTCTCCACCTTCCACTACCTAGCAGTTGTTTCTTCACAATAGTGACACTTGGGTGCTAAACCCAGGTTGGCTCTCATTCAGGAGGTCCCTGCCCTTGCAAGTGGGGAAAGAACAAGACTGGACTGAATTCTGGTACTTGCTGGCTTGTGTGACAAAGAAGGGGAAGCAAAGGCCTCAGCAAGAAATAGCAGCCCTGCCCCTGACCTTTGCTTTGGCTGCATGGAAGTCAAAGCTCCTACTGGTAGGATGGAAGAAAGAAGCAGTGGAGGTTGGGCGAATGGGGCCCTGGCCCACCAACAACCTCTGTTTGCCCTCAGTCACCTCATAGCAGAAATGCAGCTTCTTGCCAAGAAAGGAACGGGGAACCTCTGGCCCTCCAGACATTGCAGTTTCCTGTGACACAGTGATGAGCCACTTTTCTCCCCCCCCCCCATATACACAGAATTGGACAAGTGCTCCAACCTGCTGGACTTCTGCTGCCGTGCTTCTGAAGAGCTCAATGTATCGCTTCCCCAGGATCTCCTTGTGTTTCTTAAGTGCATTCTGCGCGTACTCTTCACAGGCGAACAAGACGAAAGCATCTCCCGTAGGCCGGCCGTCTGGATACTTGACAAAGAGAAGCCCCTCCTTCCCTCCTGTGACGGGGCACTCGGGTCCCAGGAACCCCAGGACATCCTCAGGCGTGGCTGTGAAAGGGAGACCTCGCATCCGGATGATGACTTGGTTCTCCTTGGAGAGGAACTGAGCTACTTCGTTGGAGGTACCTGCAGGTGGGTAGGGGGTGAAGAGTTACAATAATTTGCTATATCTCTTTTACACATACCTGGCATTTAATTAACTGGACCAAAGAACCTAGGAAGTTGCCTTATACCAAGTCAGACCATTGGTCCATCTAGCTCAGTACTGTCTGCACTGACTGGCAGCAGCTTTCCAGGGTTTCAGGAAAGGGGCATCACCAGCCCTACCTGGAGATGCCAGGGATTGATCCTGGAACCTGCATGCAGGATAGATGCTCGATTGTTGAGATACTTTCCCCAACTTTTGAAGCAACTTTTAAGATGATCAAAAGTGTTTCAAAATGAATTCGTCTAACCCAGGGATGGGGAACCTAGGACACTCTTGATGTTGCTGATCAACTCCCACCATCCCTCACCATTTGCCACACTGACTGGGGCTGATGGGAGCTGGAGTCCAAGAGTGCCTGGAGGGCCACTGGTCAACAACCCTTGATCTAATGCGATTGGTTAAAATGTTGCAACCCTATCAAACATTACCGACCATTCAATGGCATCTGTAAAGTACTGTCAAGCACTCAGTTCTCCTGCACTTGCACACTTCAGCACAGTCTAGCATTACAATACATTACGGGGGTAACTCTTTGAGGCAGGTCTTTCTTGTTTACTGCTAATTATTTCACAAGCAGGCCTGGAAACTGAGCCAGTGCAGTTAGCGATATTGTCATAATGCCCAGTCCCAGCTAGTAATCCCACATCATCCTGAGCTAACTGCGGTTTCCAAGTAGCCTTCAAAGGCAGCCCCAGGTAAAGTGCATGGCAGTAGTCTAACCAGGAAGCTAATGGAGCATGGATAGTACACTGTAAATTTATTTTGTTTTCGCACATTCACAACAGCAAACTTTCAATGGCAAAGCTGACAAGGTTTATTCCAAACTTCTCACCTCCAGCAATCTTCAAAAATTCTTCCCCAGTTGCTTTGTAAACCTGAAGTAAAGAAAGGAAAAAATAAAGTCCTGTGTTGGTGCAACAGATTATACTACTAAATCTGAACAACATTAGCATTGCATAACTTCTGGACTTTTTTTTTTTTTTTTTTTTGACACACAGGTTTTTAACCCTTCTGTGCATGCAAAACACATTTTACTGATCTGATAATGCAGAGGTCAGCAAACCTTCTGGGCCCAGAAGCACCACACACAGAGCAACCTTTTACACTGGTTAACACAAAATGCGTCTTCCAAGCCTAATTACAGCAGAGGGAGGAGTGAGGGGAGGGGACCCTGTGGGCACATATTGATGATCCCTCAAATTAACATGACCACATGTCCTATTTTACAGAGGACAGTCCTCCATTTTATTCCCCACTAGGATGAGATGCATCCATTTAAATCATAGCATCTCAATTCTATTTCAATTGTAGTTAATTATTACTGAATTTCCATCTTTACCTGCAAATTAGCACATGCACGTTTTATGGAAATATGTACTCTCTTTTTGGGTGATGTTAGATCAAACAGCTAGTATTATTTGACAATGGCTTGGATTTAATGTTGAAATAGGAAACCTAGTAAAGATAAATCTGTTTCTTTTCATTTATTCATCCATTCCGCACTTTTTCTTGTACAAACCACAGATGCTAACAACATCCAAAAGCATTCAGACCTGAACCCAAGAGATGTACCTCAATGTATCTGCTACCCATGTGGTGCTTGTGCCGCTCTAGGGCCAAATCTCTCTGCTCAGAGTTGACAAATCGCACCAGGGCCTCTCCATTCCTCCTTCCTTGGGCGTTCAGGCACAGGGCCACCCCACCTCTAGCAGGGAGACACACAAAAAAGATGAACAAGGATGACTTCATCTACATCCTGAAAAAACCAATTACTCTTTTATTCTTCCAGGGCAGAGTGCATGGATGCAAGACATATTTAAGGAAAAGCAGGAACATTTTTTCAACTCAAAGGCCACATTGATTTGTTGGGAACATTCCAGGGGCTACATACATTGGTGTGGGGGGGGGGAGAGGCAAAATTGGTCAGAACAATGGATCTGACTCTTAGCTTGGTACTTCAAGCTACATTCCCAACCTTGCAAAAGTCAGACACCGCCCCCCTTCTGTCCCCCATCAAAGCAAGCCAGAAGCAACATCACTATTCAAGAACACATTCCAGCAGGGGAAAGCACTTGTGAAAGGTGCAGAGCTTGCCACAGGTCTGTGGAGGGCAGGGAGTGCCCTGAGGGTCAGCCAGAGCCCCCTGGCCAGAGGTTGTCCATCGCTGCAGTAAAGTTTGGGACTTGAGTAGACAGCTAAGGCTGCAACCCTAAGGGCCCTTATATCAGCTGGGGCCTATTTGTCTCTTGACTTCTCAAGTCATATGGGCTGACAGCCTAAAAGCCTCTTTCTCTCCCAAGTGCTCGGAATCCTTCAGCAGGAAAATGTAACACACATACGAATTTGTAGCAATGAAGTCAAATAGCACTGCATCCTGAACAGGGAACTTTACAGCAGATCTTACTTGGCAATATTAAGGCCTTTGAAAAACCGAGCAATGTCCTGGTCGGAAGACTGCCAAGGGAGCCCTCTGGCACGTATTACTGTTTCGCTGTCCACTGCTTCTGATTTACTACTGTGGAAAAGAAAAAGGAGGAGGTTTGAGATCAGCAACTGATCCAAGCACTCCACAATTCTTTTTAAACTATGCTGCAAGCAACCATGTAATAAGCACACCAGTGTTGAGTTCTTTCTACAAAACATATTATGCTATTTGGCAATTCCGGTGTGCACAACTTCAGCCACTGGAGTGGGAGCCTCAACCCCTTTCACAATGGAGGCCAGGAGCCAAAGAACTACGCAATGAGTTTTGTGCAACCCAAGCATCTGTGTGCTTGCGTTTCTTGAACAATAACACATCCTGCTAACTCAGGTGTCCACATAGTTTTAAATGTGAGAGAGCTTGTGATATGGGATGGGAGAATTCGGATATTCAAGGAGGGGGAAGTGCAAACCATTCCACTGGATGAAAATAGCTCTTTGGATCCCAGCCAGGATGTGAAATGAAACATGAGCTTGAGCTTGCAGGAAGCGAAAGACACCGCTCCAAGATAGTGCATTCAAAGCAAAACATAGGTGCACACTGGACTGGCAAGGCTATTGCAATTGCTCTTTCCTGCACAGCCAAAACATTTAGAGGCTACCCCTGGTGTAGATAGCACTGAGCTAGAAGAACGATTTGATTCAGTATAAGGAGGCAGCTTGAGTCCCTGCTTTGAGCAATGGAAAATGGATGCCATTCAAGACACTGCCACCTCCCAAATACAGTGGTACCTCGCAAGACGAATGCCTCGCAAGACGAAAAACTCACAAGACGAAAGTGTTTTTGGTTTTTTGAGTTGCTTCGCGAGACGAATTTCCCTATGGGCTTGCTTCGCAAGACAGAAACGTCTTGCAAGTTTGTTTCCTTTTTCTTAAAACCGTTACAGTAATACAGGGTGCATTGCTTGAAGAGGTGCAGTTGCGACTTTTCGAGGAGCAACTCATAGCACGCGGTGTGGTAGCCTTTTTTGAGGTTTTTGAAGACTATTTTTGAAAAAATGGAAACCGTGCTTCGCAAGACGAAAAAGCTCACAGAACAAATTAATTTCGTCTTGCGAGGCACCACTGTAAAGGACAAATTTCGCCATTTCACTATCACATTTTTAACAACAACAAAAAAAGATACTGCTTTTCTGCTTAAAGATTAAACAGCACATACAATAAAAGAACCCCCTTAGTAACTGTGATACAGCACAGAATATATAACACATCTAAGAAAAAAAAGAGAATCCAGATTATCCAATGCAATAAAAGAAAAACAGCACACTATCAGAAATCAAACCAGCCAAAAGATTTGACAAGCTGCAGGAAGCCCCCTGTTGTCCATCTGCCTGTGTCCATCTGTAAATTTGCCTGTGGCTTTTTTCTCTCCCTTCCCCTGCTTGCCATATTAGCTTATTTGCGTGTTTTTAATTTAAAGCAATCCAATCACACCCTTCTCCATCTCTTAAGAACCCAGCAAAACAACCACACATCCTGTGACCCAGGAAATGGGACTGAGGAAAGGCTGGGGAAGGGGAAATTCTCAAGCTCCTGCTGAAGCAAGTTGTCAGTCAGCTGGCCTGGATGCCAACTGCCCATTCACTAATACAGTGAATACACTCCTGACGATTTCATTTCAGCCTGACAAAATGCACACTCAGTCAGAGACACACTAACAATAAGAGTGAAGAGCAAAGTGTGCAAATGCCCGCTGAGAAGGTTGCCTCAAGAGAGGTTGCAGCCCTTGACTCGAGGCAGCCTGCAAGGCAGGAGACTTCCAAGAAGCTCAGAAAGAGCACCAAGATAAACACAGTTGTCCCTTCATGTAGTCATCTCTCTCTCTCTCTCTGGTGGCAGCACAAGTGCAAAGACCAAGCATGCCCCAAACCTTCCCACACAATTTGAGGCAGCCTGCCTTTCATTGCTTACATTACGTCCAACTGTAGTTTGCAATACAGTTCTACAGTATAACTGCTCCTTTCCCCCATCCCTTTGGACTGAAAGAAAAGAATATAGGATATTCTGTGAGAAAAACCTTACGAGGGGCTGATTAACTTTTAATGCAACAGGCAAAAATGAGTAAAGGTATCTAAAGGTCTGATTGCAATGGTGTAACGATCGGTGTCTAGGTGCTTTAATTATTTTGGTATTATTGCATCCAAGCTGCTGGAGGGTCAAAGGCCACATCTGCATCAACGTATAGGTTTCTTAGATGCATGGGAAAAAATGGGGAACATGTTCTGGATTCATGCAAAACATTTTACTGTGGCCCACTGGGATTCCATGTCTTATGAGGAATAAGTTGTATCAGCAACATGGACAAATTCTTCTCATAACAAGTTTGGTGTTTAAAGAAAACACCACTAAAATAATGGATCAAACTCTTTTATGTGCTTGTGGAAAAAAGAAACAAGCACTTATATTTGGAAGACTTATGAAGGCTCCCCTTCAACCCCACCGCCTCAAATACATACCTGTGATATACTGGAATAAAGAGTGCATATGTGTGTATGTGTGTGTGTGTGTGTGTGTGTGTGTGTGTATGCAAGTTTGGAAAAGGCTGTGGCCCTCCACAGGTTGTTGGGATTCTCAACTATCATCAGCCTCAGCTGATGGGATGATGGGAATTATATAATCCAGAACTTATAGGTAGCCCACTGATTATGTTCGTATTAGCAAAAATGAGCTTCCTGAAAGATTTAGGCTGGCTCTTTTTTTTAAAGCAAGTGTTTAATTTAGTCAAGATTTATATATTACATTTGGTTATACCCACTGCAATTTCTGATGCAAACACTGGGAATTTTTCTTTTGTTTAAACTTGAGCACACTAACCACTTTGGGAAAACTCATATATGAATGCTAAAATGAGCAAAAACAGAAGTGCCCAACTTGTTTTAGATTTATGTACATGTTTGCACCACCTTGACCTATTCTTTCCCTGCCCCACCAACAAAGAAACTCTATCTAGAATCAGAAGGTCTAGAAATCAAAAGAAACCAGATTCATGGGATGCACCAGGTATGGGGAAGCTTTGGCACTCCAGAAGTAGTTGGACTGCAACTCCCATCATCCCTGGCTATGGGCCATGCTTATGGGGGCTGATGGGAGTTGTAGTTCAGCAACATATAGAGGGCCAATGGTTCCTCACACCAGGGTGACAGAATCATCTTGGGGACAGAGATGTTTGCACCCCCTCCCAATCATGTACCCATTGCTGCACTGTGAAGCTACTACTTACCAGGGTCCAGTTTCATACTTGTATTTCACAGTTTCTGGGACAGTGAACCTGTGATCTGCAACTGATCAAAACACATTAAAAAATACTTTATTTTTTAAATGGAAATGCACCCAGAAGATTGAAGAGAGAAAAACTGGCATTTGTCAGCCATGGTGGAAAAGTGCCCACATTCAGCAGAAGCAATTGTTTCCACCTACCACATGTATCCGGCAGCATGCTGAAAATAATGGCCACCATGGCTTTCACTTGCCACACTCCAAAATCTTCCTCTGCTTCGTTAATCCTAAAGCCTATATCTAGACAGCATGTTCAGGAAAACAGGGCAAAGGGTTTCACGAGCTACAAGGACACACAATTATACTAAAAAAGAAAAGAGTTTTCCTTTTCCTTAAAAGTGGGGAGAAGAAATCACCCCACTGGATTAAAAGTTGGTAGGGCCACTGGGACCTGTATCAACACAAAGAGCCAATCCAACTTTAGAAGGAGCAAGAGAAAGGATACATTCTGCCATAGACTGGATAGTTTGGTCTTTCACGGGGGCCACATTAGGGTAGCAGTCATGAAACTCTTTGCGCAGATCATAAAATGAATAAAAGCAGTCAGACAGTAGGAGATTCTGTGATGGAGAAAAACAACAACACATATGGAGCATTAGAAAGCCTCACGGATGCAGGTCTTTAGTTTTCTCCAATAGTAGAAGACAAACACAAAGGCATTATTATAACTATAATTAATATTGTTACAAAAACTCATGCAGATCTACATAGATGCAGATCCTTAGCTTTCTCCAACTAAGGTCAAATCCACACCATATATTTCATGCACACTGCTTCGCCCAAAGAATCCTGAGAACTGTAGTTCGCCCCTCACAGAGCTACAGTTCCCAGCACCCTTAAACTACTGGAGGAAGCCATGGCAGTGGAGGAGAGAGGCACTCTCTGTTCATAATTAGTGACAGCTTTAGGATGTTACAGCAGTACCTTGGTTTAAGAACTTAATTCGTTCTGGAGGTCCGTTCTTAACCTGAAACTGTTCTTAACCTGAAGCACCACTTTAGCTAATGGGGCCTCCTGCGGCTGCCGTGCGATTTCTGTTCTCATCCTGAAGCAAAGTTCTTAACCCAAGGTACTATTTCTGGGTTAGCGGAGTCTGTAACCTGAAGCATCTGTAACTCGAGGTACCACTGTATACCAAACTGGTTTGTTCTGAACTCCCTGCTCCCCTGTTCTTCTCCAGCAAGGAAGAGACTGGAAGCTTTTGTTTCTAATTTTGTTATCCACACTTTAGTGCTATGTCAAAGCCCCGTACTGTGGTTTATCTTAACCGAAACAAGCCAGCTTCAATAAATCAGTTTGAAATTGACTTGTTTCCAACAAACAGTAGTTGGGATTAACAGGTTTAGGGTTTTGGAAATGTAAATTGTGGTAAATAAAATCTCTTCCTTTCAGCCATGCTAGATAGTGGGGGGGGGGGGAGTGTGGGAGCCCAGCGGAAAGCAGGTCCCATTCCCATCATGATAACATCCAAACCTAATCATTGTGAAACTTCTGTGTCTCTTACAAGTTGCAAAAGCATTTTATCTCAGGCAGCAAGATGATTTGGGTCAGTGCTGTGCATCTTTCACAAGTTCCACTCACATTTGGAGACTATACAATCTGCCATGGTGATGGCGAAGGGGTTGTACTTTTCAGACCTACTCTGACCACCACTGGCTGCATTCATGTTTTCCAGGCTAGTGCTAGGATCCTGCTAGCCACGTACCTTTTTTGAGGCCTCTGGATGAAGGACCTGCCGAATGAGGAGCTGGCCATCTGTGCAGAATGTGTAGGTGTTTCTTCCCAGAGCCTTCAGATCACTGGATACAAGTTGGCTGAACTAGAAAAAGCAAACAGTTGTATTCAGATTTGCAAGTTTCCAACTCAGTCCCTCTTCTCGCCATTTAAAATACTAGTCACCAAATGAGCGAGTTTGAAACATGACCCAATGGAATGCTTCTGCAAAAATGTCTGAAAGGCCCAGCCCATTCTGGGAAATGCAGTCGGGAGAGGCTTGGGAAATGTGAGGATTCCCAGAGAGGAGATTGTGGCTGCTGTGGTCTTTCCCTGGTCCTCCTCCTCCTGTGCTGCTCTGAGTCAAGCCATGGTTTGGCTTAGCTTATCCTCCCAACTTGGTCCATGGTTTGAGGATTAGGGGAGGAACACAGCACATGTGATCAATTCTTTGGGAAGCTGCATGTTTGTGTTAAGCCATGATTTGGTCCAGTGTGATGTGCAAACCAGGCACTGAGTGCCTGGATGAAAGGTAACTCAGACTTCTTTAAAAAATAATAATACAATAAATATAAAGTAAAATGAGGATCAGAGCAGAGCAATCCAGTCAAACTGGGAGCAGAAAAGTTTTGGTTTCACATATTATTCTATCCCTGATTAAACACATGCACCAATTTGGCAATAGCTCAGTAATTATGTGCATCTGCCATTCAAGGGTGCCAACCACAGCCTTTTAAAAAACAAGAGAGTGTATGCCAGTGCAAGATCAGTGCTGTTTGAGCAAAAGCTACCAAACAGTTAACACTGATTAACATGTTTCTGTTAACCAATTTGATAAGGAGAGAAAGTTAAGCAAACAATGGTCAGCAACTCAACAAAGGAGCAGATGAGGCAAAGGAGAGCAGAAGACCCAAGTGCTTAGTCCAAGACTGCATATACAACATACATTTAAAGCACCAGACTCTTCACCCGCCCCCAACAAGAATCCTGGGCACTGTAGTTTAAGGGAACTGTAGCTATGTGAGGGAGTAAACTACAATTCCCAAGATTATTTGGCGGAAGTCACGTATGGTGTTTCCACAACCCTATACATCTTTTCACAGCAGGCTGAGGCCAGATTGGAATCAGGGGCTTCCCAGTTGCTGATCTCTTTAAAACAACAAAGGATTGTCACTCCTTCCTGCAATAATATTTTTTGCAGCTATCAGACAGTGCTAATAAGCCCCAGCACAACCAGAAAAACACCAGTCTCAAGAAGTCTGCAAAGAAACAAAAAAACAAAACAAAACACAACAGCCTTTTACCATCAGAAACAGTATTTTCCACCTGTTCTCCCTCCCTTCAAGGTTCACTCATAGAGCCCAATGATGCAAAACAGTATGCACCGAAAAAAAGCGTTTTCGGGGCTTGTGCCAGTTTCAAAACTAAATCCCAAGACACACTTCTATTCTTTATTCTCATTAACATGAAATTTCAAAAGTCTGCACATTTTGGAGTTCAGAGGCCTCCCTTGTTAAAGAGCGTGGAGTTCAGCAGCCTCAGAGAAACTGTCTTGATGCCAACATTTAAACAAATGCAGTCGGAGCTCTGACACCCCTCCCCCCGAGTCTGTTTTGTAGGAGTGTAGCTGTGCCCAAGGTGTGTTTGATTACAGGAATTACAGCAAAAGCAAGGTTTTGACTCAGTCAGATCCATTGTCCAAAGCACCAGATCTGAAGTCTCTTGCAGGTGACTCAGGTTAGAGGGAATCCAAACACAGTAGGTATCTGACTTCCGGGGTGGCGCCATCGGCAATGGCGGACTCCCTCTGATCTGGAGGGACTAGCTCCACGCGAAACGGGTCTTTTCCGCTACGGCGAAGTGGGGACCCTTTCAAAAATCACAGGCGGATGAAGCCTGTGACCATGGGACTCGGTGGGCACCTTTAGCGCCCCCCCCCACCCGCAAAGGAACCCACTAACGGGCTCCGGAGCGAAGAGGGGGAAGTGGCGCGGTGCTGAGAGTCAACTGCTTCTTCCGTGGAGCGAAGCCGCACAGCCGTTGCCGGAGAGCGCTGCCTTTTCCTGGGACAATTTGGCTTCTAAAATAATCACCCGTGAGTACTTAAATTTCGGACAATTGGACTTTAAATAAGGACTTGCGAGCAGAAAGGAAAATTGGACTTAAAAGTTTACCTCAATTTGGCACTGAAACGGGAAGGTCTAAACAGGAAGTCAGCCTTCCATTTCTTTGTAGATAGATTAAAGCAAAGACATGGCAAACTAGAGCTCAGAAAATCGCTTGTAAAAGATTAACTTTCATCATTTAAAATTGTTGAACCCCCTTCGGAAGCAGGAGAAGAGGGGGGATTTTTTCGGACTGTTTAAACCTGCAGAAGTGAGTGTAAAGTAAAGTAATTTTCCACTGTCCTGATCCTGGAGCGGGGTGTCAGGACTGACGTTTTTTGAAGTTCATTGACCAGAGACAAACGTTTTTGACAGATAGCTATAAGAAGAGAAACATTGATTCCATTGTTCCCCTTCGCATTTTAAAGGAACAAATATTGACAAAATATCTGAAAAAGGAAACTTTGTTGTTAGACTTGTCTTCAAAAGAAAGAACAAATAGAAGGTTTCCCCCTAGAGGGAGACTGTGAAACTGTAACCAACTCCGGGGAGCTTCCAGCTGTTACAGATTACAATCGTGGGAATAGACTTCTGACCTTGCAGGACAATGTATTCAGAAGCTCTGCTGTGTGCTTTCTGTAAAACAAATGCCCTACTGGAACAGCTACATGAGAAGACGGACTTGATGACTGATGCGATCAGAAATTTTGAACAGGCAGTGGGAAATTATATGGAGCCCACCCAGGAATTAAATCAGGAATGTGCCCTGACAGAACAGATGAGGGAAGAGGATGTTGCTGAATCTTGGGCGCCAGAGATGAAGGGAGCTGTGGCCCAGCAGGAACATTAGCTTTTGGACTTGACAAATGAACTTGGAAAAAGCCAGATTTGGAAAGATAAAGTTTGGTTTGGTTTGGAAATGGGGGGTTGGATAGACCCCCCTATGCAGGGATGTTTGGACTTTTCAAGTCTGGCAATGGGCCGTGAGATGTTTGGGGTTGTGGGGGCTCTTAATTTTGGAGGGATTATGAAACATGTTCTTAAATACCACATGGAGTTTAGTGTGGACTATGGAAAAGGGGCTGATTTGTCGAGAAGGGTCAAAAACATTGTTAAGCTGGAGTTCCCACGAGTGAAAGGAGCAGGAGACAAAGGAAAATACAGTTATAAATATGAAGAAGAGCCGCGGAAGGGACATGGAAGAGACTTAAGGGCCTCGGATACAAGGTTACCAGGTTAATGCACTAGATCGATGGGATAATAAGGACTGACAAAACCTGGGACCAGGAGGAAGGGACGCTGGATGAAGATTGGATTGTTTTTATTTCTTTTTTTTACTACTAGGATTGTTTTATAAAATTGATGAATGTTAGAAAAATGTTGGAACGAAATTACTTGGCTTTAGCAAAAATGTTTAAAGAATTATGTAAGAATATTATGGTTATGAGAAGTTGGTAAAATAAGGTTTAAGTTTTAAGCTTTAAGGTTCTTTATAGTAAGATAAGATTAAAATAGATTAAGGTAATGTAATGACAGAATATTATGGAATATGGAAAGGATTTGCTGCGACAATTAACAACTAGGATACAAAAAAAGGGAGGAGGAGGAGGTCAAAGAAAGAAGGTAATGACAGTTGAGGATTTGAGAATGATAGATTTGTTTTTGAGTGTTTGTGGTGTATTTTTGTTTTTTTGAATTTGTATTGTTTGATGTGGTTTGTTTTTTCTTTGTTTTTTCTTTCTCTTTTTCTGCTTTGTTCTCTTTTGTAATTCTAAAAATTTTCAATAAATATCATTTAAAAAACAAAACAAACAAACAAACAAACACAGTATGTATCTGAACACATTTGGTAAACAGTAACAGTTAGTTCATTAGCATCTCAATAATAGGGGACTGAGGTCAATACATGAATATATTTGTTCAAAACAGAGTGATCCAGAGCAGAGGCTTTCTATGGGGAGATAGAATCTTCCCCGCATGTCTTGAAAACCCGTAGCCCGCCATTCCACTCAAGCAGCCCTCAAGGTAAAATCTCAGGTTGCTTACAGCTGTTGTTTAATATATGGTTGTTTTGCGCTGCAACCTGAAAATTGCCCTGATTACTGATGTCTTGGGGAGATTAACATGCAGTTCAGTTCCTTCTCCACTGGCCTCTGCCAATGTCTAGAGGGCTGATCTCCACCCAGACAGGTTGGGGAGCTATCATCAGTGGCGGCAACAGAAAGCTCTGAAACAGAGCATTTTGGAGTGGGAGGTCAGACATTGTGGATCAGTGGGATCCAGAGTCTTATGGGGTAGTACATGTGACTAATCCTAGTTTTATTCTCACAACAACCCTTTGAGGGAGGTTAGGCTGAGAGATCCTGACTGGCCCACCATCACCCAGCAGGCTTGACAGCAGAGTGAAGATTTGAACCTGTACAACACATGGGCACTTGGCATCAAGTCTGATTGATGGTTCCTTTAGCTCAGTGGTTTAGAGTGTGGTACTGATAACACCAAGGTTGCAGGTTTGATCGCCATATGGGAAAGCAGCATATTCCTGCATTGCAGGGGGTTGGACTAGATGTGTCAGTGTGTCTTCCAACTTTACAATTCTATGATTCAAGAGTCATATTCTACTAAGCCCAGTCTTCGCTGGATTGACTGTCGGCAACACTTGGGGGTCTCAGAAGTCTTTCCCAGCCCCCCCCCTCTCTCTGCATGCCAGAGTCTGAACCTGGGATTTCTGCATCATAATCGACAATGATATTGCTATCCTGGCTCATAAACCGAACCAATAATAAAGTTGCAGTGCTAAGCATGAATCATGAAGTAACAAGAGAAAAATTATTGTAAAGGGCTTTGTTTTAAAAGTTTAGCTGCCCCCGCCAGCTCCTATAATACATTTTACCTACAAGTGAATATTTGGGCCAAGAAGGGGGAAACTGATTGAGCAGCAGATTTAGAAACTGGTTGGACAGGATTCTGGCTATTTATCTGGCAGCAGAGAGAAAAGTGGCTCAGCAAGTTTAGTCAGTTGCATGTTGGCCAAATGCCAGCATCTGTCTGCTCTCTTTTCCTCAAGACAACTCCAAGCTTGACAGCATATAACCCCTACTCCCTTTGTGCGATCACAACCTGCTTTACATTACCGTAAGTGACATGGTTGGTTGGTTTGGCTCAGTATTGTCTGCCCTGATTGGAAGTGTCTCTCCTGAGTTTCACAGGCAGGGGACATTCTCAGCTAGTCCAGCACTCTAACCACTAGGCTACACTGGTTTCTCAACACTCTCTTGGCTCAACACTCCTATTTCTAGGTATAGTAGTAACCTCCTGGGGCAGTGTAACACAGCCATAACTCTGGCTTGACACTCCATCAATGTGTTAGCACAAACCATGGTTTCAAACCTGCTTCAGAACTATGGCCCTCAGCTAGCTGGGCATAATTCATAGATTATCAATTCAGGCATCATGGTTTAGCATCCCTTATCAAATGGAGAGCACAGTATCTGAATGGAGTCTTTGATCACATCCATAAAGGGGGTAAAGGGGACCCCTGACCATTAGGTCCAGTCATGACCGACTCTGGGGTTGTGGTGCTCATCTCGCTTTATTGGCCGAGGGAGCCGGCGTACAGCTTCCGGGTCATGTGGCCAGCATGACTAAGCTGCTTCTGGCGAACCAGAGCAGCGCACGGAAACGCCATTTACCTTCCCGCCGGAGGGGTACCTATTTATCTACTTGCACTTTGACGTGCTTTCGAGCTGCTAGGTTGGCAGGAGCAGGGACCGAATAAGGGGAGCTCACCCCGTCACGGGGATTCGAACCACCGAACTTCTGATCGGCAAGTCCTAGGCTCTGTGATTTAACCCACAGCACCACCCACGTCCCATCCGTATCAGGCCTTTAAAGCACATGGTTTCTTCCAAAGAATCCTGGAAACAGTAGTTTGTTAAGGCCGCAGAGAACTGCGGCTCTGTAAAGAGTTAACTACAATCCCCCAGGTTTCAGGATGAAGGGTGGGGAGCCAGGAGCTTCAAATGTATGGCATGGATGTTGTTTCATGGCACTGATGCAAACTCCAGAGAATCCTGGGTGCATGGGCACCCACAAAATTCTCACTGTGGGTGCCCGGCCTCCGTCTGCTGCCCACGGCCTTAACTCTGCCACCATGGCGGCGACTGGGCTGAGGCCTCCGCCTCTGGGCCTCTGTTGGGCTCTGCTGTGGATGTGCACCCATGCTCTGCCACCCCCGTTGCGGCAGCACAGAAGCGGTGCTAGAGAGCAGCGGCAGTGTGCATGCTCAAAACGTGATGTTGTGGTGTCACACCACACACTGCTGGGCACACACAGGCTGGGGCCCAAATCATTGCCTTTGTTTCATGGCCTCCCTCTTAAAAATCTAACAGCTTGTTTTCTGCTAAATCTGGTGTTGCTGCAGTCTCCAATTTGGCCTCACCAAGAGCAAGCTCGTGCCCACGAACTACTGCTGAAGAGAGATGAGTTTTTTGGATTACAAACGCACCTGCAGGCATAATAAAAGCAAAGAAACTTTCTGAAACAGAAAGCCCCCCCCCCACCTGCCAGTGGGGTTTTGCTTTTCATTCGTCTGTTAACTGTTATTCCACATGACTGAAAATGGGATCACTGTGACCTTGTGCTAAAAAGCTGCCACACGCAACAAATGCAATCCATCAAGCTGTAGCTAATTTCTTTCTGCTTCTGGCAATACACACACACACACACACACACACACACACACACAAAAGCTATGGTGGCTGGACGCTAGATCTCTTGCCCATGTAAAACATTCATGATCTCAAAGCCCAAGTTTGCACCTCCCAAAGCTAGGGTGCAGAAAAACCCGCACGCAAATCCAGTGGTGGCTGGTACCCATTGAGCCTGATAGGGCAGGGAGGCAAATGATGGGCAGAGCCAAAGAAATCCTAGATCTGATGAGTCCTACAAAGGCAGCACTGTAGAAAGGAGAATAAAGCTGACATCTGCCACCCCTTTGACAGATTTTAAGTAAGAAGGCAGGCAGGCAGGCAGCTGGCTGAGAGTGGTGGGGCAGTGCCCCATTTGCCCTAATGGAGCAGACTCGTCTGTGCAAATCCCTCTTGGTCACCCTACACACACTGAGAGCAAACACATTATCCAAGCATGCAACCAAAACAGTGCCAACCAAACACGACAGAAAAGTCTCAATAGGCTTCAGTTTGCATAAGTAGGAAGACAATAAACAACTCTTTGGTGGGGAGGGAATGGAATGGGCATCTCCCAAAGACAAGAATACAAACAAAATAAGTACAGAGACATAGTAAGGAGAGGGACTATAGCATATTTATCTTATTAATATGTATATGCTGCTCTTGCTCCCAAAGGAGCCCAGGGCGGCAAACTTACCAACAATTAAAACTTCTAAATGAAGTTTTTAAAAACCTTCCAAAAACAGATTAAAAGGTTAAAACATACACTCACAGATAATAATTTCAGGGTTGTACTTAACAGGAATATGTTCTTGGACCACAACATTCATCATCCCTGGCCAGTTGGCCATCCTAGGTGGAGCAGATGGGAGTTGGAGTCCAACAACCACTGGAGGGCCTCATGATCCCCACCCATGATCTACCATGGCCTTTCCCAACCTGGTGCCCTCCAGGTGTTTTGGACTATAATTCCCATCAGCCCTAGCAACTACAGCTACTTGTAGCCTCCAAACATCTACAGGGCTCCAGGTAACAACAGTGGAGCAAATGATCACTTGTTGCCATTTGCAGCCCTGCACACCACACACCTGGAAGAACTAATGCTGCAGATGCCTTGAGATGTGCTCCGTTCTTAAAAAATTCCCCATCCAACACGGCTCTCTCACTTCCCCGCCCCAGCAGCTTCCATTTCATGGCCATCTTTCAGCCTGCAAACGCCTCACTAAACACTGCCTGCTAGTCTGATTACTCCTAATCAGTGGTGGCTGGCAGTACAATCATTGTACACACACGAACATAGCTGCACTGCTGAGAGAACCAGGAAGAAGAAAAGAATACAGGTTTTGTTGGGACAGGAGCTCACGCTCAGACCACTTCCACAAACTCTGCTTCATTCATAGTTCAGGGGCATACTATAGGGGGCTTCCAGATGATCTGGTTAATAAGCATCCATCCAGTTTTTGGGGTTTGTTTTTTTTTTGCAGGGAGGTTAGACAATGTTGCAGCAAGTCAAGTGTCATCTCATACTTTCCAGGATATTTTCCTGCTATTTTCTTACTGGAAAAAGTCCTCTTCTCCCTTTTGGAGAAGAGGGTTTGTTCTGCAACACACACACACACACACACACACACACACACACACACACACACACACCTCTAATTGCACAACCTAAATTTACTGGGTGTGTGACTGAATCCCATCTAAAGAGCAACAGCATCCTGGAAGTCCTGTTACAGAGCCTTCCCCAACTGAAGTCAACTAGCAACTCCCAGCAGCCCCAAATGCACAGGAACAATTAAGGGTTGTGGATAAACAGCATATGTCATGGGGGGGGCATAAGCTAGCCCCCTTTGCATTAGGGGAAAGTGTAAAAATATTTTTTTTATGAAAATCTTTAAATGCATTGTGTTAAGAAAAGTAGCAGACACAAATTTAGGAGAAACACACACCAAAATGCTAACAAAAAACTAATAATCACCAAACTGGTGTGGAAAATTTCAGGGTGGGCATAGTGTTTCACTTGTAATACGTTTGTGCGCTGATGTTTTCTGTAAAAATCCTGCAACCTTTCACACCATAAATGCTCTCAATTTGGTTTTCTGTCCCACTTTTGTGGTTCCTCTAGATGGCAATAATGATGTGTGGACCATTCAGCATAAATACAATACTATTTAATTAACAACATGTTGGGTGTCCCCCCCCCTTTATTTAATTTTTAAAATGTGGGACAAATTTGCGTAGGGGCCATGCTCATCTTCTCGTATCATTCCAATTCTAGTATTTGTGCTGCTGGAGTGAGCATTTCATTAATGACATGTTGCAGAAGGCAGCTGCAAAAACTCCCAACACACCTCCAATTTGGAGGGGCCCTAAGGCATCCTCCTCTTTGCATTACTGATCCCATCAGATTCAGAGCCCTCTCTGTGGTTGCATTAAAGGGGGTGGGAAGAGAGAAGAGACGCCTTAGGTATCTCTTGTATGACAACAAGTGCAGCCTCAACTCTTACCTAAGCTTAGTTGTAGACAGTGAACTACAATAACTATTTCCAAAGCTATTTCTAAAAAGCAACACTTGTTAAGAATTCACACATTCACACAGATAGACTGAGTCAGTAAAAAACAAACCAACGATGGTGGGCATTGCAGTGTGCTGTTAGTGTTTAGTTTTCCTCTTGCCTTCTCTCTCTCTTTCTCTCCCCCCATTCCAAGGACAAGCTTTCCTAAGCAACGTGATCTTTAGCACTTGCTCTATTGATTGCAAAGCATGCTCCCGTTGTATTTACCCAACACTCTTTCACTGTTTGTACTGCACAACTGGACCAATCAGGAGGAAGGCTAAACAATAGCTGCAGAGCTGGGGGAAACTGTGCACACCAGCCTTCCTGGTGCTTTGGGCTACAACTCCCACCAGCAGGGGCAAGGCTGGTGTACATATACTTCTTATAAAAAAATCCACATCAGATATCAAGTATGCTCCCCCCCCCTCCATGGCATGCGTGGTGCTAACTTTAGAATAAAGAGCACCTTTTTCTGCAGACTCATCTCAACATATCTGAAACTTCCACCTGGTTTTCAGTTTCTGCACATTTATTATGCACATGGATGCATCAGTGCTGTCACCTAGGCCTTGGCACAAGTAAATGCAAAATGCAGAAAGCAGGGGAGGGGGAAATAATGCTACTTTTAAGGCAAAGAACAGGGTAAACCTTTTCCTGGCAAAAGTAGAAGAAACCAGTGATGGCACATCAGACCTCAGATGCGATCCTAGGTAACTACTGCATTAGAGGAGTGCATGTGTTTTTGTATTCTCTGACACTTTAGAGGATGAAAACGAAGAGAGGTGCTTGTTTTATAGGATGTGACAGAGAAATTGCTTGTGGTGGGATGGACACCAAGTGGAGACCCATTTCAGGCATGAAACAGTAAAGCGGACTCTGGGATTCTATTTTAATGATCACTGATAATTCAAGTACAAAAGTACTTTTTCATGCTTAGCAATAGGGCACTGCCACTGAAGAAGTGAGATCAAGAACTGAGTCCCTCTAGCTCAGTATCTACCTGCACTAACTGGCAACAGCTCTCTGGGGCATGGATGAGAACCCTTCGACCCTCTATCTGTGTTGCTGAATTACAGTTCCCACCAGGGATGATGGAGGTTGTAGTTCAGCAGTATCTGGAGAGCCAAAGGTTCCCCAAAGACTCTAGGGTTTCAGAATCAAGTCTTTCCCAGCCCCAACTAGAGATGCTGGGGATTGAACCTAGAATCTTTTGCATACAAAGCAGATGTTCTTCCACTGAGCTACAGCTTTTGCTCCCTTGACAGACACACAGACACAGACACAGACACACAGAGACACACCATCCCCTAGCCAGGTGAATCAACATGATTCAGTAGTCCACCAAATTAAAAATGGTGCACCAGGCATTTTATTTTATGCACTCCTTCAGATTACTCTCCCATTGACAGGGTTATCAATATGGAGAAGTTGCATTGTATATTTGTTCCATACAGCACCTAGCACACAGCTAAATAATTATTGTAGGAAATATTTCTGAAATGCATTTGACCCATTAAATCATGTTACATTGCTATGTTGAAGGCCAGATAACTGAGTGAAGCCATCTTTGTTCTCCAACTACCAATTTTAAAAGCCATCCATTTGAACTCTTGCAAAGCTTAACTTCAGCATTTGCCAACCTGTTTTGACTACAATTCCCATCAAATTCAGCCAGCACAGTGACAAGACTCTGGTCTTCTCTTCAGTTCTTTTTTTTGCAGCAACAAAAATTAAGAAAGTGCCACTTCTGGAAATTTGAATCTTTTAATGGAATTTTTCAAGAGCGCACACTATTTTTGGCAATACTTCAGAAGAAAGCTGACTGGAATGAAGTGGAACTAAATAGTATGCAGACTGACCCTAGGAAAGGTAAAGGGGCAGGTAATCTTGATGCAAAAGAGAAATGGATGCTACCAAGAAAGAGGCGCAAAATAAATAAATAACTACTACTAATATATCTGAAAACCTAACTTCTGCAGAAGAATCATAAGCACCTAAGAAAAGCTCCACTGCATCAAAACAGTAGCTCACCCCGTCCAGCCCCCTGTTCTCACAGTGACCACTCAGATGCCATAATATGAAACCTGCAAGCAGGACCCAAGCACAACAGCACTCCCCCTGTCTGTGGTTCTCATCAGCTATTGAGAGAACTGTTGGGGTTGCCTATCCCTGTCCCCATCTGAGGATATTAAGACCTGCAGGCCATGGGGGAAATGCAGAAGACATAAAGCCCAGACCACGGAGCTTGTGCCAGCAGCTCCTGAAGTTGCCCTGAGAATATTTTGTATGATTTGTTTATCCTAATATTGTAAATAGCCTCGGGTGCCTTGGCAGAAAACTGGCAAATAAGTGCAACCAAGCAAATCCGTCAGTCAAAATCCAGCACACCCATATAATTAATGCACCCTCCCTGATCTGCTATTACGAGGTGGGAGACAGAGAAAGAACCTACAGACCTTGACCTGATTCTATGCAGCCTTTGGACTTAACTCATGCAGATTGGGGGCAGCGGAGGGGGATCCTGGGGCAGGACCGGCCCAGGACGTTTTGCCACTACCAGTCTCAGTGGGCATCAACCACCACAGATGAACACCTGACAAGTGTTGACTGACACCCAGTTAAATCAGAGAAGGAAACAGAACCATACTCCATCAAACCCCAAGTCCAGTGCCATTTCAGTTCCACATGCCCTGTGGAAGAAACACTGGCTGGCTCCAAAGAAAAGGTAAACACCTGACAGGCATGCTGGTGAGGGACTGTTAATACCTCCCATCCACCACCAGACCTGCATCCTCTTCTGCAGCAAAACCAAAGTTTACCCTAGCAACTCGCAGGTTTGGTTTGCATTTTAAAGGCATGCAATGTATTAAATATGCAGCTGGTGGCAAAGCCCTGTGCCTTTCTGTCACTGCTTCTAAAGGGCAGGGGAACATTTCAGGCAAAAGAAAAAGGGGGTCGGGAGAGCAGGAGTGAGGAATCTTTCCCAGCCCATGTGGTCAGCATTTCCTTCTGAGCAAACCTTTCAAGGAACACATGCAAGTGTTCCCAGGAACCTTCCCAGAAGCAAACCTTCCCAGGAACACATGGGCGGGGCCAGAGGCAAAAGTGGGTGGAGCAACAAATGTACACACTACTTTTGTATGCAGTGGTACCTCTGGTTATGAACTTAATTCATTCCAGAGGTCCGTTCTTAACCTGAAACTGTTCTTAACCTGAAGCACCACTTTAGCTAATGGGGCCTCCCACTGCTGCTGCACCGCCGCCACACGATTTCTGTTCTCATCCTGAAGCAAAGTTCTTAACCTGAGGTAATATTTCTGGGTTAGCAGAGTCTGTAACCTGAAGCGTCTGTAACCTGAGGTACCACTGTAGTACTTTTACACACACAAACACACAGGCAGGTCTCAGTCCTCCATACACTGCAGAGGAGTGGCTAAGCAGCATTTTCGTCCACACCAAATTAATTCTTCAAATTGGAAGGAATCCTACTGAATCAGCTTTCCTGATCACTTTTTCAAATGGGGCCAAAGGTGCATATCAAAGAAAGGAAAACTCCTGCAATGAGACAGAAATACTCCCAACCTCCACCCCTGATGCATTATTGCAATAATTCCTTCCGCACTCCTCCCCTTTTTTAAAAAAGTGGAATAAAATCAAGATGGTTTGCAAGGCCATATAAAGAGGTAGAAAAGGGACACGCCCCTTGCCATCAAATGGTGAAGGTGGGGTGGGGGGTGGTAGAGGAAGGAGGAAAAGGCTGCAGAACAGGTTTCCCCTGAAACAAAATTGCAACCTGTTAATCAGACTGAAGGAATCTTAGGGCTGTAATCTTCCCTTGTGTCCTTTCCAAACCCCTCTTTTATTTTTTTAAGTTGAAAACATGCAGCCCATTTTCTGCTGACTTCACTCGACTACAGATGTTGAGAAAAGTGATGCCTCTGTTCTTCGGCTACCAAGAGCCAACGCCTCTCACTCATCTGCAGGACCAGACATGAATGCCCCGAAGTCAACCTAGGCCCTGCTCTTAAGAGCCTTCCTGAACTGTCAGTTCGTGCATGGCACTGTGCTGCATTCACCCAGAGTGCTTTACCACCACAAGTTCCCTTGTAGGGCCAAATGCAAGGTGTTACTGTTTGTATATAAAGCTTGGGACCAGTTCACTTGAAGGATCACCTCATCCAACATTTGCCCATTTGATCTGTGGAACCAACATAATGATCATTCTGCACTTGCAAGGAATCGATTCTTCTGTGTAGCAGCAGCGCCTACTCTCTGGAATACCCTTCCCACAGATATTAGGCAGGTGCCTCCAGTGCTTGCTAAAAACGTATTTGTTTAGGCAAACCTACTTACACATGTGATTTGCTTATGAATATTTGTTTTGAAACTGGTGATTTCACCCATCTTTTCATAAATTTTAAGTCTATTTGCTTTTAAAGTTTTATTTTATCATCAGTGTTTTCTTATGAATATTTTCTACCGTTTTATGGAAACCTCTTAGAAGTTGTGGTTGATTACATGGTACTGTATATCAGTCTTGTTAAATAAATAAATAAGTTACCCCCAAAATCACATTCTCCAGATATTTTAAGGGGTTACAGCCTTCCTGGACTGCAGGACTACAGCCTCCGGCTCCTTTCAACAGATTTTAATGTTGCATTTTTATATTGTGGCAACACACCCTGGGACCTTGTGGTAAAAGGCAGGTAAGAAGCCCAATAAAAAAAGCAAAGTAATAACAAGCCTGTCAACCAGCTGAATAATTTTAGTTTGCTAAATGACCTGCCTTCCAGCATGTTACATTTTATGTATTACCAGTGCCTTTTCAGAATATCAAAGGAAACATGATGTTCCTTGCAATTTAAATGAAGAAGAGTTCCCACTAGGCATTGGAAGAAGAGATCATATTTTGAAATTTGTTTTCCCCTACTAAGAGCAAATACACCAGGAACCAAACTAGTCTGAAAGAATAAAGACAGATTCCATCTGCTGATGGGAATCAGTGGAAGCATCATGCCTGCTAAAATTTCACAAATGGAAAAAGGTCCTTGTATTCTGACACATACCAAGAACCAGGACCTGAGCACCCTCAAAGCTCCTTTCAAGCATTGCAGAAAACTTTCCTTTGCTCCTGTATTATTATGCCGTTACTAAATTGGATACAACAGTTTCTTCTTGTAAAAACAATTCTGGTAGTAATCTAGAACAAGTGCAGCACCAAACCAACCAGCAAGATTTCCTATCTGAATTGGTGCTGAGTGCTGTTAGGAGCCTCCAGTTCCCCTTAGGGAACATTTCCAATTTCCCTGAGAAGATTGATTAAGCTAGTCTATAGCTCTGGGAGGGGAATAGGGGTCTCCTAACACCTTCCACCACCCTTAAATTACAGTTCCCAGGATTCTTTGGGGGGAAACCATGACTGTTTACAGTGGTATGATGCTGATTTAAATGTATAGTGCTGACAGGGCCTTATATTAGTGGTTTTCAACCCATGGCACCCTGGGGTGCCTTGAATGATGTTCAGGGGTGCTGCAGGCAACACTGGTCTCTGTACCTCTTTTTTTTCTTTCCCTCCCTCCTCTGATGCCCTCTTGTGTCTCTGCTGCCCAAAGGCTTGCACAGCTATTTGTTGCAGCAGCCCTGGCTACAAGTGAATGGTGCCTCTGTGGCTGGTCAGGGGGTGCTGGTTGCCAGCAGCTGAGGCAGCCTCAAAGCAAACAAGCAGGCAAGATAGCCAAGCCAGCCAGTCCGCCAACCCTTGCTGTTGGGAATGGACAGACTGGGCAGGCAGGCGTTGTGTTGGCCTTTCTTGTGCTTGCTGTGTGCAAGGCCTGCCTGGGAGCTGAGTGCTCGGTGCTGAAGGGAAGCCTTTTCACCATGCAGGCCCTGCAGCACCTGCTGCTGCCTCCCAAGGTAAGGTGCTGGCCTCACATACACCTTTGGCCAGTCTCCATTGGGCCACTAAGGCTGGGGGCATCATCTTCCAAGGCTCCGGTGTGGCAGTGTGAAGAGGCACCTCTCTTTGGGGCAAGGTGGGGAGGAGACAGCTCAGAGACTAGGGGCAGCAGCAGGGAGGGTGTCTGAAAAAGGATTAGAGGCTGCCAGCTCTGCAGGCAAGGGGTGACATAACTAGGCTCTTGAACCCCACAGGGGTGCTGCAGAAAGAATGGAGTTGGTCAAGGGAGCCATGGACTCAAAAAGGGTGAAAACCTCTGCCTTATATGAATGAGCATAACTGTTGCCTGGAGGTGCCCTGGGGTCAGAGTACATTAGAATCTCCATGAGAATTCCAAGCTCAAAGAAGTGTAGTTGTCAGGGGAAATAAGACATTGATTCAAGGCTATCATGCAGGGGATGCGTGCAGAATGTACTGTCAAATACAGCAACTAAGAGACAAGACTTAGCGCCCCTCCAATTTGTTTGCAGGTATATTCTGCAACATGTCATTGATGCAATAAGAATACATTAGTGAGAGATTTATACTGGACTGTCTGCACATCATGCTTCTTGAATACTACTGCATTACTGCTGTCCAGAGAGGCATTATAGCACAATAAAAGTGAGAAGAATACCCACCAGCACAGCACATACAAGAAAAAATATATACAGGATTTCAGCAGGAATTTTCAAGGTATGGATTGATTGAAAACCATCTCAAACATATAGTATTGAAAGTGAGATCACATGTAATGGCCCCAATACCATAATTAGCACAAAACATCACAAACACACAATACAAAGATGTCTGAACGGCCTTTGATTGGCACTTAGACATTGATTATGAGACACCTCTGGCTGTGAAGCAGGGAAATATTGACCCAACAAATATCACAAAATGTTGCGCACTTTTTCCTGCACTCTCTTGAGCCAAGAGTCATCTTTCACATACTCAGGGATAGCAGTAGCTCAGGACACACAGCACGGAAAACCATTATTACAACAACAGATAACCAAATGCCAATGCATCCAACCTCATAACAGATGGAAGGAAAACATTTTAGTTCCTTGTAGACATGACCTATATACATTTGCTTATGGAACTGTGGAAATGCCATACACATGCATGGTGCACACTATTAAGGAAATTGGGACCTGGATCCCCTACAACAAATGAGGGACAAAGGCCAAAAGAAAAACTGATGATGACATTCATGTTTCACACACTTCTTCTTGCAATCTAAGGATAGAATGAGTGAAAGAGAGGAGATAAGAGAGGTGTAAAATATGCCCCCCAGGAGATCAGCCTATTCATCCAGGTTGCTTCCAAGTCAGTCAAAAAGAATCAAATATCCCTGCCAGAGGGCTTGCAGACAGAGCTATCAGTGTCTACACATGTCAAAGACCTTACCTTGTGTTTGCTGCAGCAGCTATAAGCAATTGTCCCTGTGGACTTAACCAAATACTTAGATCCATACTGAACAAGCTATGCACATGGCTTTTCAGCTATGTGAAGGTTCCCTTTGATCTTCAAGGACTCAGATTTTTTTTTTTTAACAAAATAAGATAATGCAAAGCTAGCCCTGCAACTTGAGTTTAAATCAGGACTAAGCAAAGAGAACTATCAATAAAAGTTTGAGCTAGAATAAAGACTTCTAAAACTCACAATCAATCATATTGTGAACATGTTATATTTGTGTACCATCAATGGTCTCCAACTATGTTTTACTCAAGAGTAGACCTGTTGGAATTGATGGGCAGGACTAAGGCCAATGAATTTCAATGGGTAAACTGAGTAGAATGTAATTGGATACAACTTAATGTGCATGGGGAAAGACTGGACTCAAGCACACCAAAACTGTTGCTGGACAACTTGTTCATTGGCCATGCTGGCTGGGGTTGTTGGGAGTTTGATTACTGCTCAATAAGCAGGTTGTCTAGAATTGACCTAAGAAAGATGGACTAATGGGCCAACTCAGGATCAAGGCAGCTTCCTATGCTTCAAACAGGTTGCTGATCTTCTGACTCTGAAACAGTGCTATTTTCTATAAGAAGGTCAAGACAAAGAGGAAGGAAACATTGCTGTCTAGATGTCACTGGGCAAACTCCCATCAACCTCAGATAGCATGCTCAATGGTCTGAATTCATGGGCTTTGTAGGTCATCAACATCTGGGTTCAGGTTAGTCAACTGCTGCTCTATATTTGCATGGGATTCTCACCCCCATCTACTGAAATCTTTCTTGATTCCCTGCTCAAATCTGTGAAGAGCCACAGCTCAGTGGCAGAGCATCTGCTATGCATGGACATGGTCCCAGGTTCAATCCCTAGCAACTCCAGGGAGATCTGGGGAAGATCCCTGTCTGAAATCCCAGAGTTCTGCTGCCACTACCAGATGGATCTGTGTTCTGATAAGGCAGCTTTGTAAGTTCTGCTAAGCAAGACTGAACTTCTGAACCTCAATTGCACAGGATACTTAACAGAATGTTTTAAATCACTGGGAGTGAATATATTTATATGTAGTTAGCTCAAAAGTAACAATCTCCTTGCATTTCCAGCTTATTTCTGCAATTTTAAAGGGTGTGGGCTCAGTGGCAGCTCCCCAAGTTCAATACAGTGGTACCTCGGGTTACATACGCTTCAGGTTACATATGCTTCAGGTTACAGACTCCGCTAACCCAGAAACAGTGCTTCAGGTTATGAACTTTGCTTCAGGATGAGAACAGAAATCGTGCTCCGGCGGCGCGGCAGCAGCAGGAGGCCCCATTAGCTAAAGTGGTGCTTCAGGTTAAGAACAGTTTCAGGTTAAGTATGGACCTCCGGAATGAATTAAGTACTTAACCCGAGGTACCACTGTACTGTAGCCCCCACTTTTCCCCAAGCACACAAACACCCCAAGTGCCCCACTTTAGCAGGCATAATCCCTATTTTTTGGGGGGTAAATCACCCATTTTTGGCTTCCAGTGTGTGTGTGTGTGTGTGTGTGTGTGTGTATTTAGGAAATGGCACCAATTTAGTTTTCCTTGATTTGCTGTTTTTCAGGATTCAACTTCCTCTTCAGAGCCTTTATAAGTTAAACCTAAGAGTGGGGTGTGGGCGCAACTTATCTGCAATACCCTTGCAAATGTATGTGCATGCTGCAAGGCCATTTCACACACCACAGCTGCCAAGGTACATTTCGTAATTGATAAGGCAAGTTGTCCTACAAGATGCCTTTTCTAGTATTTCTCTTAACAAGAACACACCCTGCTGGCTTTTAAAGTTGGTGGAAGACCAGTGACCACAGAGTAAACAAAAGGCTTTAAGGAGGAGGAGCAGAACTTTCAGCAAGGTGTGACAGCAAGAGAGAGGGTTGGTAGTGGTGGGACAGTGAGGATTGGAATATTACAAGTTTTCTTCTATAAATAATCGGAGGATAAGTCACTATGGGGAACCAAACGGGCAGCCCTGGTTCCATCAGCTGCATGGGCCAGCAGGAACTAGCATGGGCTGAAATGCACCACATCTGAATTGTAGCATTGATGGAACACTGAAACCATGCTTTCGGGTCTTGAGGACTAGAAGATTCCTTAGTTCAAATAAATGTTCAAATTGCTGTGTCTTAAAACAGGACAAGATATAGAGGCGAGATTTCTAAGAACCAGTGAGAGTTTCAGGTGGATATCCTTTAACTCAAAATTCTCTGCCTCACCCAAGGCATCCTCCTTCATTTGACCAAGAAGCATCGACCACACCTAGACAGAGGCAGTAGCATGTCCTCTGTGCATGGGCTGCAGTAGCTACATCTAACTTGCAATTTGTGATGATAGGACACAATCACATAGAAGTATTGAGCATAATTATAGTGTGTCACTTTTTAAAAAAAAGATGAACAACGAAGTGTACTTAGCTAAGCTGTTCCAGATGTCTTTGGCTGCAAGACGAAGGACAAGATTGAACTTGCAGTATGTAACGTTTGTCTCAGAGCTATTTCCAAACTACTGAAAAGTCACTTTACAGTCTTAACTGGTCTTGCATGAAATCTACCCGGGGAGAGCAAAGAGAGGAGAAGGGGGGGGGGGAGGATACACCACGCCTAATGATTTCTTTTGCAAAAATACTTCATTCCCCCTGCCCTACCCAGAGTCTGCTGTACTCATAATTAAAACTAAGGATGATTCAATGTAGGGCAAAATCACAGCAACACCGAAATACATTGCTCATTACTTACTGGGCTGATCCCTGTCACCAGAAGTGGCAACACACTAACCTGTTCCACAGCCTAAGCAAGTTTTCCCCACAAACACACTCAACCAGCAATTCTAATGAGATATGAAGAACCAGTTCCATACATTCCAAAAAAAAGCTATGGCGTTGTATTTTTCCATTTGACTCCAAGTTGCTCAAAAGCATAAGACCCACACATACACATATATGAAAAAGTAAAGGCAAAACACCTTTGGATGTTTTGAAAAGTGAATCAACAAACTCTCTCGCCACATTAACAGCAACATACAGAAAGGACAGTACGTGATGCTGCAGTTTGGCTGGGTACTGGGGAGCGTGGGGGGAGAGAATGCACAGAACTGTACCACTCATGAACTCCATATACAACTAATTTCAGGACGAAAGAAAAGTCTTAATGCCCCAAGCCTTTCCCCCTAGATGGAAAACTGTCCCTGCATGGAGAATATATATGAGTTTGGCCACCACCTTGCTGAAGTTAAGCAGGTCTGGATCTGGCCAGGGCATGGATAGGAGACTACCCAGGACCTCCATGTATGCTGCATTGGGCCTCGAGGTTGGAGAAAGATGGGATGAAAATGTAAGAAAACAGAGCTAGATAGTTACATCCATGTTCAAATCCCACAGAACTCGTTGAGTAAATCTGAATGTGTGGGCAAACTCCCTGCCCTTCAGTCTACCCTTCCTTTACAGAACTGCTTAAAAGAATACATAAAGTATTATATATCAGGCTTCCTCAACCTGGTGCCCTACACATGTTTGGGGCTACCAACTCCTACCAGCCCCAGCCAGCATAGCAGGCAGGTGAGAGTTGGTAGTCCACAACATATGGAGGGCAGCCAATTCTGCACTCAGGGACAGAGTACCCCCCCCAATAAAAAATCCAACTGTATTTGGATAAAAATACAGTTTTATCCAAAGTTTCATCCCAGGAGTTCAGGGTAGCATGCAAAGCTTTCCCACCCACTTTTACCTTCACACCATCCCTGTAATAACTAGCTCCCAGGTCAGCCTGAGAGAAAGCGTGTGGCCCAAGGTCACCCAGTGAACTTTGTGGTGGTGGGAGTCATCTCCCCAGACAGAGAGCTGTACTCTGGCCCCCTGCACCTCACTGGCTTTGCAGAAGCTGTGAAGGGCACATTCAAGTATTTCTAAAGACAACTATCCCCTTAAAACACCCCTTCCTTTCCCTCATGTGAAATGTTTCTTCATGGCAATGGGCTAATGGTGGGACTGCTTAAAAGACAACATACTCCGGCCCCCCACCCTCAGCGTTACCAGTTGTTTTCCCTAACTTATTACATTAACAAACCAGTTCGGCTTGCTGTCCAAGTTGTGTACAGGCACGGCCCTGTTGGTGACAACTTTCTGTCTTTTTACCATATTCAGAATAATTCCACACCCCCCATCATCCTCAGTTTCACCTGAACCCCATTAGGGATCCTATTTAAATATTTCTCTATTCAATTTCTCTTTGTTATTTGGGGAAAAGAGGCTCTTGAGGCTCCATCATTTATTGTTTTCTTTATTTTATTTTTACTGGACAAGTAGATCAGCATTTAAAGTGTCATGTCCAGACTACATCACTGCCCAAAGCCCATAGGAACAGCCGTACCACATTGCATTAAGAGGGCTAACCTGGCTGTACAAGCAATCTGTGATTTAGACCTGTGTGCTACTGCACTTTTGTCAAGAGGCTTTCAAAACCAAAGCTGCCAGAATATGTCACCCATACACAAATTCCCATGGCGAGTTCACATTTGTCCCTGGATGAGGGCAACATCAAGCACCGAGTGGCATGTTTGAATGAGCCACTGCAGACCAAATAACCTCAGGTTATAGTCAACATTATACTTTGCGTTTAGACACCACATCTGAGATTTCAGAGTGTGTTAACACATAAGCGTAGTAGTTATTTTTGGGGTGGGGGTACAGATGGTCTAAGGCCATTTAGGGAATTCAAGGCAAAGGTGAAATTACAACCTGGGACTTCCTGGCTCTCATGGCGAACACTCTGGTTATTAACAGCACCAGATTCAATACTTGTCATCGTTCAGCTAGAAGTCACTGGAGACAATAATCAGAAATGTGCAAGCATGTGGTGAATAAACAGAGCAGGCCTTACTGGCAGGACAAACCATGCTTGCAATATTGCTGCTGTGAATAACTGGTCCGCAGAGTGGATTTCAAAGCGAAAGTCAAAAGCAAGTCTATTTGCCTTGTTGCATCAGTCAGAATCCTGCTCTCTGCATTAACATTAACCCTCAGCTGCCCTCACCTGCTGGAGAACTCGATCCAGTGGCTCAGCTTTGCTCAGGCCTTCAGGGGTTAAGCCCGTCACCTCTCCACATTCATCGCTCAGCTCCAAATTGTCGGCCTTCACCAAGCATTTGTGCAGCGTCCCTAACTGAAAATATTTAACAAAGTGGGAATGGGGGGGGGGGGTTGGAGGGAGAAGAAAAAGTAAGAAAATGGAACAGGGTGGTATGCACACATGCATGTGTGTTAAAAGAAAAGCACAATGGTTTAAGGGAATCTGCCTTATAATTTCTTTAAAAAGGTTAGATTTTGCCAATTTCACAAAATCCAAGATTTTGTTCACTCCTTGGTTGCTCTCTTCCTCGGGAGACTTGCTCCCTTCCCCTGAAAAAGGGACTTGGCTGCAATTCTTATATAATCCTGATGAGAGGAGTTATGTTTATCCCATCAGAACTGGCTGGTTTTCATGGGCAATCAGGTCACCCTGCAACACTCTCATTAAGGGGCTCAGCCATATTGACAACTGGGCAGCTTTTTTGCTTGTTAAATAGCTATTAATATTTGACATAGGGTGTAAGAATGAAGGCGGGGAGGGAATGAGATTTGACCAAGTTGCTCTTAATGCACACAGAAAGTCCCCCTCCCTGGGTTCGATTCCCATATAAAGCGATAGGTCCCAGAAGCAACATGCAGGCCTGATTTAAAATAAAATAAAAAAATACACAACACACACCAAATACCCCAAATGAGGAAAAGGCTCAACTTCTAGAAGAAGCAAAAGCTTTTGGCATTTAAAGCCTAACAGATAAAAATTAGCTGGAGTGGGGGAGATAACACTTTTGTAGTCTAGATTTTCCCCTCCATCAATCAATTTTAAGGACAATTTTGAAGCAAGTGAGTTCCCCATTTCATAAGAGTGCATATGTGTATGTATGTAGGTGGTCAAACTATTCAAGTTGCTCCCCCACCTACGGAGATTTTTGGAGAAGAGGGATACTTAGCCCTTCTCAGCTTTGGAGTGGAGGGGGGGGGGAAGAGAGGGAATGTTACTCTCAGGCAAGTTTGGGTAGGTCTGCATTTGCTGTTTTCTCATTTCCTTTTTGCACGTCACCCAACTTTGTACCAAGAGTTTGGGAAGCCATACCTTCTTGCTGTGTAGATCCACAACTTGCCACACCAAGAGAATTAGTTCCCTCTCATCGGAACCCAGCTTAGCCCCATATGCACCAGCTGTTGCCCCAAACAAGACCACCAGAGAGTCACTGTGCGGAGAAGCAGCCGTCATGACCACAGGGGGGGAAACAGCTACAATCAAAAGCAGAGGTAAAAAACAAAAGAACAACAAAACAAAGGGAAAAAAATAAGGGAGAGAAAGAGAGAGAGAGATCGAGTATAAAACAAACCCAACACAAACCCCCACAAATAAAGGGTTGCCCCTTTCCTCCAAGTGATCAAAGTGGAGATTAAAAAGGACAATATTAGAAGAGCCAGAACTATGGGGAAGGGGGGCAGGGAGAGGTAGCTAAGACCAAAATAAATTATTTAAGGAGAGATTCTGTTTTGCAGTTGTACCTTCCTTGATGAGGTGCTTCTCTTACTTCCTAGGTCAGACTGGGGGATGAAATTAACAAGCGGTAGGCTTCTCTCCTTCTGACATCATGGCAGGAAACCCAGCTTTGGTTAATCAAGGAGGGGGAAAAAATCTTTTTCTTCTCCTCTTCTTCCTAAGTTACCTGCCCATGAGTGAGACCATGTGACCCTAGTCAATCTCCCAAAGGGGCAAGGCCATTGGGCCTTTGGAAAAGGTATAGGGGAGGGACCTAGGGAGAAATCAACGCCTGGCTGAGCTTACCTGATTGGTGTGGGCTGGTGTTTGCTCCTGACTGGGAGAGAAAGAGAGATCAGAAGGGAAACTCCCTTTTCTCCTCCTCCCTCAGTTTTAATTCTGACTCCAGGAAGTGCCTTAACCTGCTTTCTGAGGGTTTTTTTTTTTAGGAGTCTTTTATCAGCAAGTGGAATGCAACACTCCTGCTACAATTCGTTTCTAAAGGCACAGTGGACGCCCCCAGGATATATTCGCTCGCAAGACTTCCGTCCTCAATATCTTGTGTTCAGCCCTTCCCTCTCTCGCTAGTTACCTGCCGGTTTTTGTCACCTGGGCACAGATCCCATTATTTTGAAATCTACTTGTTTAAAGCTGCAACCGTTTTTTGTTACATTTATATCCTGCCTTTTGCACCAAGGAACTCAAGATCTTGCAAGTGGTTCGTTCTCCCTCTCCTCATTTCACCCTCACAACAACCCTGTGAGGTGGGTTAGGCTACCACTACCCAATACTGGCTCTCAATTCTATGCAGAAGTAAAAACCTCATTGCTGCTGTGAGCGAAACAGCCCCCAAATGAAGCTATAAGGCTGGGATCTTATACCTGCTTGCAGACAGATCCTGTAAGGCAGAACTATGAGCCTTACTTCAGAGTAATCATGCTTAGGATTGCATTTCACAAATGGACAGCCTTTGCATAGTTTATAGCAGGGGTGGGCAGCTCCAGATTTTGCCCTCCAGATGTTGGGTTCCAACACTCATCAGCCCCAGACAGCCTGGCCAATGGTCAGGGATGCAGGGGGTGTGGGGGGAGAAGCTGAAATCTAACAGCATGGGGTGGGGGCAGATGCAAAAGGGAATTTCAGCAAGCAAGCTGAAATTGTGCTATGCAACTATTAAAGGTACAGAAGCCTCCCCAATTTTGCACCTGGCCGCTAGGGGACTTGTTGCGGGTTGGGTCTCCTATCCGTCACCCAAAAACTTTGCTTGTGGGGCAGCTGAGTGTAGTGTGAAATGAAGTGGTTTCCAGTGTTATTTTGGTTTAAACACTTTAACAGTGGTTTTGATTATTTTCAATGTTTTTATTGCACATCTGAAAAGGCACTTTAGGCTTTGCTTTTAGTTGCTGTATTAATTTTATGATGCATTATTGTGTATTTTATTTCTTGGTTGGTGGTTTTTATTCTGTGTTCCTATACTTATACTTTGAAATGCATTTCATACAGAAGTATCTTAAATAAGTAAGCAAACAATGCATATGCATCACACCTAAACACCAGCAAAACCTACACAAAATGAGGCTTTTCTTTTGAAATTATTTGATTTTTTAAAAAAGCATTGAGGTAGCCATTGTGAGAAAGCCATTTGCTAGCCTTCCACAATATACTCCTCCCCTCTTTTAAATGGTTTTCATTTTGAATTAGAAAGAGAAGGGCACCGTAATCTTTTCAGTGATTAGGGCCTCTAAAAGTCTTAATCCAGGCCCTGCCCCTGAGTCACATGTTTCTTTCTCTTATGCCCTTCCTTTCCATTCTCATTGTTAATAAAACTTTTGATATCAAGCTTTTATCTGCAATTTCCTTCAACACCTTCCTCTGGCCCTTTTCCCCTCAGAGGAGGGAGGCCTTCCCTCTTTCCTGCCCTGGAACTTCTGTCTCCTGGTCACCTTCACTCAGCAGGCAAGGAGTGTCCAGCTCAAAGACTGTGGCATGGCTGGCAGGTTGTGGCACCGAGGCCCTCCCAAAAGTTGTCCAAATGTGGGTCCTCCAGTCCCACCATTTGCATTGCAGAGACAGTTGAAGGTTGCTTTCTTTAAATAATAATAATAATAAACTGACAGGGCTCCTATGCACAGCTGACAGGAATTTATGTGGTGAAGTTTTATTTCCCTAAGCCTGAGGAGGAAGTGATTGGCAGGCTTTGAGGCCTAACTTTGTTCAAGACAAATTTAACTGCCCCTCTCTTTAAGATTTGGTAGCCTTCATTGCAAGTTATCACCTCCTCACCCGTCCTTCAAACACAGCTTGCATAGGAGGCTATAGAGGGCCTCTGCTGTCAAGTAATAGTCTTAAGATGCTGCCCAGAGACTGTTGGTGAAAGGAAGGTATAAAAATCTGTTTAAGAAACTGCACCATTTGCATCTGGAGGTGTTTCCCAGGCACTATAATGGCAGCTGTTTGGACATGGCTTCAGAGAAAGGCACCACAGAATATGAAACCGAGCCCTTTTGAATACACACCAGTGGCTTTAAACAAGAGATGTTTGAGAGGACTGACTGAATATAGTTATAGCCCAAAGTATGTTTGCTGGTTGGACTTGGGGTGGGGTGTGTGGTTTGACCACCTTACGTGGCTCAGTGAATTCCTGTCTTCTCTGTAGAAATGGATCCAGCACACAAGAAGAAGGGAGTGTTCAGCTGAAAATGGAGTGGCCTTTGCACAGGTATGGAATGTTAAGTGGCTTTGCTGAATGCCTGCCGCAGGTGCCTCTGTTACAGGGTCTGCCAAGGAGGGGAAGAAGCCACCATTTGCATTACTTGGGGGAAGGGTGACTGAGAGTCATAGCACCATAGAACTGCAGAGTTGGAAGGGACCCCGAGGGTCATCCAGTCCAGCCCCCTGCAATGCAGGAATCTCAACTAAAGCATCCATGACAGGTTGCCATCCAACCACTGCTTTAAAACCTTCAAGAAAAGAGAGAGTTGTATTGAGGAGGAAGGTGACATTTTCTTCCCACAAAAGTTTTAAATTAATGTGCATAATTCTACTAGAGGCTCTCCTGGTGACCTGTTTACATTCATCCTGATTTGCTTGCTGGGTGTTTATAGGTCTTCCCATTAATCTCTCATTCAGGAGTGCCAGCTTAGCCCTGCGACTGTGGGTGCCATGCAATGTGCATGGCCAAAATTTGTGGGTGCCTGGCCTCTTCATGGGGAAATGTGTGGGTGCTTGGGCCCCCAGGGAACTGGCACCTATGCTCTCATTGATCCCACACTTTTCAGTGCATTTCTTTCCTAGCTGCAAAAAAATGTTTACCTCAGTGCCTTCTGAGTGTTACACCAACCCTGAGAGGTAGGTCAGTCTTACTGTTGAGGGGCTGAGGTTGAGAAGGTAGCTTGACCTGAAGCTGATTAGTGTGCCAGAAGCAAGATTTGAAGTGGGATTTCTAGGTTCATAGTGTAATGTAATATTTATATATATAGAATCAACTATGTGGACAACACTTTACCAAATATAAGACAACAGGTCTCTGCCTGGAGATTATAGTTTACAGTTTGACTCATATGCAGCCATAGATTTTCGTACTTTGAGCCAGTGCTGGATCTGGGTTCAAATCCCTGTTTAGCTATTAAACTCACCCTGGGAATTAAAGGCTATCAATCAATGGATACTAGCTGCAATGGCTATATTCTTACCTGACCACCTGGCAGGTGAGTCACTGCTGCTTACCGAGAGAGAAGCATGGTGCAAATGCACCAGCAGGAGCACTGGATTGGCTTGGCATTGTGTGTTTGCACCATGCCTGCCTTGCTTCTACCTGCCACCTCTCTCTCCAGGTAAGCAGCAGTGACACTCCTGCAGGGAGGTCTGGTAAGTGCCTCTGCCCCACCATGCTGCCAGCTACTGTGTAGGGTGACTGTCATTCACTCTTAGTCTATTGTACTTCACAGGGTTGCCGTGGGGATTAAATGGGATGAGTGAGAACAGTGTGTATTGCTGAGATCTCCTTGGAGGGAGGGAGGATTGTAATATAATAATGATGCAATATTTTATGTTCAATTTTCATTGGTTTTGTATATTCATTAATATCATTGCAAAGTTTTGCCCTTCCAACCCTCAAAAAAGCAGGGAGGGACCTGTCTGAATTGCTTAGAATCTAGTTAATTCTACCCCATCCAATCACCCTCCTTCTTCCATGCATTTCCAACTTGTGATCTATATATAATACAATTTTCTGGGCTGAAAATACTAAGAAATAGTATTGAATGTTTGCAGAGAAGAAAAACAGGATCCATTTCCTGCTGCGACATGTGGGGTTAAGACCCTGAGCGTGCAGTGCCAGCAAAGTTAATTTGTAACCTGGAACTTGCTGCAATGAAATGTTACTCTTGCTCAGCTTTAACTTGAGTTTTGAAAGTCATATTTCTAGAAAGAGCAGCCTTCACACAACTTGAGGCCTTCCAGATGGTTTGGACTACAAGTCCCATCAGCCACCAGCCAGCACTGGCTGCTAGAGGTCACCCTGTTTTCAGGCTGCAAACCAGAATAGCCATTTGTGGTGTAGTGGTTAGATTGTTGGACCCAGGACTAATTGTTGAGTTAGTTTTATCTGGATTGCTGGGCTGGACCAGCCAGGATGTGTTTTGTGCTGCTGATTGTAATTTAATCGTTTTTTAAAATTGCTCAATGAGACAGATTGTGAGCTGCTGAGAGGGCTCCTTCCTCTGAAAAGCAGCATAAAAACAAAAAACTGAGTGCAAATTCAGAGGAGAGTCTGCCTGTTCTGTCCCAGTGTGATGCCCTGTGCTGCCATTTCCTTCTTTCCATCAGCTGCTGCTGGGATGAATCCTTCTGTGGGCCAAACTACAGGTGGGCCAAACCTAAATGCACTGTGTGCACCTCTGAAAATATTTTTCATTGGTGAAAGTTAATTACCATATTTTTCTGTGTATAAAATGCCCCCATGTATAAGACGCCCCCTATTTTTGTGGACTCAAAATTAAGAAAACACCCCTCAGCACTACCCATGTATAAGATGAGCCCCAATTTCAAACCTAATTTTTTGGTTAAAAAACCTAGTCTTATACACGGAAAAATATGGTATATTTTTAGTAACACTGTTTGTTACTATTGTTATTTTGTCTGTTTGCAAGATATCTTATAAATTCCTTATAAATGCTGTCTACAATGAGTCTGCCTGTATTAACCCTGGGTTTCTTCAGCTTAAACATTCCTTGGCGTTTTCTTGCTTTTTCAACTTTG